GAGGGACCATCATATTAGGTTAGGTAAATTAATATTTTGATTTGGATAGGATAAGATTTTTCATATTTATCCCAAAAGGAGAGGAAAGTCGATAAGACGGCATTTATTTGTTTCAAGATGCATGGGCTTGATAACGTAGGAAGCTATGTCTGTGAACAACCTGGAATGAGAAATCAAGCAATTCTCTTGCACATACCCTTCCCCCACAGGATTTGAACCTGTGACCCAAGGTTGGATAATTAAAGATGTTATGGTATGCTTTTCTTAATTAGCGCTTACCATGATGTGCCAAACGCTGAGGTCATGGCAAGCTGAATGTTGATGATCTGAATGTTTATTTTTAAATGCAAATATCAAGTGAGCAATCATTTTTTAAGCTGAATTTAATCTATTTGACATATTTAGTTCATGCGAGTTTGACCGCAAAACTTAGCTTTTATCTGTTGTTGAGAATCTGGTATTGGTGTGAATTTGAATGCTTAAATAGCCTATAATAAATACTATAGCCTGTGGCTCAATACTTCATCCTAGTGGCTCAAACTGTGTGTATCTCAATTTCATTTATTGTAACAACGAATATGGTTTATTAAATGCTGCAGTTTACTACTCTAAATACTGTCTGAAATAATATTTTGGAATATAGAATATCAAGTAAATTCTGAATTGAGTGATTGATGCTCAACAGAGAAATTTACACAAATAAATTTACACAAACAAGAAATTTACACAAATACACATAAAATTTGAGAAAATTGAATTTACTAACGAAATTAAACATTCCTAAGTAATTCAAGGGTCATGCTGCTCACTGACGCAAATATATTTCTGTAACGTTTCGTCTGACCAAGGTCACTTCATATGGTGAGTGAGCAGCAAGACTCTTGAATCACTTAGGATAGTTATCTTTACTCTTGCTACAGCATCCTTGCATTATATGCATACGGATCCGCCGGCACAAAAGCATAGAAGAAGAATAAGTAGTTAGTAGCGCAGAAATCAAGAAATTAAACATTGATTTGAATTATTTCCTGTTTTTGGTAAATAAAAATTACCGTAATTCTTTGTCTGGCCATCTCAAATTCTCAGAAAATCAAAGTTTAAAATGGTTATAAATCTAAAACTATTAAAATTATTCGAAACTTTCCTTATTCAAAATTGAATGAGCTCTCCAGAAGTATGTGTACCAATATGGAGGTAACTGATTTTGTTCGCCTACTTTACATCAAGTTGTGTACAGGGACGAAAGCCCATGGGCTGGGGGTATATTCATTTGGCTAACACAGACAGTCCCCAACTCGTAATAGAACTAAAATAAGGAAAATCGGAATAAAATTATGGCCTAACCCTAATCTGGTACACACACTACGAGAGTACCATTAAATGTGGGTTTTCTGCCTAACTGGTTAAAATCCTCAACATTTTTAAGATCTGGAAAAATTTGTCATTTATTTTTCACCTTTTTGTGACACTTAAAAATGACATTCGTAAAGATATTATCTCAATTGGCGATGCATATTTGATTTATTGGGTACATAAACAATTTTTAAAATGCAACTCTTTTGGCTCAAGTGTTTATGTCTATGACTCATATTTTCAACACGTTTACCCTCTGGCTTTTTGTTGTTAACCACAGGAAACTTATGTATGCAAGTTACAAATAATATATATTAAAATGCTATGGAGCATTCTAATACTGTAGAATAATAAATGAAATATGGAACATTGAAAAAATTTAATTTATCGATATCATGAAATTGTAATGCAAATTTTTTAAAGTGACATTTTTGTTTTTCTGTTAGCATTTTATGACTTGTTTGTAGCTAAATCTACTGTTATTTTTCATTTAATATACTACATTTTGTCTGTGGAATACTAACAGTGCATTATAACAAACTTTATGCGTTTCGACCTTCGTGACCTTCGAAACCAAAATAACAATTTAATAATTATGAGAATTTAAAAAAAATATGATAAAATTGACGATACTGTATCTTTAATGATACTGATGTGCTTCATGTTCTTGCACAAAAGATTGGATCTTGGATCTATTTTGGTGATGATGTAGTAGTACTGGTTCCAAATCTTTCAATCTTGATTAAGATTTTGTTTTAACATAAGTTAGTGTCGAAAAAGATTTTACTGCGACCCCCATTGAGCCTTTGTGTGACCCACCGAGGGTAAACACTGGGGTCAGTCAAAATATCTCGAAATTCTTTGAACTCGTGTTATCAATTTATAACCACACATAAGCTTGTGCATAGTCATCAATAAATTTTGTTATTTTTGGAATTCTTTGCTTAGATCTGATCTCATGATAATATATACTTAAGAGTTCACAAAGCTTTTTGTATCGTTTAATGCATTCTTTATCCGAGCTTGGCCCGCTCATTACCATAGAAGTTCATATGTGCGATGCCGGTCCATTGCACAATAAAGCCTAACTTCAAAATTATTTTAAAATCTAGAGCCATATATCTAAACTTCTCTTGTAAAAAGCCTTATTCAGGGCTGACCCGCATCTTAAAATGTTTTTGAAGTTTTCGTCTGTTTCTATATGCTTTGATTAGATCATTGATTGTTACGGTTTAACAGGAACATGTGTCTTATTTTGCATACCATCATTTCATGGAGATTATCAAAATTGAACTTGGCGTAAGTGAAAAGGTTTATGACAAACGGCATGTCAATTGTAACTGATATGACTGGATTCTTTCTATTCTAATACAAGAGTAATTGGTTACTTAAGGTATAAGGGATATCAAAAAAATTTGCTTTGTTCAATTTCAGTAAAATTACTATTAAAAATGTAAACTAATTTTGAAAAAGCGATTTTTTACAATTCATATTTTTTTTGGGGGAATTGTACAGTTTTTATAGAAATAGAAATTTAAGCATACTAGGAATTTATAGCAAAAGATATATAAACTAGAATGTCTGAATTGTAAAGCGTAATTGTAGAATAGCAAAATATGATTACTATAAATTATAGTCACACATAAAAATGACAATATAACAGTTTGTGTTTCATAAAAATGTATCAGCCTTCCAAAAACTTATAAAAAAGTTATCCATGACAACTGAAAAAATAGTGTGCTTCTTATGAAATTGTTACTTTTGCTTCCCACCACTCCTAATAAAAAGAATTTGTGTGAGAAGAGGATTAAAATGTGAAATAAGTTTTTTTTATCAGTGAACCATTTTTGGGAAAAAAGTTGAAATATTATGGCTTAAAAGTTACTTTTCTTTCTACATACTCTAAATCAAAAAAAAAGGTGGGTTGAAAAAAAAATTTGTAATATAGTATTGCAATGTGTACAGGCTTGGTTTGTCATAGGCCCATTTTGGAGATGAAAGTTTGTAAAAATGCAATTTTGATATCCGAGTGGGCCTAGTATTTAATCCCAGGTAGCTGATTTGTACATTTTGAGGGAAAAATAGGAAAAATCTGATTATATTTTCAATGGACAATCCCGATTTCTATGTAATGGTTCATGCCAGGTTGCTTTTTGGAATTTATTTATAAAAAGAGACCACATTTGCCTCCATTATGTATTTAGAAAATCTGTCGATTTGATCTACCCTTGATTATACCTCCATTGATTTTATCTCTCTTTACATAAATATCTTTATTGAAGTGGTTCCATGAAAAAACTTTCCTATAATAGAGTTCTGAGAACTTTCCAAGCATTATATCAATTTGAGGCTTGCTAGCAATTATTTTCTCTTTGAATAGATAAGAAATAACGTATTTGGTTGAGTTTTTAAGTTCATGGTTTTCTACAATTACGTAGGTGTTTTCGATGTCTGAGATTTGAAGTCATGTGGTTCACGGAACTACAGGTTGCGCACTGTTATCTGTACCATCAAGCCTATTGATGACATCTCTGGCTAACTTTTATCATCCCTACATGTACTTGTAACTAGGTAGGAGATGTGGTATGCCATAAGCTCTTCCTAGATTATTGTGAATACGTTGTATGGTATAAATAGCTTCGATGTAATAAGATAATTTAAAGTTACAAACTTCACTTTATTTATTGAATCAAAAAAAATTAAAAAAATTGCAACAGTTGGGATTTGTTTAAATTGTCTATATTTAATTAATTAGGTATTTAGAGTCGTTTTGACAGTTATTTGTTTCGTTTCAAAATAGGCAGCATTTAGTCCTTAGCGAATTAAAAAAGGTAAATTTACCCGCACTCAATTTTTCTTTTCGTGAAAATACGCAAACAGTGGTCTATAATCCCTCTGCAAAAACAGGAGATTTTGGAATCTCAACATTAGCTACATAAGGTCACGTACTGAAATGAAACAAGTTTGCTTATTTCTAAGTATTGTGTGGAAGTGTGAATTGCGGAGTTTACCCCAATGAAAGTTCAATTCGCCAAAATGAGGGACGACCAAAACTGAATATTTCACTATTCCGACTACATTCTGGAACAATATTTCCGATTATGAAATTTTGAATACAATATACCAGTGTATTGAGAAATTACGTTCACATAGAAATTACATACCGTAAATCACTATATCTCCATGTTGATCACATGTAAAACGATATAAACTTAAAGGTCATTGGTTTCTCTGTGTTGTTTGTTAACAGTTGAGTTATTGTATGTTTTGATCTGCTTGTCTGAGGGCTTAAAATTCTCAATTTTCAAATAAAAAAGTTCTATATTCTTCCTAAATTCAAAAATTGACTATATTGAATATAATGAATTTGAAATGTATTCAAATATTCGATTTTTTTCTCAAAATTTGATCATGTGCCTAATAAGCCAGCTTGCCCATTTATTCTTTATTGCCTACACTTAAAACCAGTATTGCTTCCAAACCCATTGTGTCTTTTAGCTCGATGTGCCTCTTTTGTGTGAATAAAAACAAAATTTGAGCAATATATCTGACAGTGACTTATGGTCTGTAAAATACTGTAATTCCTTGTAATTTTGCTCAGAGGTGACAATCGTTGAATAACATTCATTTTACTTTCTTTAATATAGGTATGATCAACATCGCTCAATCAAAGAATCGTCCTATGATTTTGATCGGTGGGTGACAGAATACTACGGTAGGGCAAACATGCATTTACTATTTGGATGAATGCAGTTGTATTCATAGTTACTGTATATCCTCGCATATAAGCCAACCGCCCTATAATGGTCAATTTATAAAAATTCGCACATAAGCCCACGCCACAAATCGTAACACGCCATACAACTTAGTTAAATTAGCATAATTTCATTTGAGAGCGATCAGGGTTATGCGAGTATAATCCGACCCTTTAGTTTGGCAACTTTTTTTTTAGTTTGAGTTGAACTCAGCTTATATACGTGGATATACGATAAACTCAATATAGCGTTTGCTACTATCAGCTTTAACATTGAAATGACTACTGCTTGGGGCGGGTCTGTAGTGTCAGAGTCTCGTTGGTCAGTTAGGGATTCCTTCACCATCAAGCCCATGCTTCCGAAAACAAATAACTGGCTAACTAATCTCAAACCCGACGTGCACCAGGAACCAGACGAGAGGCCGTGGCTCGCCATATGATTAAGTCGTCTTGTCGTCGTCTCTCCCCCGTGATAAATATGTAAATCCTATCCTATCCCAAAATATGGCTAAGTTTCAGGGAAGTTCCGAACGATTCTATTACGTTCAAAATTAGGGCTTCCTCCATCATCAAGTCCATGCTTCCAAAAACAAATAACTAGCTAATCCCATACCCGACATGGAATGGTAACCAGACGAGAGGCTGTGGTTCGCCATATGGTTAAGCCGTCCTATATGTATATCTTATCCTATATTCGATTTAGTAGATTCTCGATTTTAGGAAGAATTTAGAATATTTTAATTGGGAAATGTCTTTTTATTATGCATTTATTATCTCATGGTTGACATACTAATTAAAATAAGGTTTATCTCAATTACTCTGCATGACGAAATTTGATTTCTCGAATTTACAATTATCTTAAAGAATTTCTCTTGTCAAACAAGCCCAATTCAAAATATATTCAATATTTCAAATCCGAAAAGATTATTTTAGAATGTATTCGGTATACTAAATTATTAGGTTTTGGCCATTAGGTAATGTCGAATATATGGTCATGTTTGAAGAGGAACATAATCGTCTATGTATATTCAATGAGTTGTTCTTTTCAGATTCTTCAAGAAAATTCATCCATATATGTAATAATCAATCTTTCAATCAAATTATATCCACAACAATTGATCAAAAAAACACTGAAGTAAAACATTATCAGAAAAAAATGATTTCTGCGAAGCGGGGATTTTTTATGGCGATGAAACTCCCGAATAATGAGAGACGTGCTAATGCCGCAGGATCGTTGCGCTATATGTCTGGATTATCACATGTTGATAACAAAGGAAAAGCTGAAATGGTGGATGTCAGCAGCAAAGACAAAACGCTTAGAGTCGCTAAAGCCGAGGGACTTGTGATTCTATCTAAAAATGCATACACTTTGCTTGAACAAAATCAAATCCAAAAAGGGGACGTTTTAACAACAGCTAAAATCGCTGGAATTATGGCAGCAAAAGATTGTTTCCGTATTATTCCTCTATGTCACAATATCATGCTTACAAAAGTAAACGTCGAACTATCATTGCACAGAGACGATTATTCAGTGAGCATAACTTCAATGGCTAAAGCAATTGGTACAACAGGTGTAGAAATGGAAGCTCTTACAGCAGTGTCAGTTGCCGCTCTCACTGTTTATGATATGTGCAAAAGTGTGTCTCATGATATCACCATAACTGACATAAAATTAGTGGAAAAATACGGTGGAAAATCTGGACATTATCACAGAAAAGAGAAAGAACTAGATGAATGAAATATTACCAGCAAATTATGTTGAATTTTTTACTTCTGAAGTATTTTGTTTTTGGGGTAACATTTAATACAAGAGGGTAGTTGGATGGTTCCAAATTTTGGGTGTGAAATTATGTGAAGGGTTAATCGGAAAATTCACATACATTGCTGACAGTAAACCTTGATTTATTTTTCAGAATCATTTCGAAAATTAACTGAGGATAATTTGTACCAGTACCGAAATATTGTGTATTGAAACCTTTATTTATTTCTCACTGCATATCCGTATTTGGCCGTTGTCACAAGGATTCTTGAACGTGATAGTATGACGGTGATAAATATGAATAACAAACAAAACTTTTTTTCACAAATTAATTATTTGCTGATTAATTAAGTTATATCTTATTTTGCCTAAAGAAGGCTAAATTGATCTATGGAAAGGTCACGGATATACTCTCTCTATTTTACACTCCTCATTTATAATTAGTGAGCTTTATTATTTCTTAATTAACGAACAATTTCTATCTCTTATCATTGTACATTGTTATTTTTCGGTATCTTGATTTTTATATTGCTTATATATATGCTTTCAATGTCTTTGTACCTGTTTAGAAAAAGTGCAATCAGCATGTAACAAATTACTATTATGTGTGTATAGTATATGTTATACAGTTGGATACTTATCGTGAAGTTTAAAAATAGTACATAGGATCTAATAAGCGTTCTGTACTGTATTATTTACTGATTATCCTAAAAATTCAGCCTTGATGCATGACAAAAATTCAACTATATCTGATGCAGCGTTTCCTAAACTTTCTGGTTTTCTCTGTTTTGGTGATTTTTGGAAAAACCCGATGATGGTTGATTAACCACTAATAGAGAAGAATGAAAACATGACAAAAATCTCAGCAATACAACTTCACACTAATTGGATGTCCCATTTCGAAAATTGTTAAAAAACAACTGTTGGATTAAAACCTATGTCTTTTCTTTTTTGTTCTGAACAAAGATTTATTCAGAGAACCACTTTAGCATATAAATCTGGGGTGTGCAACAGGCAGCCATTGGGCCACAAACCGGCCCACCAAGTCATTTAGTGTGGCCCTCGTCAACTCTGAGATTTTTCCCCACTAAGCATAAAATTTATTAATAAAATAATTTATGTTTAAAAAGGCGCCCACATGAGTGAAAATACATGTTTTATTTATTCAACTCTTGTTGCTGAGTTAAATTTTTCGCCCTTTTGCATTGTGAGCACAGCTAGGCGTCTGAGGTTGGTCATAATTATGGCCCAGCAACAAAAAAGGTTGCACATCCCTGATACAAGTCTTCCAATGGAAAAAATTGCCTTTGAGAATCAAGATAACTGTATTACAGCTTGATCATGACACTAATCAGTCTCTTATCGAAAATATCTAATTGCATCTGATATTGTTATGCCTTTTTATATAGTGGAATAATTTAATGAAAATGGGCCTATTTTGAGTTTTGTAATATTTTATTTGTTGAAAGATAATGATTCTTTGCAATTCTAATTTTGTTGATTTACAAAAAAAAATTTAATGTTTTTAGTTTTGATTTGTTCATTAATAAAAGTATATTTGAAAATTTTTATACATTTTAAAAACTCATCTCACTATGTCAATTTGTGCCAAATAATTTATCAACTACACCGACGTATTTGTCCGTATCTAATCGACAGATGGAACTTTTCTTTCAGATTTTTTGAAATTGACAAATTTGATTTTTCGTAGCTGCAAGAAATGAGGAAACTAATTATTCTTTTTTCTATCGAGAATATATATTTAAAAACACTTGAATTGGATCTACTAATTTAGTTGCAGTGAAACTTGGGACATTTTTGGTGAATGATATGACATTTTTATGAAGATTTTGAGGTTGGTGCATATAGATTAACAGGTGTGGATCGTCGTTTACGCCAATCGTGCTAGGCGTTAGGAATACACTTGCCACCGCACCTCTGGTTACCCTGAGTGGGTTCGCAGGTTCGAATCCCGTGGGGGATGATCATGTGCGAGAGAATTTATTGAATAGACTCCTCGCCGTAGTTCACGCGAGGTTGGTTGATTACGCCTTCTTTAACATATGTAATCCGTACATCCGAAAACAATAACTGGCCAACTAATGCCATGCGTGAAGTTACCTGGGAGCCGGACGAGAGGCCGAATATCGTCGTATGACTAAGCTGTTCTATCGCCTTTTTCTTCCGGGATAAATATGTATACTGTATAAATATGTATATTGGTGGTAAGCCAAAACTGTCCAACAGCTGTACAACTAAAGTATTCTGACAGTTCTTTAAAATTGCTGATTTAACATCGACATGTTTCTAATGCAGAAACGTTTTAACCATCAGCCGTATGTTCGTATATATATATGACTTATTTTTCACATTCGACATGAACTGGTAACCTGACGAAAGACTTCCACGTATGCTTAAGCTGTCTTATCGGATTTTTGCTGCCCGGAATAAGTATAAAAATTTTTAACCTAAAAGGGTTAAAAGAACCATTGTTTGACCGGAACTATCTCCGGTAAGGGGCAACCGCATTTAGTTTGAGTCGTCCCCGACTGCAACGACTCAAACGATCTCGTGGGTGCTTTCCAGGAGTATATATATATATATATACCAATGGAGAACTTACTTGCTGTATTTACGCCTAAATTTTGATTTCATCATTATGTATTTGGTGTTGTGTTGTCTCTATTTATATATATTGTCTTATAAACTCCCCTGTATAAACAGTTTTGTACACTCCACCCTTACCAATTTCACCACACCAACCGACCCATCGCCCCACCTTGCACAACTGGTTATATAAGGGACCATATTATACATATTTAATCTTATGTTTTTTGTTTTATATTCGTCAAAAGAAGTGCATGCCGCACATTTGTGTTTTAGTCCGGTAGGTCTTGTGCATACATCTCGTCTTAAATAATAATAATTGCCAATTTTATTATTTATCACTGTTACGAGACGAATAAACATACATACATACAAACTTTTTAGGTGGTATGCCAATCAAAAAGATTTATCCGTAATGTGCACCACTTTCGCTAAACAGCACGACGACTGAAAACACATAAGATTCGCTTACAGATTTAGGTCACCGATCGATCATACGTCACAAAATTAAAAATTGCAAACCTTGTTGGGGTTCTATCGCAGACTACAGGTATTGTAAGGATTTGATACTACTGCATTATGGTCTCACAAACTCTAATAAAAAAGACATGTGAGGTGGAAAAACGGTGGTGTATTGATATGGCGTTATTGTATTATATAAACAAATGAAGTTTTCAAACGCAGAACAAGAGCGACCGTTTTGGTCACAGAACGGTAACTTCTGAAATTTGTGGCAACGGCTTGTTTTCTCCTTGTGAAGCTGAAATACAGATTGAGTTTAATCAGTAAGATATGCCTAAGAAGACATGTAGTAAAGAATAACTCACAGGAGCAAGAATTTGAAAGTAACTCAATGAAATAATTTGCTCATTACGACACTTGACTGAACCGCCCAATAGCATCAGAAAATGTGTTCAGATGAAATTTTCTTATTTTGAGTTTAAGCTCTGTCTATAGAATTGAATTTTTCAATTGTGTTTTTACCAACACTCGACCACGTCTTACCAGATAAGAGGTGTACTTATAGTCAACTTCAATATTCGTTTTTTAAGTTTGAGAGTTACCCTTTTTTACAAGTAACCGAGAAGGTGACTCTATCGGAAAAATTACCTGCTCCGTCTTTTCCTATCATTTCTGTTTCCTTTGGGTTCTTGGTATCAGTAAATGTTGCGGAAGACGAATGAGTTGCAATGGTTTTTGTGATTGCTGTTGTAGCCTTGATCATTTCACGCTTCCCACGAACGAATGTCCTTGAATATAACAGTAAAGAAGTTGAACTTATTACCAGCAATTTTTAGGATAGGATTTACATGTTTATCCCCGGGGAGAGGAAAGTCGATAAGATGGCTTAACCATACGGCGAACCACGGCCTCTCGTCCGGTTACCATTCCATGTCGAATATGTGTGTGTTCGGAAGCATGGACTTGGTGGTGGAGGAAGCAGTAACCGACCAGCCACCCAGCAATCCTCTCGCACATAACCATCGCGCGCATGGGATTCGAACCTGCGAACCCACGCGGAGTAATCAGAGGTGCGGTGGCGAGTGTATTCCTAACGCTTATCACGATGAGCCACACACATTCTATAATATCTCGAAGCATTGCATTGAGAAGTCAATCACATTTTGTAACGGACTACTTACTAATTTCTGCATTAGATATTATATAATAAACAATTTTCAGCTTTTCAAACTCTCCTTGAAAATTCACATACCTTATAAGCTTTTTGGTTCCTCTGGCAAAAATATACAAATAAGGGTTGATGGCAGCGTGCATGTATGCAAATAATGACGTCATAATTCCAAGGTTCTGGCAGATATTACTCTGAATAAGAAATATTTCATCAAAGTTCATTGACTTAGTGTTTTTTCAGCTTCCGATAAATTTAGGTAACTGTAATATATCATAACTTAATTAAGGTGACCAAGAATCGTCTTGGTAAGGATTGACAGTTCCATTGAATGTATGGCTTCTTCCTTCCTCTAATTTCAAATATTCAAGTTACCAATTCAGATTTCAGTGTTCTTGTTACTTTTCTACAATTCCCGTATAAAGTTTAAGCACGTTACTAATATCATATAATAGAAATTGGTATCAGCGCCGTAGACCGAACATATATCGCACTGAAAAATTATTGGACACGTTTAGTGGCCATAACGATCGTTTCCAAATTTTGTTGTTATTGTTATTTTCTTTCGTCATTATCATTAAAAAATCGCTTTTCTCTTCGAATACTGGACCAATTGCTTTGAAATTTTCAGTGGTTAAAGATAAAAAAATTTTTCCAGAAGGCTATTACTTTTTTTTTCTCGCTATGACGTCATCAAAATTATTGCCATTGGGTGGCGCTACGTGTCCATATATTTGAGCATAGCTCTCTTGTCTTTATAATGTTCGTAACAAGTGAATATATTTTATAGATATAATCTGGAGCATAAGTTCTCAAAGTGCTCCATACGAAACCCCGGGGATCTATGAGAAAAAAACTAGGGGCTCCGTAAGTTATTCGTTCACTTATTGAAATACTAACTAGGCTAATTTTGTAAATATCGAAAGAAGCAATAACGGCAATAATGAAATTCGACAACGGTAGAGTCGATATGTGGCAACTAGGCGGTTTTGAAATACGACATTATCTATAAGTTCCAATAGATAATGTCATATTTAAATCACCGCCCTGTTACCACATTTTATCATTGCCTCATTATTATGTTTGTCACCAAGTGTCAAATTTACAGCGTTAATACAATTTATCTGTGAAATTTAAATTTATTTATAGCTTGTATTAACCCTATTAAGAGAGGTTTAGTATTTTAGTATGTTTTTTATTTTTATAAATACATTGTGGGTCTCCGTAGATAATAATCAACCTATTCACGGGCTTCATATATATCATTAAAAGTTTGAGAACCCCTGATGATGATGAATAATAAAATACAACAAGTAATAACCTTCGAATCGGCGTGAATTCCAACAATTTTCGCGAGATGTGTTGCATGAAATGGCAACCAGCAAATGACAAATGTTATCAATATCAGTCCACACATCACAGTGACGCGTCGTTGCCGATTCGTTCGCTTTTGAACCTCCTGTTTTTCTTGACCCATGGCATCATCCGGAAATGAGACGGAAGCTATCGCAAATTCTCTTGATGGTTGTAAATTTGTATCTACATTTCGGACACGCCGGATAATTGTGACGTATACAGCACAAATAACCTGGAAATATATCAAAGGATTACCCAAATAAAACTTTTTCATTCCAAAAGATAAATATTATATAAATTGTTAATTTTACTTTTATAACTTACCATAAACGGAAGTAGGAACATGACGAAAAAATTGACGTAAAGAAAAATATTGAGCGGTTCTCCATGGGTGTGGTAATGACATCCAATAGTCAAAACGTCACTTAAATCTGTTGCTTCGTCGTTGTAGGTAAGTTCGTCGAAACTGCTTTCGTTTCCGAGAAGAATTTGTTCATGTCTAATGTAATTTGGTTTGATTCTTTAGTACTATGGTGTAGTTTTGCCAGGGATGTTTATAAACAAAAAGATTTTTAAAAATTCTCATGTTGAAATTCATGACTTCGAAAATATTAACTTGATCCACCGTGCAACAAAATATTAATAATAATATAGAAATATTTTTTATTGCTTCAACTGCAAATAGAAAGAAATTTTTCTAGCATAGCATAATTTATGTAAACGAAATATCTGAGAATGCTATTTTCATATGCCATTACGTTTGATCTGGGTGGAAAATAATTTTTTAAACTGGCCTACAGCCTACTACAAACTTACTAGTTTTTTACTATAATAACTACCCAGAATAATCGTATTCCATATTGTAGTCTCCATATTCGGTTATATTATCTTCTTTTATTCCCCATTTTTCGGGGCATTTATTGTCACTTTGACCCACTTTCGGGGCCCATCGAAGACAATCTTCCAATTTCTCAGCGGTCGTGAAGTTATTTGCTAAGCAAAAATCCTCACCAGTTAATTTATTCGGATCAGGAAAATCGTATCTAAAATGGAAATTGAATTGGCAAAACAGTATGGAAACGCAATAGAAATCAGCGAATAATTATAATAAAAAGTGCACTTTTGAGCTTTTTTAGCACCCCCACAGGGTGGTTCACGTAACCGCTGGTTGGTTACGGCTTCTTCCACCATCAAGCCCACGCTTCCGAAAACAAATACCTAACTAATCCCATACCCGACATGAAATGGTAACCAGACGAGAGGCCGTGGTTTGCCATAGGGTTAAGCCGTCTTATCAACTTTCCTCTCTTCCGGGATAAATATGTAAATCCTTTTCTTAATCTCATTAAAATACAAACTTTATTTCGATAAGGAAGCAGAGAGAGGTAAGTTTTCAGATTTTTTTAAAAGCCTTTTTTATAGCACGTCAAAAACTCTACAATACATATATTTCTTTCCAACTTAGCCATCGCCCTCCCCCTTCATTGTGACGACAACAAGAGAGATTCATTCTTTCTATATCAATAGAATGAAAATATAGGCTATAACTTACGCGCAAACGCAACTTCCATAACTTCCTGATTTAAATTTTCCACTGTAAAGCATTATCGGAATACAAATAATAATAGAACAGATCCACGTTATGATTGTTATGACATAGGTAGGTATCCAATATCGCCTTTTTGTAACATTTTTAAATCCTTTGCAAACCGAGAAATATCGATCAACACTCAAAATCTAAAAACAAGATCACATTAAAATTACAATTTAGATTTCTAAATGATTGACACTTTCTTGAATATGGCGGATTACTATCAAGCCTCAATGGATCAATAAAACATTTAAGCCACTATTTATGTCACATATTATGGTTTCTTTTTTGTATGGTATTCATTGCAAGCCGCCGTACACCGCTTTAAAGTCAGTAGGCCTACTTCTTTCCCAAACATACTTCTGATTCAAAATTAAAATAAATTTCGACTACGGCTCAATATTTAAAATTGAAAAAGGTTTTAAGTTCAGATTTCGCCTTCTGCAACATTTTTTCTTACAATTTCGACTCAACCGTCTTCCGATCTGTTTTTAAAACGATATTAAACCTCAATTTCAAGATATCCAAATTGAAAAGTTGAACAAGACGAAATAGGAATACCCTGCATTCAAAATTACCATTCAAATGATTACCGTTATAAATATGATGGAAGCATAATAATTGAGAAAGAGAATTGTTTCTTTTCCTTTGCACAATCCAGTTGAATACAACCATGCTTGGTTAATTTTCTCCGATGCACTTAACGGTATAGTGAGAAGAAATAAAGAATTGGCAATTGCAAGTTGCAGTATGTACCTGTAAATATACAAATTTTATAAAATAATAGTAAATTTACTTCTAACTCATGCATAATATGCTCTTAAACCTGTTTGAATCTGTTAACAATCACGCACGTACCAGGTTCACAAACATACGACCGCTTTATTATAACCGGTAAAGGTATTGGTACTATAGGATATGATTTACATATTTATCCCGTGGGGAGGGAAGCCGATAATAGGAAAGTCCGTGCCGGGTATGGAATTAGTTAGTTATTAGTTTTCGGAAGGAAGGACTTGATGATAGAGGAAGCAGCAACCGATCAGGTGTTACGTGAACCATCCCGCAGCGGCGAGGAGATCAACAATCCTCTTGTCCCTAATTATTCCCCACGAGATTCGAACCCGCGACTGTAATCAAGGGTGGTGTCGCGAGCGTATTTTCTAACGCTTTGCACGATGCGCCACACCGACCAGCCTATCTTGTTATTCAATTCGATCAATCAATTCGTTTATTACTCCAGACCGCTGCGGTCCATATAAAACCTTGCAACTTTTGAGTCCCCCCCCCCAAAAAATGGTGTTTGAACGCACTATGTAGGTAGGGTTGGGGTTCATGCCAATAGAAGGAATTCCATCGATTACTGTAATTTGAAAGAAGGATTCTTCTACTATAAATGCGTCATATTTGTCGCGAAATCTGTCATACCTTGCCCACATAATTAAAAGTGTTAAAAAACCGACACTGATAGGTATGGAACTAACACTGAAAATTATACGCTGTTGTTGAAAAGGACACGTTGTTTTCCCGGCGGTTCTGGCTTTAGATTAGCAAATTCTTGTACTAAACCTACCAACTTCTAATAAATTCAAAACAAAGCTTCAATCGAATTAGTAGTTAGTCGTAACTCTTCTTCTTTACAGCAACTTGTAGACATTAGAAAAGTTGTTGGACTTGAGACAAGCTATATATGGTTATATTGTTAAATTCGTGTCAGACTTTTATTTTATTAAAAATGTAAAAAAAAGCTGTACTAATTATTCGACAATTTTTTTTTTCAAATGAAAATTATGTTTTGTGGTCATTTCATACAAACAATAGAAAGTCATAACAATACAAACAAAACGTAGAAATTCGAAAGAAATTTGAAATGGCCGCTGCTCCTTGTTATTTTTCCATAAATATGTTCATTTATTCAAGTTTGAAAATTCCCATGTGAATATTATATAAATTCTTGATCGAAAATTGGGATCACACTATTCAAATTTGATTTCTACCAAACACGAATTGAAGATAGATCACAGCTAACATTCATTCCTTGCTACGATTCATATACGGAGAAAAATCGTTGGTAATACCATTTATACAATACTAGTACATACGGATGTATGAAGCATTTCTGTGGGCAGTGCTTTGGTAATTAAGATTTGCAACAAAAAATCAATGAGTTGGTGCAAGACCTACATAGTAGGTAGTGATAGTAAAATTTAAAAAAAACGAATGTAAAAACAGTAAACCAGCTGTTTTTAATATTAGATCACGTAATAATATTGATAAGAATAATTCTTATCATTGTCATAAAATGTTAGAAAAGTTTATACCAAGTTTAAAAAGAAACAGTGAAAAATTACGACAAAATCGTATTTCTATCCAAAACAAAATTGCATCGTCTGGACATCGTTTTGAAATTTTGGGAACACATATATTAGCAATTCTAATTGCTTTTCAGTCTGCAACTGTCTGTGTTTCAATCGCCCAAGCCTGTTGCCTCAGTCCTGCATTGTTTATTGAACCGTTTCCGTTTGGAGATGCCGTATTGGGTGCGTTGCTATGTAAGGTTTTTGACAGAGACGATGGTGGCCTGTCTTCAACGTTATTGTCAGCATTTTCTTGTCCAGGCTTAACACAAAATGTATTTGATTACCGCAATTTACGGACCATTAAAGCATTGTTGATAAATTGCCTAGGTTGTGATTTTGGCCATACATGAGGCGCGTCGGGTTATAAGACGCAACAGGTATTGGGTGTAGGACTGTATGCAATAAAGCACATATTATGATCTACACATTAGGCGCACCGGATTATAAGGCGCACAATCGATTTTCGAAAATAAATCGTTGAAAGTGCGTCTCATGGTCCTTCCAATACGATATATATATAGTTTCTAATTGTTCTTCAAATGGCGATGTTTTAATTAGGTTATTGATTAGCACTACAGAATAATTTATCATTTAATATTACATATTTTTCCAAGTAATTGAAATGAAATTTGCGTTTACAAGTGATGATTTCTAAGTCTAAGTCTATGATGAAACGCTAAGAAACTCTGATCGTAGATTTTGGCACTTCGGGAAAAATTAGAAATTATGATTTAGCATTATTTTATGTTGAAAATACCGGACTATTTCAGTAGATTATTCAAATCATAGCACCAAATTAAGCACCATTGTGGGAGCTACGTTGGGACGGGACGTTATTTTTGTCAATTGCAGTCTACTCAGTTTACAACTCCATAAGTGAGATCATGGATATGAGGTTCGTAATTAAATTCACCTATTCAACATTTCCAAGTTTTCGTATTCTTACCTCATTTCCAACACCGATTCGACGGTTTGAGCGTCTTTTCTTGGATGCGATAAAATACCATAATGCCATTCCCATAACAAAAAGTATGACGACTGCAGGCACAACAGTGCATATAACAATTATTTCTGTTGTAGTGAGAGAGCGAATTCCGTCGTCAACCGTAGCTAAGAGAAAATAATAAATATCGAACGTAAACAAGAACTTTCAGCCAACCTTTGCAACCGTGTATATTACTTTCAGGTATAAATCTTTCCCCATCGATCAATGTAGACGGCTATTGAAAAGTTTATAATACGAATAAATAATTTCCCATACCAACTCAACAACAAAGAATCAGGGGGGGGGGGGATTATATAAGAGTAGGTATGACTATTTTCACACAAAATTTAGCATAATAAATTTGCATATTAGAGTGGAATATATATAGTGGAATATAGTGATGAAAAAAATAAAATTAGTAATTATTCTGATAGGGTTAGGACTAATTTTTATTTCAAAACGTGGCGAGGTGCTTTCTCATATTTCAGTTTTTCGCATTGCTCGCCGGGGCTTTCTAAAAAAGATCCGTGAGCTTAAAAATATAGAATTGATGATAATTCATCTACTTGTACCGTGATGATGTTTGATGCTGCGCCACCATTCACTTTATCGAAAGAACATTTCATATTTGTTTTCAGCCTTTACCATCCGCCTTTTAAATGATGTCGTAATCCCAAAATAGTATTTTGAGTTAAGATAACAATGTGGAAATAAAATAAGCTTTCCAATTACCTTGCGTTGAAACATTTTGCATTGTGCTCTCAGTAGTGATATTTCTATAACTTTCAATGTCAGATTCATATTTCGGTGTTACGTTGAAGTCTGGAAAGTAATCGTATTGGTTATTACAATAGATTAAAAACAAAGATAATGGCAATGAAATTATTGGTGCAGCAAGGGGGTGCAACAGGCGGCTCGCGGACCACAACCCGGCCCGTCAAGCAATTAAGTATGCCCCTTTTCACCACTCTGATTTCCCCCCATCAAGCATAAAATCCTAATCCGACAGGTTACTATCTGATACTAACAAACTATGGGAGAACTCGACATTTCAATTGTCCCACTGAAATGTTTAATAAGTTAAATTTTGCATTGTTGGATTTTTTAAATTCGTTGGGTGAAGGGAGAAAATTATTTTTTTTGTGTGGCCCAACTGAATTTGATTATATGGCCCACCGACAAGAAACGTTGCACACCCCTGAGATGGGGTAACATGCCTCCTTCACGAAAGTCTATTGCGGTTGTGCTGGTTTGGTTTTAGCGCAGCTGCTCAGAGTGTGCAATACTTACAGCAATATATACGACGTACCTGAATCGGCGGTTACATTACTGGTCACGTTGAAAGTCAATTGTCTCGCAGACGTTGGTGCAATCGTTGACGTAGTCATCTGAGGTTGAAAGATAACTCGACCACCGGTATCTTCTTCCAATAAAGGCGGACCCTCAAATAACGGGGGCCCGAGTAGGAAAGGAGGAACTCCAGCGGCGTTTTCGTCAGGCGGGATATTGCCATCGAATGGATTTAAAAACTCTACGGCAGGTGACGGTAATTCGTCCACATTTTCACTCAATAAATTGTTTCCAGGCTGTGCTTCTCTGTCCATTGCTCAGTTAGGTGAAGGTAACGTGATATCATACGCTTGTTTAGCAAGAATAATTATTGAAACAGCCTCTTTTATCTGATATATAATATAAGATGCCTGTCTGTATGATCCTAGTACGTCAGTGATAACAAATAGTGACACTCTCTTGAAGCAATGTTTTTGATTACAAGGGTGAAAACTTCCTAAATTACTCTAAACATTTCTACCCTGTACGAATATTTATAACTACCGGTAGTAGGATCCGCCAGGCCTAACATGATAGAGTTGTTTAGTTTACATAGCAATAAATATATTAGCCATTCTATCTATATAAAACTGAACAAAATTATTCCGAGTCACTGAAAATGGCCTTGGTATCTCGTTTCAGACAGCGCGTTTGAAACATGACTTCAAGACGATGAAAACCTAATATACACCTTATACTTATAACAACACATGAGTCATTACTTTTGAACTTATCGAAAAGTTTGTTATAACTTGGGCTGACTTACCTAAATCTTTCAATAAAAAGCTCTATCCGTTATACAGGTTACGTAAATTTAGGCTAAACTACTGGAATGAAATTATTTTCAGTTTATGCGCCCGCGGCAATATAGTAAGGTTAACAGCGATCGTCTTAAAAATTTGTACCAAAATTGACTTGCAATTATATTGTTGATCCAAGGCCTGCATATCGCGCGATTACTGTCAAATAGGGCTGGGAATGGTTAACCGGTTAATCGAGTTTAGATGGTTAAAGGTTACGATTTATTTTAACCGTTAACTGACATCTCAGGTACAAATCATCTTTATAATGTACAATTCCTTCAAAAATGATTACGTCATCGTAAATTTATCTCCTGTGGCGTTTAATTTAAAAGAATATTACCACTATATTGGTAAGGACCCAATAATTGTGAAAAATAATTGAAGTACCAAGATTGCTCATTATAAAAACTTGACAATGATAAATTCAGAATCAGTTGTTGGTCGAAATATATTGTTCACGATATTATTGTAACATCGAATATTAAATGTCACCCAACTAGTGCGCAGTTGATGCTGTTTTTGGACACTTTTAGTGGCCATAACGATCGTTTCAAAATTTTGTTGTTATTGTTATTTTCTTTCGTCATTATCATTAAAAAATCGCTTTTCTCTTCGAATACTGGACCAATTGATTTGAAATTTTCAGTTGTTAAAGATAAAATTTTTCTTCAGAAGGCTATTACTTTTTTTTGCTATGACGTCATCAAAATTATTGCCATTGCGTGGCGCTACGTGTCCATATATTTGAGCATAGCTCTCTTGTTCTTTATGATATCCTAAAGTTCACATCCGAATTGTCACTTCAAACACTAAAAAATTGTCACACAAATGACATTTAATATCGGGATCGGGTTTTACGAAAATACTTCCGTATGTCCGAAGCACGCTGCATATCTCTTGCAGCAGAGCATCGTGAAACTATCTCGATTCGTGAATAATTTTGAGCAATTCCGGGATAAGGTCACGCAAAATTGCTTTGTGATCATTGGGACGTAACAAGCTAAAACAAATTATAAATTATCACGTGAACGTCACGCTGCGGTTAACCGATTAACCGGTTAATTTTACCCGCTTAACGACTAAAGTGTTTTCCCTGAAATTCCTAGCCCTACTGGCAAAGTAGCCTACGTATTATCTCGTATTTGACCATCAATAAATTCCATATTTAGGATTTTTGATTCTTTTCCTGTTCTAGCTAGGATATATAAAAATGTGGGTTTCACGCCTAACTTGTCCCCATCTGATTCAATAACATCATAGTACCGTAAATTGAACTAATTTTAAGAAGTTAAGGAATATACTCAAAAACACATTATTCAAAATTGTGCGATTGTGTTGCCTACTAAATACTGTATGCAATATGCATCACAGACTGACATTCTGCTGTTAATCATTTTTTCCGAGGTTACCAACGCAACGTATGGAGTCAAATCTGATTATATGATTTCCCAATGATAAGGTGGTCAATTCAAGTTTATTTTTCCAGACAGTTAAAAACAAGAGAGCTATGCTCAAATATATGGACACGTAGCGCAACCCAATGGCAATAATTTTGATGACGTCATAGCGAAAAAAAGTAATAGCCTTCTGGAGAAAAATTTTATCTTTAACCACTGAAAATTTCAAAGCAATTGGTCCAGTATTCGAAGAGAAAAGCGATTTTTTTAAAAATGACGGAGACAAATAACAATAACAACATAATATTGAAACGATTGCTATGTCCACTACGTGTCCAACAATCATATACAATATTCAAAAAATAAAAATCACACAGTTTTACTGGGGAAGGTAGGCCGTGGGGAACCAAAACTGGGTATCGAGAAGCGACACTTAACGTTCTAATATGGGCTATAATTAAAAAGAGCAGGGATTTTATTATTCTCGGAGTTCCGTGGCCAGTTGCGTTACATAAGTTGAGAGTTACTTATTGGACACGAAATGGACATATGGCTCGTTTCGTTAAATTGTTGTTCTTAGTATTCTTGTTGTGAAAAAACATTTTCTCTTCAACTACTGGACCAATTGCTTTGAAATTTTCATTGGTGAAGCTTACTGTTGTCGCGAGAAAGCTATTACTTTGCTTCAAAAATTTCTGTGGGTTCTATGGAATTCGTTTATTACATTAACCGCGGTGACGTCATCAAAATTATTAATAAACAAATTGCGCACGACGCGGCGGTTCCGCGATCGCATTTCAGCCATCGGTGGTCAGCATAGTCGGATGTTTTCTGAAAAAAAAAACTACCGGCACCGTAAAAAATTAGATACCATTTATGTTTAGGTTTCGTGTCCATGCATTTGAGCACTGCTCTCCTGTTTTCAAATTCACGAGAGATGCACGAGAAACGGAACAACATGATCATATTTTGTTTAACATTTGTTAATTGAAAATGAAGGCACAGAATCCTTCATTTGTTCCCTCGCGACTCCGGTCACGCAAAAAACATAATTAGTACTGTAATTTATTCATTGTGTCATTTTTTGTTTGAAGTTGTTTTTTGTGATGACAAAATAAACGATTGATTGATTGATTGATTAGTGTTTGGATAGAGTCTTTGGATACAAAATTTAGTAAAATGCGAAAATCATTCATAAAAGGGTCCGGTAAATTGATAGCAATCATGAAGTGCAGCAGAAATAGATGTCGTGGCCTTTATGACTATAACTGTAAATTTTGACGAGATATTCGGCCTACATAATGTAGAGTAGCTTACATAATGGGATGATGCAATTTTACCCCGAAAATTAGCAGAATTTTTGGATAAGCAAAAATATTCCAAATTCAATGCGCACCTAGTGTACGATACAAACATGATGATAAGTAATATTTTAAACATAATGATCAAAAATTACAAACAAAATTATTCAATCTGAAATTCGTTTCTAGCTCTTTTAGTGAACAGCTCGGCCGGTGTTGAACTGCAAATAGCGACGACTTGTTGTCAGTCTCACGCTCGACTGCCCGTGAACCGTGACGTGGCTACGATTAGTGGTTGTAGACGAATTTTTCAGATAATAAATAAACCAAAATTTTCCATCTGGTTGTCTCGTCATATCAATGTGCTGGAGTTTTCGTTCTCGAAGTTTTGACGATTTGTGTTTTTAGTTGGCGTTCCTATATTTTTGGATTTGTTTCACTTTTAAATACTTGCTGTGTAAGGGCATGGGTTATATCGAATGTCCAATTGTCAGATTGAATTAAATTGTATGGTAACTATGAAGACGGAATAGAAAGAAATTGAGAAGAGTGGCATGTGTACATGACTGTAAACAGATAGGGCCATGTTATTCTAGTTCTAAATAAGTCTATTAACTCCATCAACTCTAGATGCTGAGATGCCTAAACTGCCTACCGCTCAAGCAATTTATTATATTCATTATACGTAGTCCTGTAGTCTAGTCGAATGAACTTTTGAATTTAGGAATAATTTGAGACACTTTTATTTGAAAATTAGCGATTCTGAGTTGTCAGAGAGTCTTTTTAGTATAGCACAGTTCTCTTATTCCAAGAATAGCCCCCACATTGTAAGACGTCAATTATAACAGTGAGTGCAAACCCATTTTTACGAGACAATCTGAGTCTTCATATTACTGTATTAGCACAAATTGGCAAACCGGCACTGCTCAATAAACTAAAAGAAAGCGCAATCTAAAACGATACCATTGAATTTTTTGAAAAAATATTTCAATTTACGTGAAAAAAAAATTTTACTGACGGTCGCGATTAATTTAGATTATTATTGAGACAAGTATGGCCCGATCAGACTCATCTGCTGACGTGCCGGACACTCGTTTCAGAGACAAATTGAGTGTTTGTTTCATTTAACAAATGTCGGGACATCTTGGTATTGCAGAACTGTGCCTTGCTGATATTGGGAATAAATTTTTAGTAATAAAAATAAGTTTTTTTCTAATTTTATTAATCTTTGAATGTTTGAATGCAGTCATTTAAATTAACTTCTATTTATTTCGTCACTTGCTCAAACAAACTTATAAAAAGAACAAAAATTGGTGTCTGCTCAGACTCTAAGAACCTTCTGCTGTTGCGATATTCCTGTATTTCGATTTCATAATTTTGAAATTTTTTAATTATGAATGGATACGATGGAAAGATGTATAATGGATCACAACAATACGGATCAGCCAGGTATGTAAATCTTTATTCAACTTAATTTAATTCATTAATCTAAATCCTATTTTAGATAATTATTCAGTTTATTTATTCTATGTTTTTTACTGTTCAGGATGATGCCGCCTGTCTCAGCTGGTGTTCCACCTTATTCTGGTGTGCATGGGCAACCCATGATGAACCCGCCAGGTATTTATTTACGTTCATACTCAACACATCACTTATGTTAGTTTTTTCTGTTCTCAATAAAGTGTGAAAAGATATGTATGATTGTTACTTCATTCCCAATAATATTTACGGTAATTTAAGCATGACATTTCATGAAAAAAAAATTGGTTATCAATTTCAAGGGATTTTTCATTGAAGTTTCCAAAAAAGATTTGAATTTTTATAAAGAAAGCCATCTTTGCCGATACTTTGTTTCATTTGTTATTAACTTTGTTCGGTAGGTCGCCCAGGACCTGATGGGAATATGATGATGAATTCACAAAATGTATACAATGCAAAAAGTCAATTTCCCCAGCAACCTCCGATTGAAAATCAAATGCGAAATGTTCAACTAAACGACCATAATGCTCCTATGCCAGTAAGTGTTTCTTGTAACTTGACTATTCATTACTATTTACATATAATAAAGTATTTCTAAGACATGTACCTGACTCGCAGTGCTAATTTATTGGACACGAAGTGGGCCTAAGGATAGTTTTGTCAGTTTGTATTTTTGTTCTTGTTGTTGTGAAAAAATCGCTCCTCCTGTTGATTTCAGTGGTTAAAGATTGTAAATTTTTTTTTTTTGGGATCTATAAAATTCGTTTTCTATTATAAAGGCTTCACCCACACTTCTCTGGGGTGCTAGTTAAAAAGTTCTGTAATAATTTTCAATTGAATGGACTAATGAAGAAATCCTAATAATATGAAAATCTGTTTAAAATGACCATATATACTGAAATTATCATCTTCATATTTAGACCTCCACTCAGAACAGTCATCATCCACCAAGCTCCTATGGTAATGCTCCACCTATGTCTGGCCCATCTGGAACAACATACAATCATACATCACAGTACCAACCGCAACCTCAATACGGGGCTCCACCTATACAACCAAACAGAAATCCACCGACTTCCTACGTTCAAGGCCCTCCATCGGGACCTCATGCACCTAACTACTCTCAGCCCCCAACAATGAATAGAGCACCAGGTCCCGGTATGATCCCGCCACCTTCTTCTGGCATGGGTGGTATTGCCCCAAGGATGGGACAACCACCCGTATCCAGTATGGGGCCACCTGGACCTGGAATGGGTCCACCTGGACCTGGAATGGGTCAACCACCAGTATCGAGCATGGGGCCACCAGGTCCCGGTATGGGTCAACCTCCAGTCTCTCGGATGGGACCTCCTGGTCCAAATATGGGCCAACCTCCAGCACCTGGTATGGGTCACCTGGGACCAGGTATGTTACCTCCAACATCAAATCAAAAAATGGGCCAACCGCTTGGTCCTGGCATGGCTCAGCCACCTGGCATTATGGGTCAACCTCCTGGACCACAAATGGTTCAGCCACCAGGAATGATGGGTGGATCGGGTCCTCAAATGGATGGAAGAATGCAGCCTCCAGGTTCAGGTATATTATTTGTCATTTTTTTGTGAGCTTTCCAGATTGCCATTTAATCTATTACCTAGTTGTCATTTTATTATTTCATGTGTCTTACAAATGATTCAAAAGCTGCAATATGCTAACTAAAAACTAGGATTGTTTATGAAGATTTTAAAGATTAAGTCTTAAAATTAGAACAGTCATTTTGTTCAAATCAATTCTTTTCAAAATATGTTAATTTTAATTATACACACGGTATGTTTTTTGTGTGAAAAATACGTTCAAAATGAATCCATTAAGACTATCCAAAATCGCTTTTCATGCACTAAACTTCTCTGATGTCAATTTTCGCTGAAAATGTTTTATTTTTTATTTTGTTCAGGTCAATATGGATCTCAGGCACCTCAGCCCAGAAGGTTGGATCCAGATGCAATGCCAAGTCCTATCCAGGTATGTAACATGTATTGTACATTCTGTCTTGGTAAAACTTGGCTTGAATGATTGATGTTATATCCACAATCAACTGTCATATTTGGTCTCTAATGACTATTGTAAATCTGTAAGACTAAACTCAAAAATAATATCAAATATAGTTGGCTTATATGGATGTACAAACTGTAAACCCATCGACGAAATATTGCCTCGCAGTGTTCGCTATTTCATTAAGAAAGGCATGATTCGTCCTCTAATAATATTAGTTTACCAGTGCGTCGAATATAACATTACTTTTATAAATTCCCATCACAGGTCTTAAGTGCAGATCAAGCAAAATCTACAGAACCTTTCCGCACTGATAACCCAGGATTGGTTCCACCTCTCGTTACTAGTAAATTCGTCGCTGAAGATTGTGGAAGTGCCAGTCCACGATATATAAGATGTGCTACCTACAATCTTCCTGCTACATCCGACATTGCAAAAACATGCCAGGTAGATATGTCACCAGACTTTCTCTGCTTTCATTTTTTATACTTTTTATAAACATTCTTATACATTGGTGGTTTTCAACCTTTTTGATGGAGCGGAACCCCAGCGAAACATTCCAGAGTGTCAAGGAAGTCCTGTGCAATAGCCTAATTGTCTTGTATTGTCTGAATTATATAAACTATAAATATATATAAAAGCAAACCTAATACTGGGATAGCACAATCTTTTAATGTGTAGCAAGTTTAATAATAGTGGCAAACCATAGTATTTGAATATATTTAAATAATAAACACATCATAATATAGACTCTTGGATTTGATTGTGAATTTGGGGAACCTCTCGGCTGTACTGGCAGAACTCTAGGGTGCAGTGGAACCTCGTTTGGAAACCACTATTTTACATACTTAGGGCACTACAGCTTGATAACAAGCTTCGGTTATTTGTGCCTTGCTTATTGGGGAGAAACCTTTTTTTGTGATATTGTATGTTATTTTCTACTAGAACTTGACTATGAAATAATAAGTTTCATTTAAATCAAAATTTTCAAAGTCTGCTGTTTTGAATAAATTAACTTCTGATAACAGGTACCTATGGCACTATCAATTAAAGCAATGGCCAAACTACCACAAGGAGAAGCACCTGCTCTCATTGTTAACCCTGGACCTGAAGGACCAATTCGTTGCAAGAGATGTAAAGCATACATGTGTCCACAATTTAAATTTCATGATGGAGGCAGAAGATTTCAATGTGTCATGTGCAGCGCTGTAACTGATGTATGTGTTACTAATCAGATTTAATGATGTTGATGATAGTTTCCTTAGTGTGATTTATGCAGTTTCAATCGCTAAGCATTACTATTTCCATATAAAAAAAATAATACTGGCATTTTTGACAATGCTGATATATACACACATATAAATTAATTAAATCTTTAGTTTATCATTGTGATATCATCAATTTGATTACTGTATTTTACGGAACATTGAGACTCATTGAAATGATTTTCTTTTCTTAAAAACCGATTGTGCGACAAGTCAATATATTTATTTATACTTTCTCAATAATTATCGATTCCTTTTTTCTTTCTCAGACTCCACATCATTTTTTCGATCACGTTGATCATATGAATCAAAGAGTAGATAAATATCAAAGACCTGAACTTTGTCGAGGATCATATGAATTTATCACGACAAAAGATTACTGCAGGGTGAGGTCTACATATTTATATTGGTTAGGAATTAGGAATAAGCTTGCCATGGCAACCAGATTATTATGTGTGGGTTCCCAGGTTCGAATCCTGTGGGGATAATTATGTGTGATATGATTACTGGACTCCTCACCGCTGTAGAGTGGTTCACGTAACCACTGAGCTCCCTCTACCATCAAGCATCTGAAACAAATTATTGGCTACCTAATCCCATACCCGACATGTACCGGACGAGAGCAGTGGTTGAGCTGCCAGTCCTATCGGCTTTTCTTTCCTCCAGGACAAATATGTGAATCCTATCCTATCATATTTTTTCAACTTTTCAACAACTTGTATTTTGACTATATTAATTTATACTGTTTCAGAATGATGAATTTCCAAATCCTCCTGCCTATATATTTGCTATTGATGTTTCATATAATGCAATTAAATGTGGATTGGTGGAACTTCTATGCAACAGAATAAAAGATCTGCTGGATAATTTACCATGTGATGTAGGAGCGGAAGAGACGAGCATTCGTGTCGCTTTCTTTACTTATAATAACAGTCTTCATTTTTATAATTTGAAGGTAACTTATTAAAAATATTTGGTCTTTCTGTAGCAAAAATTATACTGTTTCTCAGTCGGTGTGAGGGAATTCTTAGAGTTATATTAAAATTAAGATTGCTGAATTTATTTACTATCTTTAAAAATATATTTTCAGCTTTTTTGAAATCATACATAAAGCAGGGATAATCTGGGTGAATCGAAAAAAATTTTGACGAAATAATTGATTTACTTATTCCTTTAAAATTGTTTATAACAAAATAATTGTTTTTTCAATAGCTAAAATATACTTTATTTTGGAAATCGAGGGCTTAAACCCAGAATTACGATTTAGGAAAACATATATTTTCGACTTTAATGAACATAACTCCAAACCTTGATTAGAAACAGCTTTATCTTAGTAATTTTTTCAAATTTTTTCTTCAAAATTTCAACATTTGCCGTTATTTTCTTGAAACACTCAAAATGTAATCAACGTATCAACTATTTTAGTTACCTGATATATTTATATATTTTGTTTGAATTTTTTTAGAGTACTCTTGCACAGCCACAAATGCTTGTTGTCTCTGATGTGTCTGATGTATTTGTTCCTCTTCAAGATGGATTCCTCGTCAGTGTGAAAGAATCAAGGTCAGAGTTGATTATTGCTTCAAAAATTAGTTACTTGAATACCCCTAACCAGGGGTGTGCAACCTTTAACACAGGAGGGCCAGATACAAATTACTGGGTGAAACCGTGGGCTGCATCTTTATTTAACATGGCATTCTAGTAGTTGCATACACAAAAATTAGGGCATTGTAACATCATATGCATAGATTAAATATTTTGACTCTGATGTAGGCTTGGAATTACTTGCATGTACCAGATTAATCTAAATTGAAAACTCATTTCGGGGCCGTGCAATGTCTTCTTGTGGGCCACATTTCACCCGCGGGCCACAAGTTGCACACCCTTGCCTTAGGAGTTGGGGGTATGTTTTGCTTTGTTAGCAAATCCTTTTTTTTTAGTTTCATGTTTGAAAATTCTATCTTGTCTATTTTCTAATAATTACTTTTTAAACCTGTGCTCAGAAAATGAAATAAAATGATCACTACATATTCAGATATTATGAATGTTTACTTTGAATTATTCTTTGAAAATAAAATTTTTAGAAACTTAAGATAATTAAAATACTTTTCCCTTAAAATGAACTTTACTAGATTTTGTCCTAAATTTTCCCATTTTTTCACACAGACATGTTATAAACAGTCTACTTGATCAAATACCTGAAATGTTTGCTGACACCAGAGATACAGAAGTTGTCTTAGCACCTGTTATACAAGCTGCTGTGCAGGCCTTGAAGGTGTGAATTTTCCCATTGTTTATTCATTACAATCGTTGTTTGTTGTGTGGGTGTCCAGAAAATTCTACCTAGAGAATTTGGAAACGAGTCTAGAATAAGACATTATACAAAGAATCCACTAAAAAATTCTCTAATTGGAGTTTTTCTGGCTGGGTGGGGCATTAATTGGCATATTTTTCGAGTGCGAAGTACTGTTGTGTATTTTGGCATACTTTTAAATATTGGAAAATCAGGCATATTTTATGTTATATGTTTTTATTAATTGGGGTACGTGGGTAGGAATAAATCCACTGATAGATACCAGCCCATGATCTAGGTATTAATTAGGGCTGTTGTATCAAAAGTTTGACATATTTTCGTTGACGTTTGGATTCGAGCAAAATTTCAAATCTCTTTGGATTCAAGAGTCAGAACCGTAGTCAAAATTTTGAGATCTTGTAAATTCAGAATACAATTGGTCTGTCAATCAAAATCAAAATAGTCGCATTAAGTTGATGATTCATTCTCAATAGATTATTGGTAAAAGCTTGCTATCAAAATTTATTCTGATTTTCCTTATTTTAGTATTATTACGAGTTCGAGACTGTCAAGTGAATATACCCCCTGCCCATAGGTTTCAATCCCTTCACACAACTTGATGTAAAATAGGCGCACAAAATTAGTCACCTCCATATTGGTAACACACATCTGGAGCGCCCAACCTGAAATTGAGCCGTTGAATTGGGTGCCAGTTTTCCCTGATTTCACTGCCCTGGATTATGCACTAATTTCGTATACAAATGGTCACAGTGTATTCTCTTTTTCCAGTCTGCTAAATGTCCTGGAAAATTGTTTTTGTTTTTGACGTCGCTGCCTACTGCTGAAGCTCCAGGAAAATTGAAAACTCGAGATGACAGGAAGTTGATTGGAACTGACAAAGCAAAGGTAAGAGCTAAAAATGTTGAAACCTTTCAGAACAGGAGTACTGTTGATAGGACTGGATTAATCAATAAGCAATAGAAGCACATGCTAACGGCACCAAAGGGGAGAGGGGGAATCCAGAAAATTGTCTTCAAAATTAGTTCTGCTACTTTAACAAAAAAAAACAGTTAAATTAGCACAGTTAAAACAGCATTAAATATAAACAATTTATTTTATTTTGTAACTACTTTCTTTTTTCAGGTTCTATTTGCTCCGGCTGGTAATGTTTACAGCAATTTAGCGAAAGAATGTGTGGCCCAAGCATGTTGCGTCGATCTATTTTTGTTCCCGAACCAATACATCGACATTGCTACCATTGGACAGGTTGCCCAGGCAACTGGCGGTGATATATTCAAGTATGGTGAAGCTATTGATTCTGGATTTGTGGGAGTTGCTGTATACAAGGCTCTTCACAAGCAGATTATTTTAATCATTAACCAAATTCTTTTTTACATTCTTAGCTGAGAACTTTTGGACAGTGGACAGCTTTTTATTTGACTATGCATGTTGATGCCTAATTCAGACTAAAATATAGTGCACCATAAGGGATATTTTAGATTTATGTTAAAAAATGACTGTTTTTATCCCATGTAATATACTATAACATTATTTAAATTGCTGAAGGTCAGTTCATTTATGGTTCATGCTTAATTAAAATTAATTTACTGAAACTAATTGAAATTATTCTTTTTTCTTCAGGTATAATTTCTTCCGACCAGAAGTTGACGGTGAAAGATTTATAAAGAATCTTGCTTACGATATTGAACGTGATATTGTTTTCGACGCTATATTGAGAGTAAGAACCAGTGCTGGTAAGTATTATCTATTTTCTAGAACTATGAAGTTAGAAATTCTCAATTAACAATATCGTTCAAAGAATGTAATTTGAAAGAAGGAACTTCAATAATAACAATTGAGTCTGTGTCCAAGTTGACTGAATATGGTTGCGAATGTTCATTTGGCAATATTAGTGGTTTTCGAATTTTTATGGCCCGCGTTCCCCTTCCAATGACTGTCAAGATTCCGTGGCTCCCTGCGCCTCAATAGGTTACTCACTGTATACTCATGCATATTAGCCTAGTTTTATACTAAAAAAAAATTGCCAAACTAAGGGGCTGGCTTATACTCGCAAAACTCTTATCGCACTAAGACGAAATGACATTATGCTAACTTAATTCCAACAGCTACAATTCAAAGTTCAAACCATTCCTAGTTCTCACGTTAAGAGGTTACACGCACACACGAAAAGGCCCGCTCAGAACGCTATGACAGTGATAACAGTCTGTGATTGGTTGTCATACACGATGCCCTTACGGATGCAGAGTCTTATCAGGGTGAAAGTGTTAAAGAAAAATTAAGAATCTTTTGAAAGTTTTATGGAGAGAATTTTTTTTACATTTTGAAATTAACATTTTTCTGAAAGTATGACCATAGTATTGACCATTCAGCGATGATGTACAAACTTTTCTTAGTTATAATTTGTTATTAAAAAAATAAAGATTTTCCTGTCAATGCGATGTGAGGTTGAAAAGCTTGGGAACTTCTGGCTTCTTGTTCTAAGAAAGCTTTTCGTTTCAGGTTTTCAGTAAAAGAATTTTTTTTTCTTGTAATCAGGTATACGTGCTGTAAACTTTGTTGGAGCTTTGAGTATGTCTAATACTACCGATGTTGAATTAGCTGGATTGGATTGTGACAAAGCTATCTGCGTTGAAATAAAACATGACGACAAAATAAGTGAAGATTTGGGGGCTTTTGTTCAAGTATTTATTATTTGCTATTATTTTAATTACTGTAATTTACAGATCATAAGGCCATAAGACCTAAATATTTTTTTTAAAAAATACATTGTGCGCTTTTTAAGCCGGTGCATGGAATATATGGATCATGCCTAATTAACTACACTCGAAGCCAGTACGGTATTGTTCAAAAAACCGATGTACCCTGTGAATGAATAAGAACCTGATCTAATCAATTTATTGACAGTGCGCCTTATGGTCTATAAAATATGTTTGATTTTGTTCTCAGATAACGAGATCACTTGATCACACTCAAATCTTGACTCTAAATCGAAGTTAAAGGAAAGTTCTTACGTCGGCTCAGACTCTATATTTGTTCAATTTGAAAAAACTACTCTGGCTCTTTATTCCAATATCAATAAGAATGTGCTTAACTCTTACTACACAACCCAAGTCAGCAATGCCTCATAGTCTGAGTCAGCCATTTGCATTTTCCACTGGAGTCTGAGCTGGAATTGTATTTTCATTCTCTCTGTACCCTGAGTCAAAATTTCGAATCTCAGGAGTCTCAGCTCTCAGTTGTAATTTCTGAATTTAATGGTGACAATCAAAGCCTAAATTTTCTACAGAAAGTTCAAAACAAATTACTGAATTCTAATGCGGAAACATTGAATTAGAAATTGATAGAAAACAGTCAATTTTCACAACTAGCAATTAGCAAGCTGTATCATTTCTAATTTTTATACGCTTTAATATTTTTTAGGTTGCTGTTTTGTTCACTTCTGTCGGAGGACAACGTCGTCTACGAGTTCACAATCTTCATCTTGCTGTCTGTAACCAAATAGGTGATTTATACAGAAGTTGTGAAGCCGATGTCCTCATCAACTACATTGCCAAAACAGCCATCAAGTAAGTTTTAATCTTATTCTTAATTTGTCTTTTCTTCCTAACAATCCAGTATGCCCTTTAGTTGAATTACGTATGTAATGACTTCAATTTATTGTAGTTATTTTTGGAATTAAATTTCTGAATTTTGAATTTTTTTGTCATATCTTTTCATACTTTTACTCCCAATTTGTCTCTGTGAGCCACTGACTGTTAAGAGTCTTTTATTCTCAATAAAACTAGAGATATTTCCACCCAATTATTATATGGGTCCATGGGTAAGGTGCGGAAACTGGATTTTAACCTAAGATCGAAGTAACTCCAACCAACGCTGCCACAAGCACCCCGTCCCTTTAATGGTCGGGGCAGAGGAAAAAATTTCTAATTTTTGTTGGAATACCTTGCAGCAATGTTTTCAATAGTATTTTACTTCTTGCAATTCAGGGCTGGTCTGACTGATCAAGAAAGTAAAATTCGAGAAGAATTGGTGACAAGAGTAGCAAACATACTTGCAGCTTATCGTAAACACTGTGCTACTCCGTCATCCGCTGGACAACTCATTTTACCAGAATGTATGAAACTTCTGCCTGTGTATCTAAACAGTGTACTGAAGGTAAATGTACTTCTTTTTAAATGCTTTGTGTTTGCAGTACCATGTATTCGTAGAAAAATACTATGTACATTTAAATTTAACTTGGTGAATTCATTTTTCAATGAGACGTATGGTCCACCTCGTATGGCCTTGATGGCGATGCATCTTGCTAAGCAATAGGAACACTCTTGGCATCGCAAATGATAGTTTGAATCCTGTGCGCTACTGTAAAACAGCAAGGTAGAACACACTAAGAACATTTTAAACATTGGGGGTTACGACCTCAGAAAGCCCCTGCTGGCTTCGCCTCTGCTTGACTTGGACTGGTAACCGTTTGAAATCCTGTTTTCAGCATAATATGATTACTTCCCAATTTTGGAAAGTTTAAAAAAACATGACCAACACACACTTTGGTATCAGTAAAAACATGTCAAATTCTGGATCCAGAGTCTGCAGTTCTTGTCGTAACACTTATTAGCTGATATTGTTTATTGTTTTTATTCTACTAAATGGGTAATATAGTTAGATTTACAAACCATATATATTTTTCTAGAACGATGCGATTCATTCATCGCATGAAATATCTACAGATGATAAAGCATACCTACGTCAGCTTATTACTGGAATGGATGTCGCAGAATCACAAGTGTATTTCTACCCAAGGCTTTTCCCAGTGGTAAGATATTGAACTGAAGTTTTATTTCTTGTTTTTTTTTGTACAACATAACGAGTTGAAACTACATCTATAAACATTTTCCTGGTTTGGATTAATTTTTTTTCAAGTTTAGGATATAGTAGTTAGATCTTGAGTTGTATTATAGCCATTATTGCAGATGCCAGAGGTTCTTTATCTGACACAAAGTATATATATGGATCGTTTTATTATTACATTGTTGTTCATCTTGTTGATATTTTTCTTTCTATCATAATGAACAAATCATTTTCCTGTTTACTGGACCAATTGCTTTGAAATTTTGTGGTTAAAGATTTTTGTTTTGTAGAAGGCTATTACTTTTATTTGTTTCCAAATTTCCTATGAGATCTGATCTCTAAAATTCCACGGTTTTATTTTTATTATTGTAAACACACTTGTTTTAAAATTGTTGTTTTGAAAATCCGTCAGACCAGTTGATTCCAAATTTTCTGTTCTTAAAGTTGGACGTAAGAAGTCACCAGAAATCCAATGCTTTTATATTCTGTTTCAACTTTTATTTGAGTTTTATGGGGCTCAATATTTTCAACATTTTTTTCTTTTATCGTGCATAGTGTGCTTCCACATTTCATTCTGCTGGGCGAATCCACCATCTGTCCATGCTGAGCTATGTCCTTATCAGTACCGCTTCACCGTGGTTAGTCATTTAATCGTTGTGACTAAATATTTGACCATTGCTCACTTATCTGTAATGGTTAACTGTATCAATATTATTCTTCTAGCGTCAATTTACGCCTCCTAATCTACCGACACCAGTACGATGTTCAGAAGAACGCCTGGATGACAGTGAAGCATATCTGCTAGATAACGGACTCAGTTTCTTCCTGTGGATTGGAAACGCTATCGACCCTGAATGGGTTAGGAGTGTGTTTGGAGTGCAAAGCACTGCACAGATAGACATTGATTTGGTAAGTATTGATAGTACGAGGAAATTCCATTCATGAAATTTTACCAAGACAATTCTTGCCTTGGAAATGTCAGACTTGGAATTTCCTCCATGGCAGTATTTTTTAAACTTTTTTCATCATGTCAGACTGGACATGGCCAAATTTTTTGGTGACTCTCTGGAACTATCTCAAAATCAAATCAAATTTAATAATACAGAAATTATTATTAATAAAATAATCGAATTGACAATAACATTATTACAAATTTCTAGGAAAGAAGCATTTTTTGTCCGCTAAAGGTTGAGTTAAATTTCTCAATTTTTTTTATTAAAGCTATATTTTTCCAATGCAATTCTGACATAGGAATATTTTCTTCCTAGTAAGTTATTGATGAAACATGTTTTTTTAGTTTTTGTGACAACTCAGCAATTGTCTGAGTGATGAATTCTATGTTTTCAGGAATTTATGGGACCATAATCATTTCGGACTCATCACTATAAAAAAGTCACATACAATTGAATCTCTTCCAAGTATTCGAGATTCAATTTTAAAAATCATTAGATTCGATTCTGAAACCATCAGGTATTCGAAGGTGACCAGTCCTAGCTATATATACATTTTATTTTTTACTCGCAGGGAAATCTTCACCCATTCGACAATCCATCATCTCAACAATTACGTGATTTGATGGATCTTATCCAAAGCGGGAGAACTCGTCGCATGAAGGTATTTTTTATATTAATGACACGAGGTTTTACACAGAGATGTGAAATATATAAAGTAGACTATTTGTTACAGTTTCGGTTCCATTTTATCAATATAATAATACTAATTTTCTTTTTCATAGCTTGCCATTATTCGCCAGAGAGACAAATTGGAACCATGGTTTAAACATTTCCTTGTTGAAGATCGTGGCATGGGAGGAGGTGCTTCTTATGTTGACTTTTTGTGCCATATACATAAAGAAATCCGTTCAATTTTGGCTTAAGAAGATTTGCAACCTTAGAAAACGAAGACTCGAAAAAATTGAGAGCAAACTTGTACATTTGCGTATAGATGCCAAGTTATAGATATAAATTATATTCGTATGTTTATGAGAGAGTAATAGAGAGAGGAATGAATTAATTCTGTATTTGAGGTTTTTTCAAGGAATATGCTTCAAATAGATATTTATAAAAATGTTTGAAAATCGTTTTTAGATAATAAAAAGATTTTTGGTTTATTTGTAATTCCAAATTCTATCAGACCATTTCGATTCTGGATTTGAATTTTTGGGCCTATCCTGCTCTAATTTTATGGTCAAATATGATGGTTTGAGAAGCTGAATAACTCATACTCGATATCTTAGTAGACGTTTGGATGTATCAACAATTGAAAGAGTATCTGTGTTGCACTCCATGAAAGTATTCGATTATACTCAGAGTGAGTATGAGCGATATACTCTCTAAAAAAATGATAAGGAATATGGATCAAAACTCTTTCTGCACTAGTTGGCTCTATTAGCAATTGAGAGAGTATTTGAGTTAGACTCTGAGTCAGTATGAGAGTTATATTCTTTAAAAAATGATAAAGAACACGGGTCAATGCTTTTTTCTGCATTGTCAGTTTCGAAATACTGTAGCATTGTTTGACTCTATCAACAATTTAGAGTTATACTATCGTATATTGCCTACTACATCAATTCACATGTGTGCCATTAATTATAAGTGGTATTGAAGCTTGGTCCGTGTATGGTAACATTACTTCTTACCAGCACTGAACATAATTGGTTATGATTGAAAAATGCCAAAACTATTTCAAGGAATTTTTTAATAAAGTGGGATTTCAGTGAACTGTGCCTAAAATGTGACACCGAGGCATGTTTTATCATTAGTTCATGCTTTACACAAGGAAATGTGGACTTGAGAAAAGAACATTTTATGTATGTTAATTTCAGCTTTCGCTATTCTGGCATAAAAAAAACTATTGTAAATACATTGATAATTTATTTTTGTGTTTTTGAAACATTAATCATAAAAGGGAGAGAATGGATGATAGAAGTGTTCGTTAAAGATATAATATTTTTTTCGCATTAGTTTCACTTCAAAGTTTTTCAACTGGTAGTACTTTATTAAATGCACCCGAAGAAAACTGGAATTTAAGTAAACTAGTTGTAGCAAAGAATTTGATTTTGTTATGAATATTTTCGATTTGTGTTTGATATTTGCAAAATTTGACTAAAAACTGGGCCACTTGAACTAAATTTAAATATTTTTCGACAAAAAAACACTTAAAATGGCAGTGCCGGATTTTTTTCACCAAAATAATTTTTTTTTTTGTTATTTTCTTGATACGATCTTATTTATTCTGATTATACTTCAACAAGGAATAAGTTTAGGCTTTCAGAATGATACCATGCTTGTTCAAGTATAATCAGACATAAATAAATTCAGATTAAGTTAGTTTGGGTGTTTTAGATTGTTGTCGGGGAATGGCTGCTATTTGTAGAGAATCTTTACTGCTTTGTGCAATGTTTTGCGACTTGTAATTAAGGATTCGCAAACTTAATGCATATTGTTATTTTGCGCCATTTTGTTGTCAGCTCGAAACAGTTAGTTGTTGATAGAATTGTTTGTTGTTTATAAAAAGTGTCACTAAAATATCTTATCTATCTATTGCTATGAAAATAATATGATATGTGTATAAACAAAGTCGCTGAAGATATAATTGTGGACTTTTTTGTGTCTGTGTGAAGAGTATAGAGATCTGTATTTGTTATCTGAATACGAGGTTTAGCTTGAATTCAACATTTTGGAATTGTGAAACCTGAGTTAACCAGTCAAAAAAAGTACTTGGTAATCGAATAGGGATCGTAAAAAAGATTTAGTATCACGTCTAATATTGGACGACTCCTTAGAGCGCAGCCGGCTCAAGAGTTGGTGGCCACTAATTTTTAAGACAATGCTTACTCATACTTTCGATCTGAACAAAGCAAGATACAATCAGGCATCGATATCTTAGGGAAGCTCTCCACAGACTTGCTCCGCTGTCGATGATATGCAATGCACAATTTCATCTATCTCGTTTGGCTCGATTAGGTGAAGGATAGAGTAAGCTACATAACGTCTGTTTATCGTAAAACGTGTCCTTAAAATTGCAAAGAAAATTTATGGATACCATATATTGTTTCGGTCCTAACAGATGTATTAAATTAAGTAAAAATACATCTGTGAGGGATATCGATAAATTTCCTTTGCAATTTTAAGGACACGTTTTACGAACGTGGCTTAATCCACATCCTTCATCTAATTATTATCATTCCTTCCTCCAATACTTATTAAACAATTACTGATTAAAAAACAACAACCCTGGTTAAGCTATATATTGAGAACTAACTGACTTATTAAAAAATTGTAAAGGTGTATCTCGCACAGTACTGTCATACCATAGCCCCGCGAGCCTACCATTTTCTCAATAACTGTCTCTTATCACATTACCGCCCACATTTTATTTAAAAAAATCAGACTGTACAATGTAGGCTGTATATAAATGTGAAGAGTAGAGCATTACAAAGAAAACAGTGTACAAAAATTACAAAAATAAGACGGAGCGTAAAAGGATGATAATACATTGTGGATGAAAAACACCTTCTGATATGAAAATCAGCCTCAAAAGGCGAGTGGTACAATTTTGACCAAAATCTATATTTGCAAGTCCATTATATATTTAAAAAAATGCCACAAACATTTCTTATGGAAAACTATTAAAATATACTGAAAAAAGACTTTTAATAATGTAAAATATATGAAATCAAAACAAAAAAATTGAAGATTTTAGTACATACAGAAAATGTTAAAAATTACCAAGGCGGGCTGGAGTAAAAAAAAAAAAAATACTTCGTACGTGCATGTGTGTTGTATTTTTATATCTAGTACCGTGAGTAAAATAAATGCAGACATTCCTGAGTTATGAGCTAGTTAAAAATCACGAAAAACGTCGCGAGACAAGATGTTTATTTAAAGCAGGGGTCGGCTAACTTTTGTCGTTCGTGGGCCAAAATTGAAGGTCGCAAGTCATTGGGGGGCCGCACATATTTTTAGAAAGGTAAAAACCAAAGAAATGGCTAATGAATCACATTTTTTCAACAGATTTCAGTTAAATTTCAAGCAATGCGCGAACCCTGATCATTTGAATATTTTCTGCATCATTAAACCATTTGCACTCAGCATCACCTTTTTTACATCCTGTTGCCATTTGTCTAATTATAATCAATTATAGGCTCATTAAACGAGTGATTGTGAATTATATACTTGTTAGGTTATAATATAATTTAGTTTCCCAAAACAAATTCTGTCACATAAAGAATATAATCGTCAATATAACTGTTTTGTTAATATAATTCAGTGAAGTGTCGCAGGCCAGATTATATTGCTCTGTAGTTAGCTGACCCCTGATTTAAAGACAAGAAGATATTTAAGCCTCACATTACTGCAAGAGTTAGGTTTATGAGCTAGTGGAGAAAAAACTGAACGGCAAATGTGTTACAAACAGCTGAGGTATTGCCGAATCCAACTGCGATTGAAAGTTTGTGAATAACAGGACGGAGTGAAATTCAAGGTAGCGCTCATTACTTGTTAGCATTTAAGTTATAAGAATTTTTGCAACTCTTTAGATATAATAATATCAAATATCTTTTGCCGGTGCTTCGGAAGTATCCATACCAAGATGGCGCACAACCTGAACATAGTATGTGTACCAGGTTACGGTTGTTCAGGTTGTACGTCATCTTGGGACAAATACTTCCGAGCGCCTTTTTGCCACTGTTTTGATGCATAGTTGATTATATTTAATCAATCACATGCCACAGATAATTCTTGATTTATCGATGTATTATGTTTGGCAAACATACTCTTGTTGTATATAGAATCTGAACATTGGCACGTGGTGGTTCACTGTTGAGAATCTTGGAAGACATTGTGCATAGAGCCTAGTTGTGTGATAAACTATCGGGCGAGATCACTTCTGTCAGATTTTTTCCTTGTAGTGCTGTTCTGTGTTTTTTTCTTGCTGTTGGAAAATAAATAATGTGATTTAAACAGGGTTGGAGAGCAGAGCTGGGGAAGTGACGTTTCATTGTAGCCAAGCCATAAAGTTTGGGAAGTCCATGCATCTGAAACAAATATCTGACTAACTATTTCCATACCTGTTCGCTTGACCACCAACAGCGCCACAAGATGCGTAATTTTCAATTTTGACGATGACAAAAATGAATCCTACAGAGCCCACAATTTTTGAAATAGCAAAAAATACAATCTTCAACCACTGAGAATTTCAAAGCCATTGAGGAACTAATGATAAAAGCGTATTTTTTACAAGAAGGAAACAATGACTAACAATACCAACAATAACATAATAACAAAACGATCCGTATGTACACTCCGAGATCGATAAACACATATCATGTGATCTGGCTTATAACCTCTTGATCATAAATTTGGGGGCTCTCGAAGTATGCGAACCAAGATGGCGGATATCGGAATGTAATATGTGTACTAGGTTAGGGTTAGGCCATAATTTTAGGTATAAATACTACGGAAGGCTCTTGGCTAGTCTTCGAACTGATAATAGGACTAAAATAAGGAAAATTGAAAAAAAATTATCGCCTAACCCTAACCTGTTACCCATGTTACATTCCGATGTCCGCCATCTTGGTTCGCATACTTCGGGAGCACCTAAATTTGAATACAAATTGACCTAAAACTATGAAACACGCTTACGTGTCAGATTTCCCAGTTCCAGTAGTTTGTCTAGAACTCCTGGAATTTGATTTTGAAAGTGAACTTCCTGAAGTTACCACATTGTTTGTACCTTTTCTCGTCTTTGTTTCGTTGGCTAAGATTAAGAAAAAAAGTAAAATACTTTAAAATTTAGGTTACAGCAAGCTCAAACATTCGCAACAAAACAAAATAATTTGGTACTCCTGTAGTATGTGTGCCAGGTTAGGGTTAGGCCATAATTTTATTCCAATTTTTCCATTTTTAGTTCTATTACGAGTTCGGGACTAGTGACTCCCATAGTATTTGTACCTCAAATTATGGCCTAAACCTAACCTGGTACACACACTACGTTCCGTTGTCCGCCATCTTGGTTCATATACTACGGGAGTACCAATAATTTTATGGATGATAAAAGACTATTTTCAGTATGCAATTAATATCAATTCGGAAATATTTCAGACAAGTCTGTGAAATTATCACTTTTTTCTTACTTATTTATTAACACTTTTAGATCCATATCTGACTCGGGTCACACATGAATGAGAAAAGAATTAGAAGTGTCATATTCTCACTTCACATAAATTTTTAGGTGATCTTCATTGCCTAATTTCAAGACATAAGATGTGTCTCAAAGTGAGATGATATTATTAGCGACGATGTTCAAAACGAATTGAATATTTGAATACATTCCAAATTGGGGGATAATTCACTAAACGCCGTGAAGTACTCTTATTTGGCAGGGCGTACCATTTTCGCATATGTCATTTCTAACTAAAGTTATTGTCGGCGGAGAGGCAAGTTTGGGCAATCGTAGGTGTATACTTTGGCAATCTCTATGACGTGATTGTGATGGCGTAGTCAGGTGGGGGTTGGGAATGACATATGCAAAAATGTTTGTGCCACGCCAACTAGAAGTACTTACGGCGTTTAGTGAACATGTGCCCCAAAATGGATATACTCGATTTATTAAATTCTTGATTTTAGGAAGAATTTAAAATGTTTTCATCTGAAAATGGCATTTAAACATATATTATTTCATGATAGACAAAAATTAGTAAATTTCTGAGAGAATAAAATAGAGGATTTAATAAAACAATCAATGTTTATTACAATTGTTCTGCATAAATAAAGTTAATTTCTACGAAGTTACAATTGTCCCAAAGAAATTCCCTTGTGGAATAGACAAAATATATCAAAATCAAAATATATTCGATATTTCATATTCGAAAAGATTATTTTAGAATGAATTCGGAATGCTAAATTATTAGATTTTGGCCATCCCTTGATTATTAATATGACAATTTTGATATGTAACATTACTCACCATGAGTACTTGATGTCCGATGAGAGAGTAACACACTTGAGTGAGGAGATCGAATTCTGTCAGGTTTGTGTGAGAACGTTGTGTCTGACCTAAAATATAATGTTCATTAAGTTTCACTTTTTTCACCTAAAAATTTACTAAGGTCAACAAACAAAAAATTGAGTTGCTAGTGTTTTATTTGATAAAGAAATGAGTGATCTTGGATTTTTTTTTTAATTGTGGCTTCACAAGTCCGCTTAATAACGGTCATCGTAGTATAACACAGTTTCGCAAGAGATTAGATCGAGAACATACCAGAGAGGCAGTTGGAAAGCCAGAACGGAGGTTTCACGTATTGTGACTCCCCTGTAATATGTGTTGTAACCCCTGCTATTCAAATTTATTATTGATGCGCCCTTGCATAAAGGCAACTCAAAAAAACTCAAAATTTTATTATTAAAGGATTTAAAAAATTGCAAACAGGAGTGTTATAAAATCCCATCTTACCTTGAATGATTACTTGATCCTCCTGACACGGCGTTCAATTTCGAATCGGACAATGATTGTGAGGAGTTGACAAATGCTGCATATGGTGATGAGGTGGAATTTGACACACTTGTCAGAGTACTGGACGGAGGAGGAAATTTACTTGGACGTTTTGCTGGTATCGGTGAATGTGATGTCCCAGATGGTAAGCCACTATACTGGACCGCTGAAGAAGAAAATTATTTTTTAAGAATACAACTAGCAAAGTTGAATAATCCGGTTCCAACCAAAATACTCAATCCCAGCCATCCCATCCCATAAGATTAACATATTTATCTCGGGGAGAGGAAAGCCGATAGGACGGCTTAATCATATTGAGAACCACAGCCTCTCATTCTGTTACCAGTCCATGTCAGGTATGGGATTAGTTAGCCAGTTTTTTGTTTCAAATGCTTGAACTTGGACAATAAAATATCTTTCAAAAATTAGTCGTTGCTCATACAGAGTGAAAGGGTAAAAGTACTGTACGTAAAAATATTAAAAAAAAAATTATGTTCATTTGACTGATATCTATTCATCGATTCATTTCATGATATCTACTATGATAAAAAAAACTCATTTCTTACAAACCTGTACTGCTTGGAAGTCCATCTTTCTGGTGTAAGAACACGGGAGTCTGCTGAGTGCCTACTAGATGATGAGTGCTTTTATGTCGAGTGCCATTTACTGTATAAAGGAAAGAAATTTGTTGAATATGATTTGAATATTCCAAAAATTAGTAAATTCGAAATAGTAAATTCTTAACATTGGGGATTATCTAGAACAGGTTCTCAAATGTTTGGTGCCGCGTCCTCTTTTTCGAATTTGTCAAGTCTTGCACCTCATCTCAAAAATAACCACCGGTAGTAGATAACAATAAGCTACGAATAACAGATAGCAAGGAGAAAGTATATTTTATTTAAAAAACATGTTGGAAATACGTGGGTGAAACGTAAATAATGAAATGAATGACAATTTTGCAATGTAAATATTCAACATAATGCGGGCAAGAATATTTTTAATTTGCTTCACGCCCCCTCAAAAATTGTCCAGTGCACGAGAAGCTAAAGACACAAATTTTTTTTCCACTAACCTTTATGGTTTGAAGTTGGAGTGTTAGCTGAGGATGAACCAGCTGCTAAAGAATTTTTCGAAGCTCGACGTTGTTTACGATGTCGATTCGATTTATCTGGCCATGAATTGGTTGATCCTTCCTTGCCAACTGAGGAATTGAAGCTACTGTCCATATTTTTGAGAGATCTGGAAAAGGATTTTAAGTTCCTAAAATATGGTTTACCGAGATTGAAACATAAACTAAAATTCTAACAGAACGAATTTGAAGAAAATAACGTAAAAGTTAACAGTAGACTACTGGTATGGCAGTTTTCATAATCAACGCGAAAGCGACGCGGGCAATTTTCGATGATGTCATCGCACGCAAATAACGAATCACAAAGAAATTTGTCCAACAATTGGTTCAGTAGTCCAGAAAAGTGATTTTTTTCACAACGACAAGAAAAATACCAACAAGAACAACAACATAATAACAAAATGATCGATACGTACATTTTGTGTCCAATAAATATGAATTATAATATGCCCTTAAATATAGTTGGGTGATTGTAATCCAAAAATCAGTAATAGTGTATCGATAAAAATAAAAATGAGACCGTCGTGTTTTGACTTCAACTTGAGCGACATAGCGATGCGTTACAGATCTCAAATTCAAAATTTATATTTCTAATATATTAGAACAGCCCTATAGATGATCATTCTATATAATTATGTAAACAATCCCATAAAGACGAGGGCCCCGGCTTCTCCCTCCACCGGGTTCGAACCTGCGAAGGTGCAAACCTTTACAGAGTATCAACAAACCTGTCATCATCTTTAGATCTTTCTTCTCTTTCAATCAACAATCTTTCTTCTTCTTCCTTCTTTTGATCATGAAGATCATCGGCCATAAATGTTCCTTGTGTAAGCTGAAACATGTTTGAGAATCAAATTTTAATTTTAAAACTGGGGAAAAAAAAAGGTTTTAATTTTCTGAAGCGCAGGTCAGATTGAATAAGCTATTTTGCCTCTGATAGCATGATTCATAAAACTTTAGAAAACAAAATTTAGATTCTGTTTTGAATGTAGCGTAAAACAGCATTCAGAAGTAAGAAATAAAACTATGATGTTAACGTCAAACGTACCGACTCCATGGCGACTTCAGTCCGATCGAGTTCTAGTATTGCAAATCTCACTGAACTACTGACGTCTCTATCTTTTTCTGACGACAACAGATGGCGAACGCTTGATTCAAGTTGCTGATGTAATGCTCGATCTCTCGGCAATTTCAGAAGAGATTTCAAACTGCGAAAGTATAATTTAAATTAATTCAACTAAAAAATCAGGAACATGAAACAGGAAATCTGTATAAAATTATTATAAAGCATTACTACAAATGTTTTATGGGGTCACAAGATAAGAGCAGCTCTTCAACGAGTGCAATACAGCGGTGTTAAAGCAGTGGTTCCCAAGGTTTTTGTTCATGCCGCGCCCAAATTATCAGGGAAAAAACTCACAACGCATCTATATGAAAAAATTGCTGCTTTCAAATAAAACTCAATTTCTTTGTCATCTCTACCTGCTTTTCATTCGAAATGAATACAGATGTTTAACAGATCTAGTAATAATCTAATTTTGTAAACCATATTTTTAGCATTATTTCCACTTCATAATTTTCACCACGGGAACATAACAACATCATACCTTGGTAATATACTGCAAAGACTCAATCTGACGTTGGCAACAGGATCATGAAATAAGTTGAGAACATGCTCGAATAAATTTTCTTTGAAATACGATTTGGAAAACAGCGCCATCATGTGACGACAAGCAGAGAAAAATAAAATTCTGCTTTTGTAGTTGCGACCGTAACAAAGATCTAAACAGAATATAAAAATGTAATTTTAATAGTAGACAAGAGGAAACTGAAATCCGAAAAAGTTCAATGATCGACCTCTTGTGCTAAGCATTAACCCTTTCCGTGCGGTGGGCACGTATACGTACCAACGACGAAAGTCGCTAGATTGCAGCGGGTACGTTGATGTACTCCACTGTTTTATTTAGCAATCGGTCGCAAACTGTTGGTCTAGTTTTTCCGGGTTTTAGTTTATTGATAAGAAGTCTTCTTCGAGATTAACATAAGCGACGGTAAATCTCGCTTTCGTTTACGATGGAAATTTTATTTGTGGCTGAACGAGTCAGTGTTTTTGAAATTTATGCAAATTTCGGTGTTTTTTGGGTGGTAATAGAAGACATATTATCCCTTCCATCTACCAAAGTATTTCGAGTTAGATCACAAAATTGCTACAGCAATATTATGCTATTGTTTGCCAACCACAAAGCGGTAACAGTAAAGGATTTAGCGAATATTTCTATTTTTTATCACGGTTTGAAGTTTCAACTCCCAAGAAAAAAAAATGTCTTTCAACTATCCGGTCGATTTTCCAGACCACCACTTTTAAAAAAACTTTTTTTTAATCGCCAATTGCAAGCTCTTTAAATAAGCTTTCCAACGAGCCGTCAGTGGGCAGCAGAGGATCATTAGTTTTTGGTTAGTCGATCGATTAGTTGTGGGGGTACAAATGCATAAAATCGGTGTAGCAAATACGATTATTTAATAAAAAATAAAAATCGCATGGAAAGGGTTAAGGATAGGATTTACATATTTATCCCAGGTGGAGAAGAGTCAGTAAGATGGCTGAATCATATGGCAAACCACGGCCTCTCGTCCAGTCACCAGTCTATGTCTCGTATGGGTTAGTTAGCTAGTTATATATATTTTTTTCAGATGCATGAACTTGATGGTGGAGGGAGACGTAAACCATCCTACGGCAGAGAGGAGTCCAGCCATCCACTGAAACATAATTATCCCCAGACAAGATTCAAACCCACATGCGTTAATCAGAGGTGTGAGGGCAAGCAGGATGTGCCACACCTCCGAGCCCAGTCTTGTATGAATATGTGGAGAAAGATTACTGAAAAGGTGAATCGAACAGGGTGGCCACATAGCTGTTGGTAGGTTAAACCACTCTAAGACCATGTATTTGATGCAATCAACTAGTTCATAGGTTCTCAAAGTGCTCCGTACGGAGCCCCAGGGCTCCGCGGGAGAAACCTAGGGGCTCCGCGTGCTATTTTATTACTTTTCAAAATACTGACTTTGCTAATTTTGTAATTGTTCAAAGAAGCAATACCAGCTTTCGCGATTAAAAAAAAAATTTTCAGTGGATAACGAGATTTCTGTTGCGTAAAATATTCAATCCATGACTATTGAGAGCAACTTTTAAAATGTCTTGTCATAATAATTTAATTGTGCTTATCGTTACTCACGTTTGATTCGAGATTACTATTAGAATTACTAAAATAAAAGATTACTATTCTAAAATAATATAAAATACGTGATAAACTGCCAACAATGAATAAATTGGAATCGTATTTTTGCGATATTGGGAATTGTCAAACTTGATTTGTTCTTTCGCACTCGAGATTATTTTTAGGCAAGATATCAGCGTTACAAAAAGCTCTAGGTTGATGTTAAAGCTCAAAAAGTACAATTTACAATCTATGACCGATGCGGGCATATTTAAAATGACTTGTTCATTGGGTTAACTGTATTCAATGTAATAAATCATTACTTATCAAATTACCCCGGCAATCCACGGACATGTAATGAGAAACAAAGTTAAGTGAACGAAGTTCTTGTGGACTACCGTATATTCTGAACAACACTGTTATCATAAGATATTAGAAACAAAGTCATGTTTCCCAAAAAAGATAATACCTACTACCGGTGCCAGTAGTTTGAGAAGATATTTGTGCCCTTCCCGAATGATTCATAATCATAATCCTGGCTGATTGAGTGGCAGTGTGGTAGATTTAGCGAATTTGACAAATTTGAGCCGTTCTTGCAACACTAACTCCCACCGCGCAGGTCTGCCACTCAGATTCTTTGCAAGATATCGCAAGGTCTGGGCAAAATACGAACGATTGAAATTTATTTTATTGCATGCGGCTCCGTCGGTAGTCTCAGAATGGATAAAAGGTACATCGCGCTCATAATTGACTGTGTTTCGATTTCAGTTACTACGATGAATAAGCAAAGAAAATCCAACATAACACCAAATTTTGGGATTTACAATGTCTAAAAAAGCTTTAATCTGTCGTGAGTCTGTTGAAACAAAACTTAGTGTTTTAAAACCGTTTTAAGTTTTAGTTTTAATCATCCATAATGCCGCTTTTCAATCAAGGAATTTGAGTTGCGGATTTACCTCTTTATTAAATGTTTTAGCCCTCCTCGCCGATCAAGCAATGACTATAATATGGTACCGATGCTTTCACATTGAACTCATAGTTCCCCACGAGAACAAAAGAGCAATTATCGTTATTAGCGAAGTCTTTTAAAAATATCAAAAGGGACAAGATTCGAGTTCGACCCCTTATTTATTAATACGTTTGTCAAGTGTCAAATTTACAGCCTTTATATATATAATTTATCTGTGAAATTTAGATTTATTTATGGCTTGTATTAACCGGTATGTTAGTCGTTGTATTAACCCCATTAAAAAAGGTTTAGCTTTTATATTCGTAAATTACCTTTAACTTACTCAGGAATATTTATCTGAAAGTAACAATTTTTAAATTTATTCTGGGGCTCCGTGAATAATAGTCAACCTTTTCACGGGCTCCGCAAGACCAAAAGTTTGAGAAACCCTGAACTAGTTAACTTGGCGGTGTGGCGCATCGTTCTCTAAGCGTTTGAAATACCCTTATCACAGCACCTGTGATTACCCTTGCATTGGTTCACTGACTCAAATCCTGTGAGGGAAAATTATGTGCGAGAGGATTGCTGGACAGTGGCGTAGGGTGATTCACATAACTGATCTTCGGTCAAGGCTTCCTCCACTATTAGGTCCATGCATCTGAAAACAAATAACTGGCTAACTAATGCCATATCCAACATTTACTAATGACCAGATGAGAGGTCGTGGTTCACCATATGATAGAGCAGGGGTCGGGAACCCATGGCTCATGAGCCATATATGGCTCTTTTGATGATGGGATATTGCTCCTACAAAAATTAGCTATTCAAAGGCTAAGCTTACTATAGTTATCAGATTTCAAACTATATAGTTATTGCCAAATTTGGCAGAACATTTGCCAATACCTTTGAGAACACGCGCTCAGCGCCTATCTAAGTTATGTGTGAGGAGTGCCAGACAGACATTGCGACAAAACCAAGGGATTCTGGAACTTATTTTGTGACATCACAAAGGGATAAAGTTGCGGAGCAATAAGGAAAAGCCTTCCGTCCGTTTGTACTGTTTATTTGTTTTATTATTTGAAGCACTGTGGAGATGCCTAATAGAAAAAGACAATGAGTATCGAGGATTTCATCATGTGTTGCATGTGAGCACTCGCTCAAGGCCCTCAGCGACGACATGTAGCATCAGAGGTCACATTAATTGTATATTGAGACATTGTAAGAAAAGAACATGATTAATGGAAGAAAATGCGGTATGGCTCTTGTGGAAATGCAATTAAAAGTATGTACCTTTTATGGCTCTCTTGGCCAAAAAGGTTATCGACCCCTGTGATGGAGTCATCTCATTTACTTTCCTCTCCCCCCGTATTAATATGTAAATTATATCCTAACTAGGTCCATTCTTGATCAGGTGATCAGATGGTCATGATTAGCAATACTGTATATGCAAGTTATCTTATCACCTATAGAAATAAACATATATAACATTTTCTAGAATGATGTTACTTGTCAATTGTCATACTAAATGAGAAATAAAAATTCATTCCGATTTAACAGTAAATTTACATCAACCAATAGCTTGTTTTCTTTTACCTTGAATAAGACGAGCACACAATTCTTTCTTCTGTTCTTGTTTTCGATTATGTCGAATAAAAACGCAAATTGTTTTTACAGAAGCTTCTTTCACAGGAAGATATCTCTGTAGAAATAAATTAAATAATCCTTATTAATGAATACCTTACCTTTATATTGCATTAATCCACAATAACTAAAAGTACAAACAAGAGACATAGATCTCACGGTGAAATACCAATGCTGGAAAACAACAAAATGCTTCTACATAGAAAGTTTTTGTAAAGACAATTGTAATGTCAAGCTAAGAGCAGTCACATACATGTCTTGGTAAAAAAATTTTGGTTATACATTATTTGGCCACTTTTGGAAAACAATCTAAAATTCTTGAACTTTCTGGTTTTAGATAAATCAGGGCTCTTCAAAGAAACTGCGGGTCCCGACCCCCGTCGGTCGAAAAAGAGATCAATTTGGGTCTTGGTATTTTTTGACACAAACTTTGTTAAAACAAAATATCGACCAAATGTAAAAAAATATTTGGAAACAGTACTGAGACCTATCATCACCAATCATTTTTTCAGTTCAGCATCGCCCACCCAATTTATTATACCCTGGGTGAAGTGGTGAACACAGGATTTAAACCTGAGATGTTTCAACCAAAATACTAAATAAAAAAACTTACGTTTGAATTTATCAGTTTAAAAACCACTGGAACAAACTTATAATAAATATGATCTGATGATATAATGTCTGGTAGATGTTGCAAATGTACAACAAGGTTTTCTAACGTCCTCCATGAACTGACCCACTGTTGTTCAAGTCTTGATATTGCAGACAATAACGCTGCAATTAATTCTGATGTTGCTGTAGGCTGAAGAACAAATAATATCCATTATCTGCATGCTTTGGGTACCGTAAGTTGTTGGATACAAAATGTACACATGAATCGAATTTGCTAATTTTTTGATGTTGTCATATAAGATTATGTAATCATATTGCAACAGCCTTCAATCGTTTTTCTGGAAATGGTCAACTGGTTATTCGTTTCAGAATCTTGGCCTGGATTCCTCCTGGTTTGCCATATACGGTCCAGAAATGTCCAAAACTAATCGAATATTCGAACACATTCAAAATTGGTTACATTCAATTTATTGAATTCTTGATTTAGAAAGAATTTCATTTCAAAATGTCTCTCTAAACAATTTTATTTTATGTATGATAGACAAAAAACAATGTTTATCTCAATTATCTCATAAAACCAAATTTGATTTCTACAAATTTACAATTTTTTTAGAGAATCCCTTTTGTGAAACAGACCCTTTTCAGAACAGAACCAAGCTTTCATATTCGAAAAGGTTATTTTAGAAAGTATTCGAAATACAGAATAATTTGGTTTTGGCCATTCCTGCTACCAAATGTAATACACATACATTCTCAGGGTGCTTCATGTACTGCTCATATCATGATTGCAAAACAAATAACCTACCTTTATATCTGAGAGGCCGTAAGAACCTCTTGACATCACACAGAACATGGTTCTGGATAGGTTGCTAATAACGGAATCCATAACTGCTGAGCTGTGTCTTTCACGAAGTAATGAAACCAGATGTCCGTGTAATAAAAATGCATGTTCATCCAATATTCGAGCAATCTGAAAAGTATGCGATGAAAAGTGAGTAAAAAGTTAGTGATTTTTAACCAACAAATGATAATTTAAGATTTTTATTACATGGGGGAAAAAAGTCGATGAGACAGCTTAATGATATGACGAACTACGGTGTCTCGTCCAGTCCATGTTGGGTATGGGATTGGTTAGCCAGTTATTTGTTTCAGATACATGGACTTGATTCGCTTTAAAAATATGAATAATGTAATGCTGCATTTGTTGTTTGTACATAACCATACTCGATATATTGATATTCTGAGAGCTTAATATAAATGAGATACAAAATTAATGTAGAATAGAAAGAGTATTAGTAAGTGGTGGCTACCAGGAATATTTATAGTAATACATGCATAACCGTTGAGGAAAAACGATATAGTTCAGCCCAGACGTTTTAAATTCTATGTAGACAAACTTCATCAGGGTAATGAACAGAAAACAAGAGAGTAGTGCTCAACTATATGGACGCGAAGGCCAAAGGTATGCAATATCCCACAGTAGACTAATGGAGCCAAAGTCTTCATGGCTTTGCCTGATGCGAAACCACTACATAGTGTGTAACATTTAAATTTTAGTGACGCCATCGCACACAAATCTCTTACAACATAAAGGGATTTTTTGAATAAATATAAGTATGGTAAAAGCTCCCAACGAAAAATACAATCTTCAATAATCACTGAGAATTCAAAGCAATTGGTCATAATACAAAACAATCTATAGATACATTCTGTTTCCAATAAAAATCACTAACTATATAAACCAACGAAATTCGTCAAAAAGCCACGTTCTCTTTGGTATACACACCTCATGTATTCCAGAAGCTAAACTTTTTCTGACAGAATTATCAGGATCTGTACACATTATTGTTGTGCTGTCGAGTAATTCCTTTTTAAAATCATCAGGACCAGCAAATTGAACCATTGCCTGTAAAAAGAAAAATTATGATTCATTATCTAATTTCCTCAGACGGTATTAATGTGCTGCTCATGATACAATGTTTCAACTAAATGAATGGGTAGGCGATAGGCTAGTCACAAAAAGTACATTTATTGCACATTTATTCCCAACCAATACATTATGACAATGTTGAATCAAGCTAGCTTTACAAATACAATATAATCTTAAGTCATTTTATACTTTGTATTACAATGATGACGAACTAAAACAGAATATCTGGTTACAACATCAATGAAAAACAATACAGTAGTAAAAATATGGCAGATTTAATTATCAAAGCTAATGGGGGCTGTGTCATGTTAGATCCGAGAATGAATTACTATAACACTAGCAATTCTAAATATTTTGGATTTTGAAATGTGTTTTGGATACCTAAATTCATTTAGAACGTTGGAGTTGGAGATGATCAATGTACATGCGTTACAGTAATAAATCGCAATAAGCATCATCAATAGAATTTACATATTTATCCGTGGGGAGAGTAAAGTCGATAAGACAACTCATCTGGTTCCCAGTCCATGTCGGGTATGGGATTAGTTAGCCAGTTATTTGCTTCAGGTGCATGGACTTCACTCGAACTCCTTTTGACCAAAAGAATAACTAATGCAGGTTAGTTATAAGTTCTTTCACTATCCAAATGCATCTGTCCCAATTTGAAAATAATCTATTCTCATGGTAACCGGTCGAGAGACTGTAGCTCATCATATCAATAACTCACTAATCGGTTTCCACCTTCTTAGAATAAAACCTCCAACTCTTTTAAACTAAATTAGAACAGTGATTAGAAGCACTTACTGGCAGATTGAAAGCACATCCTCTTCTGCATTCCACATACATCGCTTGTTTCGTAGGCGAAATAGTCAGTGCAGATGATGATGTTTTGAGAAATCCATGAAAAGTTTCAAATCTTGCTTTCTGTACAGGAATAATGGGAGCGCTGGTGTCTGGTACAATTTCATTATCTTCATTCGAATCTATACCTTAAAAGTGAAATTATTTACTATCAAAATTTGTTTCCATGAACTCCTTAAGTTTAAGCATCCTTGGAACATACCATAGCTCACATACAGTGGCGTATATACATGAAAAAAATTGTGCCAACGGCAAAATTTAAAAATGAGCTCCCTTTAATAGTTGATTGACAATTTATAATGGCTGTTATTGAAATGAGATACTTGTGTCAGTTGTGTGTTATTATTTAAGTAAAAATATAAGTTTCATTTATTACCGAATTTAAAATAATTTTATTGAAACATTTTACAATTGAATCTTTTCGCAGTTTTTGTGCCCCTGTCGAAACAAGCTGTCACACCCCAGCCTGGTTACATAAGCATCCAGCAGTACAAAAAGCATGGAACGGATGACGGGCACATCATCACATGACTCAATACCACATATTAAAAGTCAGCGTCCATGCATCTGAAACGAATAACTGGTTCCCATATCTGATATAGACTGGTTAGCAGACGAGAGGCCGTGTTTAGCCATATGATTATCTCGTCTTATTGGGTTTCAGATTACAATAAACAGATTTTTCAATTTTTTTTTGAGAAAAATGTTTGAAATATAGAAGTGCTATATTAGGTTTGCAGAAAAGTGAATCCACAAAATCCCTCCAAAACAAAGCAGCAATATACCAAGAAATTTTATGACTGTAAATAAAGTGCTATGCACACATTGGGACTACTAAATTTATTCAAATCCTATCTTAGTCAACATATAATAGCAATAAAAAATTGTTTATTTTGCTTCCAAGCAGCTTCCAGAAATTGGCGTTATCAAAACACAATTAAATTTTACAATAGGTTCTTCAATCCATTTTAATTCAATAGACAAACAACAGAAGGCCAGACCAGAAAAACAAATGTTAGATAACCGGTTGAAGATAATTAACAACGATTCGGCAGAAATTCAATGAAACTGATTCGTGTACCTTCGCATAGAAAATTGTGCAGAAATGTCAGATCATTGGACTCATTGACAACACTAGAAGTTAAGGTTAGAGATTCCAAGTTCAAATCTCATGCCAACAACCAACAGAACAGAATTACAAATTGGCATTATTATTCGGCAAAATAAAAGTATGATTTTAGGAAGAAAATAAATTATTTTCATAAAGAATTATAGCCATTCGACATGGTGAAAAATAAAAAAATTGATTGAAATAAACTATTCTGCCTTGCCAATTTGAATTTGTGACAATTTAAAATGATTTCTGCAAATTTTTCTCTTTTAACATGACCCAAATATTTGAACTATCGATATTCCATATTCAAAAATAGGCGTTATTTTCCATCTATGGAACAACCTATGGTACAATAAATTATGTAGCCAATGCCAAACACAGAATTTTTTTTGAAAAACCATGGTAAAACCTCGGAACTCGGAATTAAATTGGATTACAGAATCTCTCTCAAATATGTGTGAACACTCAGTGAACTGTTTGAGTGATAGATTACGTGTTTTAACTAATTTATGTTCTGAAGGGCCCATCACAATAAAACAGTCAATACAACTAGCCTACATATTTTCCAAGTATTCGAGATTTGATTCGAAAAAAAAATTCGATTCTGAAATCATCAGACATTCGAAAATGTCTATCCCTACTAACAACTCCATATCGAAAATCTTTACTATAATTAAAAAAGAAGCCTCAGTTGACCACATATCTCAGGTGTATTATCCAGTCGTACTCAAACATTTCAATGATGTTTAAATACTATTTTCAATGGCGTTTGAACACTACTAAGTTCTAAACACAGTGAGTAGCACCTCCTTTAGAGTGAGATTAAAACTCATTATATCTGTCTCAAGTGCATAAGATCAAAGATTATCTACTCAAATTGAAATACCGGTAGATGAGAAGGGTACTCAAGAAAATAGAGAGTACTTTTGAAAAACAACTCCGTCTATATTTCTGAAAATTTTCCCTAAATAACCATGCACGGTATGCACTAAAATAGCAAATGTATTTGAGATGGATCAACAAAGAGCAAAAATTTCATTTATCAAAACTCAATTCATTTAAGATTAATTAGAAACCAAATTCGTTAATTAATTCTTGGTCATAAATGGACCCCATATTAAAAATACATTCATTCCATAGCCCATCTTTGGTCGACTATCAAATATTAACGTAACACTTGAATCCTATTTAAATAAACAAGCAAACCTGAGAAATTATTTTCATTGGCATTATCTGAAGTATATCCAAGTTTACATAAGTATCTATAGCATGATAACATCCACGTTCTTTGTTCTTGATTGAAAGCATCTGTGCAGGAAAATATAAAATGAGGTGATATGGGGTAGGGATTGAATTTTTATTTACTTACCGGTAACCACTTAATTAATTACAGCTTCCTTCATTATCAAGTGCCTCCTTCATAAAGAGATACCTGATAGAGTGTTCTCATACCCGACGGGAAATGGTAACCGGACGAGTGTAAGTGGTTTATCTTATCTTTATTTCTCTCTGATTAAATATAAAGATACTATTGTACATGAAATACTTACGTGAAATCTTGTGACATAATCTTCCAAAATGTTTACTGACGGATAACAAAGTAGAATCTTCGTTTTCAACAGCTTGCTCACAATATTTGCACATAAGTGGAACCACATTATCTGCCAGAGATTCTGAATATAACAAAAAGATTTAGATAAAATGAAAAACACAAATACAAAATGAATCATATTTAGTTTTAAATTCTTGATTTTAAAAATATTTCCTAATAGTTTCATTGTACAAAAACAAGAAAATTACACTGTTAATTACCATCATCTATGTATTGTGTCATATCAAGAACTGATTCAAAAGCTGCTTCTCTGACTGATGTTTCCTCATCTCTTGCGAGTTCTATAACTTCGTCCAAAATACATTTCTTTGTTTCTTCTCGTCTATCCAATAAAAAAATAGTGGTCAAAGGGTAAATCCGACAAGATAAACCAAGCAAATCAACTAAGAAGTCATATTGTTTCATCCATAACCTAACAACCAACACAAACGAGAGATCCAAAGTTCAAGACTCACTTAGACTGTGATATATATTCACTCAAATAGGGTTTCTCATACTGTGCCCTTAGCTCTTCTAGAGAGCAGTTCTTTAGGGAGCACGAGAAAAGCCCTTCAATGGGTACACTTTGCGATGACTACATGAATTTTTCATGTCTTTCAGACTTAAAATAAAAACCTAGAAATCTGAAATAACAATGGGGCAGTGTAAAAGTGCCTTAATGTGCTTGAAAGCTGATTGAAAAAAATATCACACTATCAGAGTGAAATTCCCTCCAAACTATTTGGAACGGTAAAATAATTTGCTGCATCATCCTAAACATTTTTGGCAATTCACATGCGTGTTTTCGTACTCTAATTTCATAAAATCGAGTGCCATAAAAAGTCTTTGATAGAAGTGCTGTATAAGTAAAGCACAAAACTACATCAACACCAACAGAAGCATATAAGATTTGTCTCAGAATTTTCTTATAGATGCAAACATTGACTAAATGTCTGTGAACCACTCCCTTCTGTTCCGCGATAAAAATATAATTTTTGACCCACTCATTGAAAAAGGTTCGCCATCGCTGTCATAGAAAATAGAATAACTGATAAAAAACTGTAATAAAAATAGGTACTTTTATTGAAAAAAGTTGAGACTTAGAAGGTGATACAGTTTCTGGAAGTTTGAAAACCACTTGACTAGAAACACACATAAATCTTACCCTAAGCCTTGAGCGATTCTGCATAGATGTTTACACATACTTGCTCGAACTTCGTAATCCACATCTTGACATAATTGCTTAACGCTGTGTATGATATCTTTTTTCACACTATAAATAACATAAAAATTTTTTAAAATTTTTGAAAATATTTCCATTTTTATAAACCAAATTTTACGAACAATAAGGCACACTTCAAATCGTTTTTTTTTCTCAAATGGATGGTGTGCCTTATAAGCCAGTGCGCCTAATGTATGGATCAAATAGTGCTTTATGCTTTATTGCCTGCACTGGTACCAGTTGCAATTATGGCCCGTTACTCATTTATGGAAAATACCCTAATCTGAGCAATTTATTGATGGTGCCTCTTATGGGCCGTAAAATGGTTCCTAAATTTCGAATGACAATAATGGTATCAGATACAATTACCAGAGAATAAAATTGAAAGTATAAATGGTTGTGACATTCTTGACTCAGAAATTATGGGAAAGTCTTGAATTAAAATTTGTGAAAATAAAATGAAAGAATTTTATACTACTCAATATAGCTGTTTTGATTTATGGGGCAATGACCTTAGATCAATACATGCAGATATACCAATGTAAAATCAGAGAGAAAGGGTAGTACACTACTCCAATCCACCAAGCATTGCGTTTTCAAACTCTATCATCACTTACACCAGGGCTATTTAAACTGAATAGGCTTCATGCGAGTTGCGCTATATTTCAAGAATGTTAATAAAATAGCTTTCCCCATGGGCCCACCAACTTATATTAAAACAAAATATCGATCAAATTTTAAAAATTTGGAACCAGTACTGAGACCCTCCATCACAGAAATAGAGTCAAGATTTGATCTTTTGTGCAAAAATATGCAAGCAAATCGGTCTCAGTAAAAGTATTGTCAGTTTTATTATTTTCTTTTTAAATAAATTTTATTTTATTTTTGTTTTAGTTTTTGCGAGTCACAAAAAACATTTGGCTGTGCCAAGTGGATCATGATGAAAAAGGTTTAAAAAAAAATTCAATATTTTCTAAAAGTATTTTTTATTCAGGAAAGCTTTCAATATTGTGTTTGGAATAGTGAATCATCCAGCATTAGTCATTCCTAATTGTCAAACAAATACTCAAAGTAGCCAGATTTTTTTGTTTATTTATGGCTTATACTAATTCAATCATAAACCGAATAACTTACATGTATGAATCAAACTTAGTTGCGATTGCTCCTAAAATGGAGCAACATGTTATTCTTGATGACGTAGGCTGAGAAAGTTGTCCTTTCGCTATAGCAAGTCCAAGAATTTCGCGCTTGATTGTTTCTCTTGGCAGGCAAAGAATAACAGAGAGAAGAGTTTCAAGCCATGCTTGAGCGATCACTGAAAAATAGAAGAAAATGCTCAAAAATAAAAACGCAAAGGTTGAATGACTAGTATAGCCAACAAAATTTCAGTTGAATGTTGAAATATTTGCACCGATTATCATATGAAGACGTGCTTGAAAAATAAAAATTTAGCAGATTAAGCTATATCACTTTATTTTGCCAGCACCATAATAAAAAATATAAAAATCTTATTTTTTGAGATTTAAACTTCATTTTCCGCCTATGAGACAAAAATTTGGAAATTCGTACCTGGATCTCGTCCTTCTATATTAGAAATGATCGTTCGTAAAAAATGTTGAGTATACAAGGAGGAATTTACAAGATCGTTTTTCGCAATTGTAAGATAGGATTCTGTTGCTGCCATTTGTACTTCACTACCTAAAATGCAAAGAAAGAATTAAATAGAAACTGACTACAAGAAATTATACTGAAGTTAAGAAAACAAGGTATCTATAATCTAGACATGGACTTTTTCGGCCTTTATTTTCTCTATTATATCATTTCAAAAAATTAAATCAAGATCACTCTTAATATGATGAATGATGATAATGAATTGACAATATACTACAAAGTAACAACTTTGCACTATCATGTGGCGAGTTGCGTTAAAATATTTTTTAAAAAGGCAGACCATAGAGTTCATGTAACTGCTGACTTCCACCATTAAGACCATGCATTAGAAAAACTAACTGACTGGCTAATACTACACCCGGCATGGACTGGTTAACAGAGGAGAGAATGTCGTTAGCCATATGAAAAGCCGTCTCATTGGTTTTCCTCACCCAGAGGATAAATAAGGAAATCTTATCCATAAAAATGTTTAATATGTGGATTGTGGATAATGCTTACATCTTCCATCCTGAATATTAAGATATTGAAACAAAATATAAAAAAATTGTCAGGCTTAACATTAGCAACAAGATCACATACTCAGTAGTAAAGAAGACTTGTTTCTGAGAAAAGTTACAGGAAACACTGAAATATCTGGTGCTTGATTTATGATTGCGTATTATGAAACCAGCAAATGTTGTATGCATGAGATAATTCGAGGAAAAATATTTAATTTTACCAGCTGTAAGCAGAAGTTCCTTGACTTTTGGTAAAACTCTTCGTAAACATTCTGCTTGATGATGACGTAACAGATGAGGTATATTTTTGATAACACTGACCAACTGTACCTCTTGTCCGGTGCTAAAAATAAAATTGATTATTAGAGATCACAATTTCACTGTTGTGACTATTGCTAATTTTATTATTATCTGTTTTATATGAATTAGAAAAAAATGGCAACCTGATCAGTAAGAATGAAATCAGATCAATTTTTTTAATTCAGATTAGGTGAGATACATATTTACCATGTCAGAAGTTGAATGATGTCTTATTTTGACTTTTGACTAACTGTCAGAGGTAAAATGCACGAATGAAAAGTTTACAAACAAAAACATTCAACATATTCTTACATAGGATTTATGTAATTATCCTGGGAGAAAGGAAAACCAATAAGACGACTTGATCATATGACGCACCACAGCCACTCATCCACTCACCAATCCATGTTGGGTATGGAATTAGTTATTTTAATTAGTTATTAGCTATCCAGTTATTCGTTTCAGATGAATGGACTTGAAGGTGGAGGAAGCCCTAAACAACCATTGTCACGCAAACAACGCAGGCGAGAGGTCCAGCAATCCTCTCAAAATTAACAATATCAAATATAAAACAAATAAGAATGTATTTAAATATTCCACTCACAAGTAAAGAGACTGTACTATATTTACTTATCATAAAGTTGTAAACTGAATAATATAATATTGCTAAACTATAATTAAAAAATTCACCTGAGAAGATAAGCTGCTCTGTCAATGTCATTCAACGATTCATCAACCGTCAATTTGTCCAACTCTTCTGGCGTCTGTGACGAAAAGATTGTGACTGATGTGCGAGGAGTTATAATATAAATTCCTTCAACTCGAAAAAGTAAAGACTCGAGTACTAGTATAGATATTTGAGGTCTAAAGAAGTACATGCCATAAGTGCCTAATTAAAGCCAACAAAAATATGATGTAAAAATACAGCGTAATTTTTTTTTTTCAAATAAAAGTCAGTCTCGATCGAAACACTATACCCTATTCAGCACAGGACTTACCTGCTTAGTTGACAATTGAGTGGGTTTGGTTTTAACTAAAGGCGTTCTTAGAGAATTTCATTCCAAGCCAGACAGACTTTTTGGAAAATCATAAAAAATCTTACATCAAATTTTTGTCTGGCGTTATTCAACCAGTTTCGTTTGTAATTTAACATCACATTTTTGTTCGCCGTTATTTTAGGAGTTTACTTAGCAGCGTTTACTTAGCTAGACTCGATTTTTGATATAGTCTAAATAACTATTGACAATCAATATATTTGACGCATGGTGGATTAGTCAATTTTCGCCAACTTCATTGTTTTTGATTGGATTTTATTAAGATTTCAAGAAAGGATATGTCTGTATGTACCAAGTGTTAGATTTCATTTTCAATTTTAGGAATTCCTCGATTAGTTAATTGATTTTATTGTTACTAATTACAGAATTAACTTTAATAACTATTTAGTTATTAAAGTTCATGACCCCAAATTGGATAAATCAAATTAAAAATATTCAAACTAGGCGCACCTTCAAGAAATTATCTTCACTATAAGGAAATTCACGCAATTTACTGCAATACTGATTTTAGTAAATTTATACTGTCCTTTAATAACAGAATAAAATTATAGTTTACTCACTTTTAAACCTTGTTTAACGGTCTTTTCCAAGTTAAACTCTTGCATGTCTTCTTCAAGAGCAGCTATTTCATGGCCAAGATCCAGCATTTTTTAGTTTTATGGATTTATCTTGACTAGATGATGCTGTTAAATGTGTAGCCGTGTGACTGTAAGCAGAACTGTCAACAGGCAGACAGGGCAATTTACAGATTTATCCAGCCCAGAGCGACTTGATTCTAGTAATAAATTGACAGCTTCTTCCAAACCCTGAAACGCCAGTGAGTACCGTACAGCAATACGTACCGGTAAGTCGGTTCTTCCTCCCCCGCCGCTGCGCGGATTGAATATGCAAACTTTTTTATATGTCTCAATAACTCAATTATTTGACATGTCCCGATGTTGAAAATTGCTGAAAATCTCTCAAATCCAACACTTTTATGGCAAAGTATAAATCAATGCATGATACGAATACGTTCCGAGAAGAATAGTCAACAAAAATGGGTCAACAACCATGGAACGTCAAACACAAAAGGCAAACTACAACAACAGATCTTGCGAGAGAGCTTAGCGACAAGACGCCGTCACGGTGGAATGAACGGAAGCTCTTTGCTCCACCGAGTGATAATCAAATCTCAAGGACTACTTGGGCACGAAATTGTACATGTGGTCGTTTGGTTATAATGTTGTTGTTGTTTTTGTGTTAGAATGGAACCACGGGGGATGCTGAGTTTCTGTAGTAGTTGATTAGAGGCTTCAATCATATCGCGATCCGCGGATAAAGGTGCCGTGACAGGCGCATTCCTAACGCTATCATATGTGTTATATGATATATGTGTTATTTTGATTTGCAAATGAAATAAGCTCTATCTCTTTCCTAAAAATTTGATTTGAAATATTATGTGCCACTTTTGCATACCTTCTAATAACCTCTAGTTTGATTTTTATTTGTCTAAAATACAGAAAAAAATCAGTTTTCAAAGTTGAAGAAATGTTTGAAGCTGGACACAGGTTTGAAGCAGGTTTCGCACTGTATGGCTACGTAAATTATACATAACGTCAAGTATTAGCATGTCGTGATGATTAATCGATTGTGCAACTATATCTGTTAGTTTTGAATTCATGTCCATGCTGCTGTGTGTTTAGTTTTGGCGTAAATATGTACTAAAAGTGTATAATATTTTGGTTTGCTTTTGATACCAAAATCTGGATTCTAGAATGCCCACGCTGATATATGTACGTATTATCATACACTTAAAGTCCAATTAGATGGCGGCTAACCGTGTTTTTACTTTTGTACATATGTGAACTGCCTATTATTGTTTTTTGTGTGTCGACGAGAAACCAGTGCCTGGCACGCTTTGATCTGTAAAGTTTCATCTTTTCCGGATTTTTCCTCTTCTCCTTAGCTTAGATTCCATTTTGATCACGCTACATTTCCACTAAAGCGAAAGTTGGAATGCAAATATGGATTTCAATGTTATTTAATCCCTTTGTATTAACAGCATGTTGAATTCAATGAAATAGGCCATTTTTCCTAATTCCCTGATAATGATTCATCACCACAAGAGCCTTAAGTAATGTTTCTTTGTATCGACCGATCTGTGACTTGTTTCAGCCTTCGCCCGGAATATATATAATGTTTTTGATGTTCTTTTATGTTGAATTCCTGATTTAGATTCCAATTGTATAACTCGTATTATGGTTCAAGTGCATATTTCAATATATTTGTTTTGGATTTCAATTCGATTGTAGTCATTGTACCACTCTGAAATATGCGAACATTTGGCATCACAATCCCTGTGTGCATATTGACCTTTGCAGGAGATTGGGGTTTACTCCGCTCAAATTACGTTTCAATAGTACTGGGGTAAAGACACGCAGAGTAGGGACCCATTTTCTCTATACAAGTTGTCAAAACGGTTCGGCGATACTCTTCACGCAACCTTATCGTTCTCCAAACAATCCCGTGCAGTGAGGTATTTATGGAATAGAAGTGGCACACAGTTAACAGGTTTAAATTTTACGTCCTACTTCGGCGTCGTTGCACAATTCCTAAATCGCTTTGAACGCGAAGTGTGTATATATATGCAATGGAACAAGTTAAAATAGATAGGCTACCAATACTGTCCGATAGTGTTGTAAGCTACATGCGCGCTGGATGTATATACAATTAGAATGAGGGTTTATAAAATTCTTCAAGTTCACACAAGACTCATTATAAACTTAAACATCTCATGAATCCTTATACTTTTTAGTAAAAGGCATCAAGACTTGCTCTTGTCACGCTGAATCGTTTCGTTGTTCTTGTTGGTCTTTTGTCAGCAGGCTTCAAGTAATGACTAATAGGATTCACATGACGAACAATGTGTCTAAAATTTGACAAGAACACATCACTTAACTGTACTATTTGGTTAACCCTGTTCTAAGTTAACCCTGGAAGCATAGAAATACATGCCATATTTAATTTGTATATGACTAAAAAATTAGTCTATTTTGTTTTATTTTAGTTTACAACGCACAATAAGACAAGTCAATAATAATTTGAATAATACTTCATAAGAATACCTAATCGAAACGTGACTAATGTAACCCAATATGACTAAAAACTATTCCATTTTGTGTCAATTAATTTACAACCGCTCAATAATAACGTAATACATAATACGTTACCCAATTGAAACGTCGTCAGAATCAAAATAGTTGATATTTAGTCGTCCTGATATTGTTCGGGCAAGTTTTTCTAATTCATTCTTATTTGTGGACATTGATGTTATATCTTGTTCTTCAATATTAAATCCGTTGAGAATTATCCTGAAATTTTATGGAAATTTTTCATGCAAAGATAACAGTGACCGTAAACAATTATTTTATGACAGAAGTTGAGAATTGAGTTAAAATAAGTGAGTGGACAAAGATGAACTATGAGATTTTGATAATGAGAGTTAGCGAGGTCTTCGAATCTGGACGCGATGTAATTTGATAAAGTATGAACTTTATTACGCTTTCAAGATAAGCACTAAGCCCAACCAATTCAATTGGAAAGTGTTGTTCAGGTAATTCTTCATAAAGAACCGTACTGCTTTTGAATGTAGGTAATCAAGCATAAAGCACCACCTGATCCATACGTTTTGCGCACTGGCTTGTAGGGCGTATAAGGAAGGGATTTCGAAAGGACACTCGGATGCAGACACACAATAACATACCTGTAGTAAGTGGAACCGTTACTACTCCTTTGTCCCCTCAGTCTGATATAAATGTTATAAATTTTTCCAGTGTAGACGAGCTTCCTTCCGATATAAAAATAATATTGTTCTCCATCTTTTTCAATTTCAATTCGTCTTGTTTGCCAGTTGTATTGAATTAATCTTTAGATAAAATAAAATTTTAAAATAAAATAAAATTTAAAGTAAAATAAAATTCTAATTCTGGGAATTAGATGAAACTGTCTTTGAATAGTTGACCACAATAGTGTATTCAGCTGTGGGACTTCAGGAATTAAAAAAAAGAAGGGGGAAGTTATCCATTTTAAGGGCCATAAGGCGCACCGGATTATAAGGCTAACTGTCAACAAATTGCTTTGATTGCTTTTTTTTCATACATAAGACGCACCGTACTAAAGGACGCAACCGGTACTGGTTTTGAGTGTAGGCAGTAAAGCACTACTTTAGGCTAGCCGACTTATTAGGCGCACGATCGATTTTTGAAGAAAAATTGTATGTAAAGCGCGCCTTATGTTTTGTAAAATACGATAGGCCCACTTTAAAATGAGCTCTGGGTAGAATGCACTTAACTTTTAGAAGAACAGAAACCTCCTGAAATGAGTATTTTTAAGAGAATGAGGAATCATCTAGTTATGAAGAGAACTGAAGAAATCTTGTTATAATTTATATATACATATTGAACTTACCGGAGAGACAACACCATTGAGAAGATAAAGAAAGTGTCAAATAATTCATTGGAGAATCGTTTTCTCTGGTACCAATAACCGAATCCAACCACAAAGCTCACAAAAAAAGTAAAAATTCCGACATAGAAACTGACATTCTTTATTTCCATACAATACACTGTGAAATATGTCAAATATTTTCGTGAGATGCAATTTTTTAAAATGGTTTATCAGTCTCCACTGGTTATGTATGTTGCATAGAATCAGAAAATTTTCGTGTTGTCGTTGAAGGCTGATTCACAATAATGTTTGGATTTACTATTCAGACATTCCCTTGGGTGTGCTTGTATGAGGTTAGGGCATTTATTAGTTATCATATTACAGACAAGGGAGCGATGCCCCAAAGACAGTATGTGGACACGAAGATCAAAACGAAGTAGTACGGTAGTCTCAGCGGCTTCACCTGACCACTAACAAAAACGCGCAACCGCCAAAAGGTGCACAATTTGTAATTTTGATGACATCATAAGAAACAAATTCCTTCGGCAATAGTTCGGTTGTTAATGAGAAAGGCGCAGACTGGCGAAGCAATTGGTCCGGTAGTTGATGAGAAAGGCGATTTTTATGTATATTTCGTGTCCAATAATCTACTTCGTTGCTTGTTTGGTTGTGCGCGTGTGCGCGTGTCGAACCTATTTAAAATGAGTTAAGGTAAAATATGGTTACTTACCATCATCCGTTTCCTTAAAAGGGAACAGTGGATTTTCTCTCAACTTTCTTTTCAGTTTGATTTCAGGCCTATCCCAAAATCGACTAAAATTTTTCCAACTCATTTTTCTGTCTATAATTTTCTGTAGCAAATGTCATGAATCTACATATTTTCTTAATTAATGAGCGATTTAAAGATAGAGACCTATTATGACGCAATAGAAACGCTTTCAAGTAGATAAAATTTCAGAGGATTTTGAATCTAAGACAAAGTGAACATAAACCTGAGGGGCAATGACCCCCAATTTTTCCAATATTTTTTCAAAATGCAATTTCGAGGCATGCTATCAATAATTCTTTCACCAAATGAACCAAAAGAGATAGAAAAATGCGCGCTTATATGCTTTGAATAACTTCGACAGCGAATTAAGTCTGTAGAGCGATTCTTTAGGACATTGTTAGATATCAGTGGCTACTTATATCTGGCATTGTTCGGAGAGAACGGCACGAGTGGTCGTCGTATTACGTCATTATACAAAAATAAAAATGTCCCTCTCACATTCTGGGCTGGCTACGCTCTTAAACGAACTCGTAATTATATAGGATTTCATGCCGAACAACAATCTTACATAAAACAATTTTTCCAGGGTGAGCATTCAAGAACTTAAGATGGTGAATCACTTACCCAAAGAAAATCACGTTTGATGTGTTTTATCTATTATGAGATGCAAGTGGCTACCAAACTATTCAAAGCAACACTAGAAAACCAAAAAAAGCTGCAAACGTGACTGATTCAGTAATAATTTACGTATTGTTTTTTAAAGTGAGGACGTGATAATATAAATATAAAGTCGATTTTTCTGATCTAATCTTGCCAAATGTGAACACTTCAAAATTAAATATTATTTTTAATAAAAAGTTAAGAATAATTCAGATCATGAGTACTTAGCCTCGCTCAGTTTGGACGTCCCTGGTGCAATGGGCAAAAGTATGGCTATTTTATATGCTTATACAGCACAGCTGTGGGTCTGACGAAACTTCGAGTAGAGAATGTGTGAAGAATCTATGCCAGTCCTAAAACATTTCTCCGAACCATTACATTATTGTTGTGGTTTCTGCTTCTAGATTCTGTTTTGTTCAAATTCAATGAAACAATGTTCTTATTAACAACACGGCCAATCTTCCATATCAGCAAAATTCTTTAGAATTTCACAAAATACTCCAGGCAAAATTTTTTTTGATGGTTATCAGTGTATATAACTCTTCAACTTTATAACTGGGATAAATGTATATTATGTATATGCTATAAGTCGCTGCTCAACCGCATTGTTTATGATAAAAAATGTCAAGCTAGATTTGCGTGTAGACAAAGACATAAAGTCGAACTATAATTTTTCTAATTACATAAACTCAACCCGAAATAAACGTATTTATCAGAAAACTTTAGTACATCATGCAACATCGCGTCGAGCTTGATAGATTCAGAGCGTGTTCCTACGTTTCAGTTTAGACATATGTGATGTAGCGATAAGTAGTGTTAAAAAATTCTTATGATAAAGACGGAACATTTTTATTTAACAGAAATATAATGGCTTTGACATAAAATCCTAAATACAAGGAATATATCTAGAAAATTTTTCGCTATGTTGAAAAATAGCATAAAAAATAACTTGTTCTTATGAAACACCGAAGATAATATCACGAACAAATATGTCACCGTATGTCAGAATTTAATTTTGTACTCAATTTGGAAATGAACTGATTTGTTTACCTGATTTATTGAGTGGATAAAGTTGTTGTTTATGGAAAAATGTCAATATCCATTTATGACTCGGATTAAAAAAAAAAAAATTACATAAAAGGACTTTCGAGGTAAAATTGTATATTAGTTACTGTTTGCTCATCGAGCAGAAACCTGCGTTTATACTTTCAGATTTCAAAAACGTATATTAAGAGCTTTAGGAAACAGGTCAAAGATGAAATATATTCATTCAAAGTGTTGTTTTATTTGCTAGTAGAAGCTTTGGTATTTTCACCTTTGCTTGCAATACATACAGTCAGAGTTTTTATTTATCTAGATTTATATCTAGAATTATTTTATTTGTCGCTTCAGTGAAAAAAGTTTTTCAATGAAGTTCGAAATAATAAATTATCCTTAAAACGACAGTTACCGTGTAAGACGAATTGCTTCGTCATCGGGTTTCAACACCCTAAACTCATATGCCACATATTACAAATAATATAACTTGAATATGTTAAATGACGAATATATGGTAAAGGTGATAATATACGTTATAATTTCAAGTAAATGTATAATTCGATAAATATCGATTAACTTCTATTTCGGGGTTCCCAAACTGGGGCACATTAGATAAAGTATAAGAGTATTCTTTCCTCAACTACTGATCTGTTTTGAAATATTTTATCACATGATGTTAAAAAATTTGAAGAACTTAGTTCAGCAACTCTTTAGAAAGTCACATTTTTACTCAGTAGAAGCTTCAACGACAACAACAGTGGCTACCGAATCTACATTCGCAGTTGACATGACGTATTTCCTTCAATCCAAAGCACGCAAGGCAGTCTACGACGATCTAGGAATTGTCTAAAGGGTACCTATTAACATTAGGTTTGGGAAACCCTATTCTATTTACACTTGATAGCATTTTAGCAATAATGTAGCAACTAACACTCATATATATTCATTTATTTTCTGTGGTAGAAATACTCGAAAACTATGTTGCTCATGTATAAAGCATTGATAGTTCTCATTATTTTGAAGTTCGCTTACGCAGGTTGGGATCGAAGCACTGAAGAATTTATTCCTTCAAAATTCTTCAAAAAGTTTGATGCCGAGGTTCGTATCAAAAACTTTTTCATTCTATAAAGCAAACTAATTTTGATGTGATTATTGATATATTATTCTATTTCATAGGTATCTCCGTACGAAGCATTAAAATTTAATTTCCCCAAAGATGAGGGCTTCGTTGCCGGCAGATATCCTAAATGCGCACGACACAGGTATTTGATATTTTCAAAAACTCTTTGCTAGTTTTACATACGACAAGTGAATATAAAAAAGAAATATCGGGCTTTATTATAGAATAATTGTGAGTGGACATTGAAAATATGCACTTTTTCTAGCTTATCCTGCTTTTAAAAGACCCCAAAACCTGAAAGATATTGTTTACCTAAGCGCGGAAATGCAAGTAACTTCAATGCATGATAAATGAGTCAAAATTTTTGAATTGCATAAATAATTTTGCTAGTTGTTGGTGATTCCTTTCACTGTAACAATATTTGTTGTATCACAATACACTATGTACTGTTACAGATTTGTTTCTGGACCGGATCAGTCGTGTCAGGAAACAAAAGGAACTCAAAACACTGGAAAGACTTGTAAAACTAGACGCTGCACTCAGTATTCATATTACGGATCTACCAAATGTAATAAAATTGTCAAACTATACAAGCCGTTCAAACACTCAGCAATGGAATGCAAGTATGTTATATGAACGATACCTTATTCATTAGAGCTTCCGTCGGTTAAAATTAACAAATTTCCAAATTTTAATTGTTATATGCGTTAGTGGCAATATATCCAAGTAAAACCGAGCATTTTGAGCCTAAATATATCGATCGGGTTGCGGTCACAAGGTGCCTAAATTGGGGTTTTGTTCATACATAGGGCGCTCCGGAAGTTAGACGCAACCGGTCATGGTTTTGGTTTGTAGGTAATGAAGCACTACATGATCCATAGATTAGGCGCATCTGGGTATAATGCACACCGACGAAAAATTGTCTGAAGAATACAAAATATATATGCGCATTGTTGACGTCACCTGTTAATGCTTTCATTATTTGTTGAAGATGATTTGTTAAAATTCATTTTTTCATTTTATCCAGAGTGTAAGATTCGGTAAGATATGCTAAGCCCTAAACCTTTCAATAACGTATCAAATTTTCGATTATTGCAAGTCACTTGCCCGAGGCCTATTGAAAGCGAGTATAAGCAGCACGCTGAAAAATGTATTAGGAAGTACGTAGCAGTATATCTGGTATCTGATTTTTAATGTTTCATTTTGTCATTTAGTAAGCACTTCAGGCGGTTTATCGTACCTAGTAATCTTTATTCAGATAAGGTCTGATTAATAATAATTTTACAATTGATGATAATCGGTTAATTCGCAAAATTCATATAGTACTTATCATCAATAACAGAGCTTTTAAAACTCTAAAATTCCCATTCTGTTAAATTATATATTGCAACATTGTGTGTCCCTACTCGATAATCAGTTTTGGTGCCCCGCGACTTCCCTTCCCCAATAAAACTGTAAATATTATTTTCTCGTAATTTATGCGCGATTTCATTTTTCCTGGTTGGGAAAAATCATTTTGACTTGGCTCCTGCTTTTCATAAATATTTCAGTTTGATTGAGTTTAATTAATGCTGGCTTACTGTGGTCCCGACTATTTTATAGTGGCAAAATGGCGTCTGATAATTTCAGGAATTCAATGGCATTCAGCGATGAGAATCTTTTGCACTAGACGCATCAATTTTAACCTACTTTCTAGCAACGTTAATAACTATCTTGTTTTGGGAATAAACTGAACCATGGAATTACCTTTACCCGGTTGAAATAGCATATCCAACTTAGCACCATCTGTTACGTCGAATAGCGTTTCAAAATTTTCTGTGGTCTTTGTGAGATTCGTTTTCCCATATAACGTTTTGTGTAGTGACGTCTACAAAACTAAAGATAGTGGTCTATACCCGACCGCATGTCAGCGGAGCTGGTGCTTGCGGCAGTCGGTACGTTTTTTACGGTAGACTACGTCACCGGTACTGTAAATATTTGTTGTACAGTTGTGACTAAGATCATTTGGTATTTCAATTAACGTTGAGTGCCGTTACTCTTATACAGGTACTGGTAAGTTACAGTACGTGTTCCACAATACCAGATTCGTTTAGGACAAAATTTGGGGGAAATTGTAAATAAAAAAATTATTTTGGTCTTCGTGTCCTTATATTTGAGCATTGCTCTTCTGTGTTTTTAATAGATTTCCAAATATTCTTTGTGGCGAAAGTGGAAATGAATATCAACGACATTTTGACACGTTTTCTGGTTTTAACCCACACGATACCGATGATAAAGAATGTGAATGCCAGACTATCTGGTGCCTCGGAAACATTTGGACAATCTACGAAGAAGGTGGAAAACTGTACAAAGGAAATGTAACTGTAAAGGTGATATTATTAAATAATTCTCTATGTGGCTGTTGATTCGGACTTCCAGCACTATATTCAGATTCCTTAAACACGGACAGCGACTTTCATATTCGTAGTGAGAAAAATGTGGACTACGATTAATTTTACTGCGATTCTAACTCCTAGATCAGGGCTACACGACGGGCGGACCGCGGTCCGAATCCAGATCTTTCAAGTATTCGATTCGGACCGCGGTCCGAATCCGAACCCTTCAAGACGTTCAAGTATTCGATTCGGACCGCGTCTGATTTTATTTTTATTTTGGAGGATTGTCTCCATTCAACTTTGGGTATGTAAAAGGATATGGGATATTCTCCGATCATTTAGTTAGCTTTCCACAACTTGCGTTTCTTTAACTTTTCAACCGAAAAGATAGAGTTAATGAAATATAGTTAGGCGTAGTATGAATACATTTTCTGGCCAGACCGGACCCCAGGAAATTTTCAAATTTTGTATACGGACCTTTAGCAAAAATAGTTGAATAGCCCTGTCCTAGATTACTCAACTCTTTTTGCTTACAGTGAGACTCCAATTATTAGATATTAGAATTCAACTTTTGGTCTGCGCTCGCCACCGCATCTCTGATTACCTTGCGTAGGTTCGCAGGTTCAGATTCGATTCGGGATAATTTTGTGCGAGAGAATAGCTGGACTTCTCGCCGCCGTAGGGTGGTTGACTTAACGGCTGGTCGATTACGGCTTCCTCAACCATTAAGTCCATGCGTATGAAAACAAATAAATGTTCCACTAATCCCATTCCCTACGTGGTCTGGTAACCGGACGAGAGTCTGTGGTTCGCCATATAATTTAGCCGTATTATCTACCGCGATAAATATACACTTCCTGCCCTATTGTTACCCGACTCCACTATTTCTTACTGGTGAATTTTTTATTTTAAATTGAATGCGTTCTAACGCTATTTCATAAACGTTTTTCCAGTCTTTGTGTGTTTACCTACAATGATACTATTCAGATAGTGAAAAAATAAACATAATACCAGAATGAATTTTGATTCCTTTCGATTGCGAAATATTTTCACCTGATATTTTACTGCCACATTTGAATTATATTCAAATAAAATATATTCTCTTATGATTTCTACATTACAGACACCTTGCAAGTGTGAATGCAGAATGCCGTTTCGAAAGATGGAAAATTGGGTTGGCGGCGGCTTAGATGGCTAAATGTTATCAACTGACATTATTATGTGCAGATCAAATATACAGATAATCTTGAAAATTGATATAAAACAAAAGCACTATGATTTCAATATGACTCTTCGAGGCTATTGGCATAGGACTTAGCTTGAATATTATTTTGGTGCAATGTTGTTCTGATTGTTTAAACTCGGACATTCAAATAAAATAAAAAAAACATGTAAATTTTATTAAGTTTTATTAATTTCATAAATATGTGTGGTAACCATAGAGTTAGCGGTTTAGAGAATCGATATAAACCGGTAAGAAACTGTAGCGTACCGTCCGTATGTAAATGAATTTTCCAAGTCCAAAATATCTTTTAATATGATCTCAATATTCATTCCAGGTAATGCTATTTTATTAATTAATAATCTGAAAGCTTAATACAACCAAATATCCCAATCAAATCAACAGGCACTGGAACCGTCTTGAGGTTTATAGATACAACTTCGAAATTCCGTGATTTTAACAAACATCAATCTCGACCTCGAGATTAGGAAAATGGCTATTCCCAGTGGAAATAGTTTAAAACTAACCCAAAAATGTTTTGCCAATGAATACAAATATCTGCCAATGGTCAAATGGTTTAGTACACGCTAAAATGTGTCTGCGAGCCGCGGTTTGGACCACCCTGATCTAAACAAATTCTAATCTAATAGCCAAAAAATCAGAAATAAACACACTTGGTAACATACGTAAAAACTAGAAACAATTTTACAGACTTTAAAGATCCGAAACACTAAAAATCTAACTAAAAACAACCACAGCTCCATTGATGCGACCCACAGCCTGGAGTGTCATAGCGCCATCGGTTTAACCGTGTCATAGCGCCATCGGTGTTTCCAACGTCAAAATATCTCCGTCATATTGTAGATTATAAGCGACTTAGTACTTATAATGAGGATCTACAAGAAGCCTATAACGTGTTGGGCGGTGACAGTTGCGCTATTAACTCCCTTTTATGCATAACCTGCCAGGTTTCTCGATGTTAACAACTCCACAACTTGAATATGATTGAAATCTATTGCAGTCACGTGAAATACGAAATTGTGTGGTGATATTCCAGTATTGTAGAATGTAGAAGTCCAAATAAATTGATATAGCAATGTTGAGGGTTGCTAAAGTTTACGAGCAACCCAACAGGCAGGTTAATAACATACTTAATTCTAAAGATGCAAACAATAGCAACATTACAATATGAAAACAAATCAAACCCTATTATTTAACTTAAAGACAAGCGAAAAATCCGCTCATTACGGCATATGAATTAGCATTACTAACAGACTAACCGGCAAACTCTTAGCACAAATAAATTGTAAACAGCCGACTGGCAATGATTTGAAATAATAAACAAACACAAAAACGAGAGAAAAGAAAAATCGATAAAAGACTTTGTTCCCGCCGACAGGCCTATTCCTACCCACGAACAGATGGTGCAATCGCCTTGAAGGGAGTAGTTTATTAGCGGTCATTCGACAAAAGTGCAATGACCGATTTCTCTCGAAATAACCCCGGGTCAAATATATGCAAAATAAAACAAAGAAACTTTGTCTGTAACATTCCCGGCCTCAAAATAACGAATTGAACAAAAGTTATTTTCAAACATTTAAACAAAATACAGACAAGTTTCTTTCCCATCACTAGTTAACATTGGTGCAATTTGAAACGAAATGTGTAAATAAAATGTACAAATCAAGGTGATTCTAAGTAACATAGCTTCCTTATGTCCCGAATGTAAGTCGACTTTGCTGTTCTAACGCGAACTCGACGAACATTTCCATATTGTCTGGATAAACCTCTTCCACAAGAGCTTTAGGCCAAGACCCACGAGGAGAGTTCTCATCCATAACCAGCACTAAATCTCCAACAGCAAAATTCCTCTTTTGTTGTTGCCATTTTTGACGAGTCTGTAGTATTTGCAAATACTCCTTCACCCAACGATTCCAAAATTGATCTGCCATCCACTGAACCAACTTCCATGATTTTCTGTATCCATCAGCCTTGAGAAATATATCAGATGGATATGAAGGATCTAGACGTCCAGTCAGTAACATTCCAGGTGTTAACGCTTTCAAATCCTTAGGGTCATCTCCAACGGCTGTGATTGGTCGGTTATTCAGTATCCTTTCTACTTGTGTCAGGAATGTGTAGAAAGATGCCTCCGTCAGCTGCCGTTCCCCAACAAGAGCAGTTAACACTTTTCTGACAGAGCGTATCATGCGTTCCCAACAACCGCCCCAATGACTGGCAGCAGGAGGGTTAAAATTCCACTTTATTTCTCTTTGGCTGAGACTCTGATGAACCGACTCGTTCCATCTTTGCACACCCTCCTTCAGATATTTGTTAGATGCAGTAAAATTTGTACCATTGTCAGAAAACACTTCCAAAGGCAAACCCCGTCTTGCAGTAAAACGATCAAAGGCCTCAAGAAATGCTGATGCGTCCAAAGAATTGACAACTTCAATATGGAGAGCTCTAGTAGCCATGCAGGTGAATATAGCAGCCCATCTTTTGACTTCACTCCGGCCAGACTTGATCAATACTGGTTCTATAAAATCTACTCCTGTACTTGCAAAAGGAGAATTTCCTGGTGTTACTCTAACTTCTGGTAATGGTGCCATAATTTGTGTTCCAGACTTAGAATGCATCATTTTACACTTTAGACATCTTCGTATTCGATTTCTGATTGCAGAATGCCCTTTGATTATCCAAAACTTTTCCCTGATCACAGACAATATGTGTCCTTCTTGATCGTGATAATGGTCGATTATTAAGTCTGTAACATGACGATGATATGGTAAAATCATTTGATGCTTCGATCCTCGAGATAAACTTGAGCGTTGAAGTCGTCCACCAACGCGAATTACTCCATGGTGTCAGACTCTTCAAACTTGATGATTTAGTCAGTTTCACATCTTCACTAGAAAATGCTTCATCTTGTACAAGTCGAATGACATTAGTTGATGCCATCTTGAGTTCATCAACACTCAATCCAATTTGATGAAATTTAGGTTTATCCTTCTTACCATACTTCCACAGAAAACATTTCTTGAAGCGACACAACCAGGCAACACTTCTACATAGCTTCGTCCATGATGAATATCTTTCCAAGATTTTGAATAGAGCTGGCTTCGATTTTCCAGTTGTTGCACACACTTGACGTGTCGATTTTGTTTCTGGATCATTATCTGAAACCTGTGGTAATATCTTTGGTCTTTCAGGCCAGTTTTCCTCCGAATCACAAAGAAAGTTTGGTCCCTGAAACCACATGTTGCACTTGTTCAATTTGCTGGGCATTACTCCCCTTGAAGCAATGTCAGCTGGGTTATCCTTCGTTCCCACGTTGACGCCACTGCGATGGCTCTGAAAGTTCATGAATGGTGGCAATTCGATTTGCAACAAAAACTTTAAATCGGGTTGACACATTATTGATGTACTGTAAAACAGACATTGAATCTGTCCAGTACACAATCTTTTCAAATTTATATTTCAATTCCGATTGAATCATAGCACTCAGTTTTGATGCAACCACTGCCGCACACAGTTCTAATCGAGAAATTGATACTGCCTTCAAAGGAGTTACTCTAGATTTTCCTGCAACAAATTCTCATTGAACTGCCCAGAACTGCCGACAACTCTTACATAAAAAACCGCTCCAAGACCAGAATCACTGGCATCACAAAATGTAATGCTGCAATACCTTTTTCATCGGCAATAGGAATGGGCCCAGCATATCCAAAGAATCAAAGACTTGACTCAGCATTGAAAGCAATTCCCTCCGAGTATGTGGTTTCTGCTGAATATCAATTTCAAATTCAAAGGAATCTAGTGAAATATTCCACGACAGTCCGAGTACTTTTTGCAATGACACTTTGTTAAGATTTAAATTCTCTGATGAAACAGCTCTTTCAACTTCAGGTATAAGATTCATAACTTTAATGCTATTGCTAGAAAACTTCGAAAGATGGGAACACCCATTCTTCAATAAGCAGCAAACTTCTTTAATTCGTTTTAATGCAAGAGGAACAGTCGGATCATATCGTTCCAAGTCATCAAAAGAAGAACTCTTCGTAATAGCATTCAAGGTTTCTTCATCTTAATAGATTGCATTATCTTCAGCTACCCGTCTTAAAGCGTAACATGCAACACTTGGCGACCAATTTCTACCAAGGAGATGACCGTTCATTTGATACTCAGCTACTGGTTGTTTGAGGTCACCATAAAAATCTCAAAGCTTCACAATTTTCAGGTATTTCCGATTTATCTTCATGTTTATTAATTATTTGTGCATTGTGACTTGGCGCAGAGAACAGTCCCTTCCCCCCTTGCAAGTGTCTTCACATATTCCATCAATCTCTTCGGTGATAAGGTGATTAGGAATTCCACACTTCTTCTTCTTTATCCCGCGTTGATCCTTTGCTTGATCTTGCCGCACGACGCTTTTCAATTCTATCCTCGCTTGTTTTGCTTCCCTTTCCGCATTCAATATACTTCGCTCAAGTTGGAAACCACTTGCCCCGCGTGTCACACTTGTCCCACGTGTACCCCTTGTACCACGTGTCCCTCTTGTACCACGTGTTCAACTTGTCACACTTAACCCATGTGTACCACGTGTACCACAACGCAAATAGCTATGTCCCTACTAAAATGGCTATGTCCCTACTAAAATAGCGGTGTCTCCAAAATGTCGTGTCTCACTTGTCCCACGTGTACCCCTTGTACCACGTGTCCCTCTTGTACAACGTGTCACACTTGTACCACATGTCAAGTTCAAGTGGAAACCTTTGCGCTCAAATTCAACACGTTCGCTCTCAAGCACGTTTTCTTTCTTTGCCCGCTCCGACTTGAATTGAGCCAAACGTAAATTACGTTCAGGCTTGGCTTGATCCGACTTCATCGACGATGTTCGAGACGACGACATTTCGACAATATATATTTATATATATATTCTCACCAACGGCGAGTGTCACGTAGCCAATATTTAGCAACAAATGTAGATTATAAGCAACTTAGTACTTATGATGAGGCTGTACAAGAAGCCTATAACGTGTTGGGCGGTGAGGGTAGTTATTAAATGGCTATGTTCCATATGTCCGCTATGTCCCTACTAAAATGGCTATGTCCCTACTAAAATGGCTATGTCCCATCTAAAATTGCGACTCCGATATTTCCTACTAAAATGACTAAGTCCGCTATGTTCCTATGTCCCAACTAAAATGGCTATGTTCGCTATGTCCCTACTAAAATGGCAATATCCCTACTAAAATGGCTATGTCCGCTATGTCCCTTATAAAATGACGATGTTCACTATGTCCCTACTAAAATGGCTATGTCCGCTATGTCCCTAATAAAATGGCCATGTCCGCTATGTCCCTACTAAAATGGTTATGTCCCTACTAAAATAGCTATGCCCGCCATGTTCCTACTAAAATGGCTATGTCCGCTATGTTCCTACTAAAATGCCTATGTCCCTACTAAAATGGCTATGTCCGCTATGTCCCTACTAAAACGGCGATATCCCTACCTAAATGGCTATGTCCCTTCTAAAATGGCTATGTCAGCTATGTCCCTACTAAAATGGCTATGTTCCTAATAAAATGGCTATGTCCCATCTAAAATTGCGAATCCGTCATTTTCCTACTAAAATGACTATGTACGCTATGTCCCTACTAAAATGGCGGTGTCTCCAAAATGTCGTGTCCCACTTGTACCACGTTTCCCACTTGTACTACCTGTCCTACGTGTCACACTTGTCCCGCGTGTACCCCTTGTACCACTTGTCCAACGTGTTACACTTGCACCATGTGTCCCACTTGTAACACATGTCACACTTAGCCCACGTGTACCACTTGTCTCTGGTGTACCACTTGCCCCGCGTGTCACACTTGTCCCACGTGTACCCCTTGTACCACGTGTCCTTCCTGTACCACTTGCCCCACGTGTACCACTTGTCCCACGTGTATCACTTGCCCCACCTGTCCCACGTGTCACACTTGCTCCACTTGTCCCACGTGCCCAATCTGTCCTGTCCCACTTGTCACATCAAATATTTAGAAGAAATGTTTCCTAATTCAAATTTTTTAATTGGGATATATACATTAAAGATATACCAATACTGCTTTTATCGGCGATATCGGTTTCGATATCGACACGGCTTTATTCGGCACTGATAACCCATGTCATAACATGTTCCGCCGCAACACTTTTTCAAACAAATTATGGTAGTTTCTGCACACGTGTTGTTGCGAACAAGCGCAAGGATTGTGAATTGTTACTTCCACCACAAATAAATGAAATGTAGTGTTTAGTAATCGTCATACACAGTGCTGTGCAAGTTTCAAGAAAGACGAGAATAGTTATATTTCAAATTGCGCGTGGTTAGATAGAGCAAGTTAGATTAGATCGATCCAGTATTACAGTTTATCGAAATGAATTTGGAAAGCGGAAGAAAACAGTTCTTCATATGCATTTCGTCCAGGAGTTTTGTTCACATATATATATCTCATTCGCCGAATATTCTGTCCATATGATTCCGTTTATCATACATTTCATTCACCAGATATATATTTCGTTTTCCTCATAAAACAGTCGCCGTGATTATTCGCTGGTCAAAAAACGACTTTTTCAGTGAGACTTTTCTGTGGCGTATAATATTCAATCCATGGTAATTAACTTAATTGTGTCTAACGTAACTCGCGTGACGACTTTTCAATTCAATACTAAAAAAGAACAAATGTAATATGTGGACATAAACACATGAGATAAACTGTCTAATTATATTTAATTTTGATAGATATGTTTGCAATCTTGTTAATTCGTTATCGCCAGTAGAGAAATCTATACCACCGTTCAATCGCAGATCCGTTCAATCGCAATGCTGCCACTCGGATTATTTTTAAGGTATAACCGTTATAATCTCACGGCGTAAAATCTATTTTAGTACGATGAAAGTCGTTTGGATTAATTAATTTATCATCATAATTAATTTACCTTCACAATCCTCGTCGCGTTTACAACTTTGTATAATGATAACACTGAAACTTTTGACAGCAATAAAAAGAAATGGTTAAAAAGGTAAATCCAATGCACAATTAATTTACAAGTGGGACATGTGGTAAAGTGGGGCACGTGGTACAAGTGGAACACGTGGGTTAAGTGTGACATGTGGGACACGTAGTACAAGTGGGACACGTGGGGCAAGTGGTACACTTGGGACAAGTGGTGGGACACGTGGTTCAAGTGGTACACGTTGGTTAAGTGTGACATGTGGTACAAGTGAAACACGTGGTACAAGTGTGACACGTGGTACAAGTGTGACACGTGGTACAAGTGTGACATGTGGTTCAAGTGGGACACGTGGTACAAGTGGGACACGTGGTGCAAGGGGTACACGTGGGACAAGTGGGACACGACATTTTGGAGACAACCGCCATTTTAGTAGAAAAATATAGGATTCGCGATTTTAGATGGGACATAGTCATTTCAGTAGGGACATAGCCATTTTAGTAGGGACATAGCGGAAATAGCCATTTTAGTAGGGACATAGCCATTTTGGTAGGGACATAACGGACATAGCCATTTTAGTAGGGATATCGCCATTTTAGTGAGGACATAGCCATTTTAGTAGGGACATAGCAGACATAGCCATTTTAGTAAGGACATAGTGGACATCGCCATTTTAGTAGGGACATTGCAGACATAGCCATTTTAGTAAGGACATAGTGGTCATCGCCATTTTAGTAGGGATATCGCCATTTTAGTAGGAACATAGTGGGCATCACCATTTTAGTAGGGACATATCGGGTTTGCGATTTTAGAAGGGAGATAGCCATTTTAAGCAGGGACATAGGGACACGGAAATAGCCATTTTAGTAAAGACATAGCGAATATATGGGTTGCTAAAGTTTACGAGCAACCCAACAGGCAGGTTACTCCAAGCACGAAATAAATTGTAAACAGCCGACTGGCAATTATTCAAAATAATAAACAAACAAAAACGAGAGAAAAAGAAAAGGCCGATAACAGACTTTGTTTACGCCGACATGCCCATTCCTGCCCACAAACAGATGGTGTAATCACCTTGGAATTTCATGAACGGTCATTCAACAACGTGCAATGACCGATATATCTCGAGATAACCCCGGGTCAAATATATACAAAATAAAACAAAGAAACTTTGTCTGTAACAAATATCAAATAACAGCATTAAAAAGAGAAAAAAAAAGAGTCGTCACATAACATTCATACTAATGAAACACTGGATTCCTAAACAATTTTGAAATAAATGGACATTAATGTGTATTATGAACATAAACTTGACTAGGTGATTGCGTAACTGGATTTTGAAATTTAGGAATGTCTATTTTTCAATCCCGGAAGTCAAATCGTTTCAAACCATGAGAGAAGTCTTAGGGACTAATAGGTTCAGAATAATTCGAATAACGAGTACTTTGCCCTCGCTGAGTTTTGCAGTCCTTGGACTGATTGGCGGAGGTATGGGTATCTTATGCTGATACAGCTGTGGGTCAAACGATGCTTGAGGCGCAGTTCCTACCACTTCATGACAGCTCCTGCCACGAACGAACCGCGGCAGCTCTTGCCATGATTTTATAGCGCTATTCAGTATTAAGTAATCAGTAATCAACTTACCCAATATTTGTCACCCTAAGGGACAGCCCTGTCTTTACGGCCCACCTGCCGTGGTTACGGCAGCAAAATTTCACCTGCCATTGGTTTTCAATTTGCTTCCGCGGTAACGGCAGTTCGTCATTGGTTTGTGGCAGCTAAAAAGTCACTCGCCATAGTTGTGACCGTAGCGGCCATGGTATGGTCTGCTTATAAAATTCTATTTTGTTCAAACCCAATTAAACGAGGTAATTAATAACATCAACTCGGCTAATATTCGACATCAGCAAAATTCTTTTGAATTTCACAAAATACTGAATATTTTTTTTTGATGGTAATCATTGTATATAACTTTTAAACTTTATTACTGGGATAAATGTATATTATGTATATACTATAAGTCGCTGCTCAACCGCATTGTTTATGATAAAAAATGTCAAGCTAGTTTCGCGTGTAGGCAAAGATATAAATTCGAACCATAACTTATCTAATTACATAAACTCAACTGTAATAAACGTATTTAACAGAAAACTTTAGTACATCATGCAACATCGCGTCGAGCTTGATAGATTCAGAGCGTGTTCCTACGTTTCAGTTTAGACATATGTGATGTACCGATAAGTAGTGTTAAAAAATTGTTTTGATGAAGACGGAACATTTTTATTTTACAGAAATATAATGGCTTTGACATAAAATCCTAAATACAAGGAATATATCTAGAATATTGTTCGTTATGTTGAAAAATAGCATCAAAAATAACTTGTTCTTATGAAACACCGAAGATAATATCACGAACAAATATGTCACCGTATGCCAGAATTTAATTTTGTACTCAATTTGGAAATGAACTGATTTGTTTAACTGATTTATTGAGTGGATAAAGTTGTTGTTTATGGAAAAATATCAATATCCATTTATGACTCGGATTAAAAAAAATGAAATCACATAAAAGGACTTTCGGGTTAAAATTGTATATTAGTTACTGTTTGCTTATCGAGCAGAAAACTGCGTTTATACTTTCAGATTTCAAAAACGTATATTAAGAGCTTTAGGAAACAGGTCAAAGATTTAATATAATCATTCAAAGTGCTGTTTTATTTGCTAGTGGAAGCTTTGATATTTTCATCTTTGCTTGCAATACATACAGTCAGAGTCAAGAGTTAATTATCATTAAAGTTCGAAATAATAAATTATCCTTAATAAGTATTGAAACGACAGTTACGTGTAAGACGAGTTGCCTCGTCATCGGGTTTCAACACCCTAAACTCATATGCCACATATTACAAATAATATAACTTGGATATGTTAAATGACGAATATATGGTAAAGGTGATAATATACGTTATAATTTTAAGTGAATGGAATAATTCAATAAATATCGATTAACTTATAGTTCGGGGGTTCCCAAACTGGGGCACATTAGATAAAGTATAAGAGTATTCTTTCCTCAACTACTGATCTGTTTTGAAATATTTTATCACATGATGTTAAAAAATTTGAAGAACTTAGTTCAGCAACTCTTTAGAAAGTCACATTTTCACTCAGTATAAGCTTCAACGACAACAACAGTGGCTACCGAATCTACATTCGCAGTTGACATGACGTATTTCCTTCAATCCAAAGCACGCAAGGCAGTCTACGACGATCTAGGAATTGTCTGAAGAGTACCTATTAACATTAGGTTTGGGAAACCCTATTCTATTTACACTTTTCAGCATTTTAGCAATAATGTAGCAACTAACACTCATATATATTCTTTTATTTTCTGTGGTAGAAATACTCGAAAACTATGTCGCTCATGTATAAAGCATTGATAGCTCTCATTATTTTGAAGTTCGCTTACGCAGGTTGGGATCGAAGCACTGAAGAATTTATTACTTCAAAATTCTTCAAAAAGTTTGATGCCGAGGTTCGTTTCGAAAACTTTTTCATTTTATAAAGCAAACCAATTTTGATGCGATTATTGATATATTATTCTATTTCATAGGTATCTCCGTACGAAGCCTTAAAATTCAATTTCCCCAAAGATGAGGGCTTCGTTGCCGGCAGATACCCTAAATGCGCACGACACAGGTATTAGATATTTTCAAAAACTGTTTGCTAGTTTTACATACGACAGGTGAATAAAAAAAAGAAATATCGGGCTTTATTATAAGATATTGTGAGTGGACATTGAAAATATGCACTTATAGCTTATAGCATCTTTAAAGATTCAAAACTTGAAAAATATTCTATTACCTAAGCGCGGAAATGCAAGTAACTTCGTCTTCAATGCATGCTAAATGAGTCAAAAATTTTAAATTGCATAAATAATTTTGCTAGTTGTTGGTGATCCCTTTCACTGTAACCACATTTGTTGTATCACAATACACTATGTACTGTTACAGATTTGTTTCTGGGCCGGATCAGACGTGTCAAGAAACAAAAGGAACTCAAAACATTGGAAAGACTTGTAAAGATAGACGCTGCACTCAGTATTCATATTACGGATCTACCAAATGTAATAAAATTGTCAAACTATACAAGCCGTTCAAACACTCAGCAATGGAATGCAAGTAAGTTACATGGACGATACCTTATTCGTTAGAGCTTCCGTCGGTTGAAATTAACAAATTTCCGAATTTCAATTGTTATATGCTTTAGTACCAATATATTCAAGTAAAACCAATCATTTTGGGCCTAAATATATCGATCGGGTTGCGGTCACAAATGGCTTAGATTGGGGTTTTGTTCATATATAATGCGCACCGGAAAATAAGACGCCACCGGTCATGGTTTTGATGTGTATGTAATAAAGCATGAAGCACTACATGATCCATAGATTAGGCGCACCTGGTTATAATGCACACCGACGAAAAATTGTCTGAAGAATACAAAATATGCGCATTGTTGACGTCACCTGTTAATTAATGCTTATGTAGGTTGACAAAGGTGATTTTTTAAAATTCATTTTGTCATTTTATCCAGAGTGTAAGAATCGGTAGGATATGCTAAGCCCTAAACCTTTCAATAACGTTTCAAATTTTCGATTATTGCAAGTCACTTGCCCGAGGCCTATTGAAAGCGAGTATGAGCAGCACGCTGAAAAATGTATTAGGAAGTACGTAGCAGTATATCCGGTATCTTATTTTTAATGCTTACATTTTGTCTTATTTAGTAAGCACTTCAGGCGGTTTATTGTACTTAGTAATCTTTATTCTGAGTCTGGTGAATAATAATTTTACAATCGATGATAGTTGGCTAATTCGCAAAATTTATAAATAATACTCAATACCATCAATAACAGAGATTTTAAAACTCTAAAATTCCCACTCTGTTAAATTATATATTGCAACATTGTGTGTCCCTACTCGATAATCAGTTTTGGTGCCCTACGACTTCCCTTCCCCAATAAAACTGTAAATATTATTTTCTCGTAATTTGTGCGCGATTTCAATTAGTCAATTAATTTTGACTTGGCTCCTGCTTTTCATAAGAATTTCAGTTTGATTGAGTTTAATGCTGGCTTACTGTGGTCCCGTCTTTTTTATAGATTCAGATTTTATTTTCGTCATGCAAAACCAATATACGAAACCAATATACGATATATAGTGGCAAATCGGTGTTTTTTACGAAATAGGAAAATGGCGTCTTATAATTTCAGGAATTCAATGGCATTCAGCGATGAGAATCTTTCGCACTAGACGCATTAATTTTAACCTACTTTCTGCACTAGCAACGTTAATAACTATCTTGTTTTAAGAATAAACTGAATCATAAAATTACCTTTTCCCGGTTGAAACAGCATAGTCAACTGAGCACCATCTGTTACGTCGAATAGCGTTTCAAAATTTCCTGTGGTCTTTGTGGGATTCGTTTTCCCATATAACGTTTTGTGTAATGACGTCTACAAAACTAAAAATAGTGGTCTATACCCGACTGACTGCATGTCAGCGGAGCTGGTGCTTGCGGCAGTCGGAACGTTTTTTACGGTAGACTACGTCACCGGTACTGTAAATATTTGTAGTACAGTTGTGACTCAGATCATTTGGTATTTCAATTAACGTTGAGTACCGTTACTCTGATACAGATACTGGTAAGTTACAGTACGTGTTCCACAATACGAAATTCGTTTAAGACAGAATTCGGGTGGAATTCTAGGTAAAAAATTCATTTTGGTCTTCGTGTCCTTATATTTGAGCATTGCTCTTTCGTGTTTTTAATAGATTTCCAAATATTCCGTGTGGCGGAAGTGGAAATGATTATCAACGACATTTTGACGCGTTTCCCAGTTATTACCCACACGATATCGATGAGAAAGAATGTGAATGCGAGACTATCTGGTGCCTTGGAAACATCTGGACCATCTACGAAGAAGGTGGAAAACTGTACAAAGGGAATATTACTGTAAAGGTGAGATAATTAAATAGTTCTCTATATGACTGTTTATTCGGACTTTCGGCACTAGATTCCGATCCCTTAAACACGGACAGCGACTTCCATATTCGTACTAAGAAAAATGTGGACTACAATTAATTTTACTGCGATTCCAACTTCTAGATTACAAAATTGTGACTGAATTTTCTTTTTTGTTGCCAGTGGCACTGCAATTATTAGATATTGGTCTTATATGTTTTGGGACGATCTCACATGTGACCTTTGTATCGCGTATTGTTTTCGGACTTCACGATCCTCACTGGTGGATTTTTTACTCCAAATTCAAATAAACGTTTGCTGTTTTGTCAGTCTTTGTATTTTAGCTACTATGAAATTATTCAAATACTTGAATAATCATAATACTAGAATGCATTTTAAAAACATCTTTATTGATGATTGGGGGCTAAAATTTTCTGAAATTATTTTCTTTTGATTACGAAATATTTTCATCTGCTGTTTTTTTTGTCACATCTATTCATAGGGACATTTGAATTAGTAATAAATAAAATTTAATCTCTTATGTTTTCTACATGACAGACTCCTTGCAAGTGTGAATGCAGAATGCCGTTTCAAAGGATGGAAAATTGGATGTCGGGCTAAATGTAATCAACTGATATACTATATACAGAACAAATATACAGATAAACTTGAAAATTGTTATAAAACAAAAACAGCATGATTTTAATATTACTCTGTGAGGCTATTCGCATAGGACTGAGTTTGAATATTATTTTGGTAAAATGTTGTTCTGTGTGATCTTGGACATTTAAATAGAATAAAAAAATTGAAATATTATCAACAAGTTTTTTTTTAATTTCAGAAATATGTTTTTCAACTAGAGAGTAAGTGGTTTACAGTAGCGTTATAAATAGGTAAGTAACATACATCTTAATGAAACAATGGATCCATAAACAAGTTTGAAATAGATGGGCAATTTAATGTGTATTATGAACATAAAGATGATTAGGTTATTGCGTAACTGGACATGTCTATTTTTCAATCTCAGAAGTCAAATCGTACCAAATTTTTATTCTAATGCAGTGGTTCCCAAACTTTTTAGAGTTGGGACCCACTATTTATTACCACAGCTTATGTCGACCCATTTAACTTTAAATAAATCAATAAAACATAGATGGAGGAAACTAATTTATTTTTTGAAATTAAATTTTCAGTGAAGCTAAAGAGTAGGATGAGCTTGTTTCTTGCTAATTTCTATATTTGACTGACGTGATTGTGGTTGGCTTGTCTTTCTTTTAACTAGCTGGTGATTCATCGTCATTAACATCAACTGACTTTTTTTTATTCATTACCATTTATTCATTAATGGGCTGAGTAACATAAAAGAAAGTTACACAACAGCGCAGCGCACATACACAACAAAATATCTTTGTTGGTTCTATTTCCTTTTGTTTTTTATAACATAACACAAGAGTGGGTAATCATCTCAAAACTACCGTGTTTCTCGAAAAAAAGACCTGGCCTGAAAATAAGACCTATTTTGAATTTTAAAAATGATTTTAATTAAACCCTAACTCTAAAATAAATTTAAAATGTGTTGGAGAGGAAAGGTTCAATCAGTATATATTTACGGTTCAATGACTTAAGGTAAGGTGAAGATCGCACCCCTATTCAAGATTGTGTGATGTCACATTCATATTTATAATATTTATCACTTGATTTTTGAATAGGAAATACAAATAAAAACAATGGATGACGGTTTGTATATAATGTTTATTAAAAAATCTCGTGATTTTTCACAATGTTATTTTATTTTTGATAAATGAACACAAAAGACCTTCCTAAAAAAAAAACCATAGTGTTATTCTTCAAAAGAAAATAAATGTAAATCCTGTCTAAATTTTGGGGAAACACGGTAAGAAGTGGTTACAGTGTACAAAACAGCTATGCGTAACTGCGTAAAAAAGCCAAATGGTCATTCTTTGTGTAGCACATTTTTGTTCTATTGAGAAGATCGTAAAAAGGAAACTTTCTCAAATTAGAATTTAAATTAAATTTCTTTTGTTTTTTTGAAGATTTACGTATTCGAGTCGCCACCAATCCTAATAACCAGTATAATTAATGAAAGCTTTCTACATCTTTTCACGACCCACTAAGATTCCTTTTGCGACACACCAGTGGGTCGCGACCCATAGTTTGGGGACCGCTGTTCTAATGTAATTAAGAGTGCTTTGGCCCCTCATGAAATCTCAAGAAAAACAACGAAACATTTTGGATGATGATCGAATGGGGTGATTGTTTACAAAAGATGTCACCTGGAAAAAGAGAGCAAAGCTCAAATATATTGACACGAAGTATTAAGGGTATGCAATCCGTCACAGTAGAGTAGACTACCGGTACCACTAACGCGGTACCGCCACAAGGTGCGCAATTTTTAATTTTGATAACGTCATCGCATTAGGTTTTTAAAAGACATAAGTTGAGTTTTAGGGACTAATGGTTGACGATAAAAGAAAATTGGAAAAATGACCATACAAAATGGACTTCGGTGGAGAGAGATAAGCGGGTTAACCACTGAGAACTTCAAAGCAATTGGTCCAGTAAATGGGAGAGGATAATGACTAACAACAACAACAACATAATAACAAAACAATCCATATATACACTTCATGTCTAACAAGGTTCCAATATATGAAAACGACGATTCAGTGACTAACCGAAATAGCCTACCGGTAACCCAGGCGACCTACACTAAAGTCGGAAACCTGATTAATGAAAACTTGAAATGCAAATGGAAAATCAGGTGCAACCACCGCCGCAATTCATTAGGCAGCGGTAGGACTAAGATGGTCTTGTATCGGTAACGTTACGATGAGACTTTAGAACACTGAGTTTGCTTTGCTGCAAATATTGGCGGACAAGCTTTGGAATAAAAAGTGCCGTCTAGCGGCTTTAGCCGTTATTAGGTATATACTGTAAATTTATATTCGATTGGTGCAACGATTTCGTTTTAGTAACAACAACAAGAATTTAGCAATACGGTTCTTATGTCTCGTTTCGTGCCCAATTATCAAAGTCTCATGGCTGCAAGTTTTAACGAATGTCAATGGAGCAAGACGTTTGCAAATCTAAAAATACATATGTATATTAGAGTATACCGCGGTATATAGTATTATAATATATTATGTTAGGGATTGACCTTTCTATCCTGCATTTTTGCCATGAATCAAAGCTGACCTAAAACAAAAGATTACGATCATTGTGATCTTCAACAAATGTGCATTTTCCTACCATATATATAATGAATGATACCATCCGTGGATTTACGACGTTACAACTACAGCACTTCTTATGTAAAGTTTTTTGCTTGCGCGAACGTACATGAAGTACATTTCCGTTACAGAAGGCAGATGGTGATTGAATTCATCCGCTATTACACCTATTTCCTTCCTACTCAATTACATCAAGATATATTTAAATTTTACTATAAAGTATAAACTTTCTAATCCCCATACTAATTAACAAATAACAACCAAGAAGACCACGATCGTTTAAAGAAACTAAAACAATTTATATTGTAACCGTCGGATAAACAACAAAATAAATTAAGATCTCTGAATGAAATTGTCGCAGACAATTTGACGTTTGTGGAATAATCGTTTCGGTGATAGTTTTGCGATAGAAATATTGTTTAGATGATTCTGGAAATGATCGTGTAACATCTGCAAAGAGTTTAAAGAAGAGCCTCGATGTCTTGGAACGGTCATTCACGTAAAAAAGCGCTTCCGTAGTATGTGTACCAAGATGGAGCACAACCTGATAACCCTAACCTGGTACACATACTATTGTCAGGTCGTGTGCTATTTTGGTACACATACTACGGGAGCACCAAAAAAACTACAAGGATTCGTCTCTGGCGTGCGGTACAGGTGATGTTGAGCATTGGTAAAAATATGTCATAAACAAATTGTGTGCAATTACCAATAGAGCTAGTTGCGAGGGAATACCACGAATCGCATGAGGCGATGACTTACGAAATAGTATTTTGTGGTCGAGTGTAGCTTTTTTGATCACATCATATATTTTGTTTATTAAGCAAATTACATACAATCAAATTGTTTTGTATGTCTTAAGTCATTACATTATAAGAGATGAAACTGGAAGTAGGCGTACTGCAGATTTTTGAAATATGTTTCTGTCTACCGTTTCAATGATCATTCGGTCTATTTTCCCTCTTGGCATATATTTGATCACTATACAAGGATAGCAATTAGTTTTCAGCTATATATTAAAGAACCTTGCGTTCACCATTATAATTCTATGTTCGAGGTAATACCTAATCTAATCTAATAACTTCTGCTTTTAAGGTTTAATATCTTTCTGGATAGTTGTTTCCCTCATTGTCTCAATTTGAATCAATTCAGTTATCGTGTTAACGAGTATTTACATAAAGTTTCATTGTGGGAATGAATATATACATTTGTTTATCCTGTCAGTGGGTGCCTCCGAGTTTTAAATCTGTACCCAGCGTGGTATTTTTGAAATTTCTTCGGTGCATATTCATTTCAAATAAAACTATTTGAGAATTTGAAATATTCTTATTCCAATTTTAGTGGATTGATGCAGAAATGTTCATCTGAGATTTTCGTAAACTCATAGTTCGTAAACTTATAGTTTTCATCTAATACATATATATGCACATTGTATTTACTGTAGGGAAATTATTGTTCAGTTTAAATTTGAACACTTTAAAATTTGACTTAATGAGTCCATTAGTTGCAGAAAAAGTAGCATTCTACACCAACATTAGCGACATCCCCCCAAAAACTATACTCCCGTAGTATGTGAACCAAGATGGCGGACACCGGAACGTAGCGTACCAGGTTAGGGCTAGGCCATAATTTCAGGTACAAACACTTCAGGAGTCACTTGGCTATACCCCGAACTTGTAATAGGACTAAAATAGGCAAAATTGGAATGAAATTATGGCCTAACCCTAACCTGGTACACATACTACGTTCCGGTGTCCACCATCTTGGTTCACATACTACGGGAGTATAGTTTTTGGGGGGATGTCGCTAATGTTGGTGTAGAATGCTACTTTTTCTGCAACTGCAACAAAGTTCGCATACTACAGGAGTACCAAACTTTGGGTAAGATAAGGGCGATTATTGAAATGCCATGATCAAGTCAAACTTTGTAGAATAAATGATTAATGGCCAAATATGTGGACAGGCCGTTGCCCTGTGATATTGAGATAAAATTAGTGATTAATGTCATATTTTTAGTGTGAATCACATTTTATCAACCAGTTTGAATAAAACAACTTTTTTTTATGGGGCGCAAATTAGAGCTAATTATCTGAAGCCCGAGCCTGAGCCCGGAATTCGGGCCGGGTCGGGCCTGAAATGTCGATCATTACATTCGGGTCGGCCTTCTCTATCGCTGACTTTTTTTTTTTCAAATGAATATATGTAAGTTGATAATCCAGCAGTGCAGTGCCCGTGTTTTGGCCACGAGAGATCGTGGTCTACAAAAAACAGAAGTTGCCTCATCAACACGACACATACTGTACTATTGCGATGACAATTCAAAGAACTCCTAAATAGAATATGAAATTCCGAGTTTGCTTCGGGCTCGGGCCTGCAAATCCAGTTTATTAGTCGGGATCGGGTCGGGTTTAATACCCACGGGCCTGGGTCGGGCCGGGCTGGAATTTTTGGGCCTGATCTTACCTCTAGCGCAAATGACTGACTATATGGCCCTATGTGGACATTAGAGTAAAGTACAGGAGCAAATGTTAACAAAATGATTTAAAAACATTGTATGCTAAGGATAATTAGGAATTATTATTAATTGCAGTTTATTGCTTTAATTGCACACGATGAAAGGATGCCTCAAATTGAATCTTGCTTTACTGAAGGTTTCTAGTCATGACGTAGACATTTATCCCATAGAGTAGAGGTAGACATGCCGTGTTTTTCACCTTCAGTATTTCAAATCCATTCTTTTTATACATAGAAACAGCGGTTGGCTGCTCCTCGATAACACGAAGAATAATAGCTTTATAATTCATCAAAGTTGCTTGACTGAGTGCGTACTTCAGCAGCATCGTTCCTATCTTCTTGGATCTCCAGTCGCGCGATACTGATACACACTGTAAAATCATAAATTTGGTATTGTACAAATTGGTACTCCCATAGTAGGTGTACCAGGTTGTGTTGTACAATAAATTTATTCCGATTTTCCCTATTTTAGTTCAAATACGGGTTCGGATCCTGTGTTAGCCAAGTGAATATTCTGACATAGGTTTCAGTTCCTTTACACAACTCGATGTAAAGTAGCCAAACCAAATTTGCCACCTCCATATTGGTACACATACTTTTGAAGCGCCTACAACTTTTTATTTAATAATATATATACCATATTATAGCTCTCCAGTCCATCAATTTTAAAGACTGCACACACGTTAGACTTAACACAGAATTATCGGTAAGCAAACTTCCGGTTGTGGTGATATTGTTCATGATATTTGTGATGAAATACATCAGCGATATTATTTACAGTGTATGTCATACATGTTCAGAAATGTACTGTAGAAATGCCGACCCATTACTCAAGAATTTAATCAAAGCTTGACTGATCGTTACATAAGCCAAAAGTTTTAATTTGGAAGATTTGCATTTTGATTATAGTGAAAGAATGTAGAAAGAGTCATCTCAAATATTCTTAAAATCTGGAATGTTATTTCTTTTTGTTATTAAACACATATTTAAAAGCGTATGGCATTTTCTACAATATATACATACATTGCACTTACTTTTAAAGAAGTTATTTCTCCAGTTTGAAATTCGCACTTATCTAGTTGATAAGGTTCATGCAGAGCCGCTGTTCCTACTTTCTTCCATTCACCATCTTCGAAAACCTCAGAAATCCAAAATTTCAGGTAAGTCTTGTCTGCGTTGACAATTTCTTTTTTAAATGTTGTTATTTCCGTTGCAAAGAAACAGTAAAACGAGACTGCATCTAATCATAATTATAACGTAAGCACATATTTTTTTTACGTCCTAAAGTTGTTGACGTTGAATTGGTCATACGTTCTTAAATGTATTACCTAATCGTATCAATCAATCAATCGATTTTTATTTGTCATCATAAGAAACGAGCATAAAGAAAAACTGTTACAACAAATAAAATATACTTAGCGTTAATTGTGTGACTGGAGTCGCGAGGGACCTATAGAGGCCTTCAAGCGGCGACACCTAGTTGATGCAGGTTAGTATAAAAAAGTAACTAAATGAGGCTCAACTTTTGAATACCAGTAGTTGCGACAGTAGATACATAATTGAGACTACTGTGCGGATTATTCAAAAAAATGCAACTATCACGAGAGAATGCACTGAAGAACAAAACAGTTTGTAACGTCGGTAAATATCATATTGGACTAAAACAAGCAGGTAAATATTAGCCATTAGTTTTTGTTTATTTCATAAAATCAACTACTGTATGATTTAGGTGGAGAATTGAAATATTAGAAAGATACAGGCAAAAACTAAATGACGACGGGTTTAGTAAACAATCCTGTCAAATTTTATTATAACCAGCGATACACTTGCCTCCTAAATTTGGGAAAAACTCACCTGTAAAACCCAACAGACATGTTTGAAAAAGGACAAAAATTGTGATATACTGCGCGTCGTATCCGATGTTAATGAGAAGCAACGCGGTCAACCCTGACAGGCCAATCTGAATACAGTTCAGTCATGTTAGGATTTTAGTAAAACTGTTTGCTTAATTGCAGTTTTTCTATGCTATAAATTTTATCAACCAAGCATTGTCACAAGAGAAATATGATAGTTGCAGATGATATTATGCAACCACATCTGAAACGAAACAGCAAATATTTTTTTCAGAATTGAAGAAAGTTTTTGGGAACTTTTTGGCACTAATGTACGCTTCATAAAGTAAAACATCATTATAGAGAAACTTTTCTTTTTTTAAATAGTTGGTTATTAAACAACTCGGCGCTCCCGTAATATGTGCACCAAGATGGCGCACAACCTGATTCCTCTAACCTGGCACAACATACTATGTTCAGGTTGCGACATCTTGGTGCACATACTACGGAATCCCCAACAATTCATCAGGATATTAATAGAATTAATTAATTTTCCGTAATAAAGTTACCTGTGTTCGCCAATTTTTCACGAATAATCCTTCAAATGCCATAAACAGTATCTTATACAAACAGCCGACGACCATTCCACGTACTTCTGAAATGTCATCAGAATCCAACTCACGAATTCGAAAGTCAAAACCATCTACTGTCCATTCAAGACCAGAGCACATTTTTCGTAGTTTGATTCTGCAATTTTCAACTCGTCCAAACTAATCTAGAACTAATACATACATAATACATACAAATCATTACTTGAAATTTCAACGTAGGTAAAAAAAATTATGGATATGAGAAATCCCGAAACATTCGAATGAGTGAAATCTTAACTTTCTACCAACTCAGATCAAGTAGATTCGATTTCCGTATCATCTGAAACCTATATCCAGTTCTAGTCTGTGGCTGAATCTCTGTTATCAATTTACAATACTCAACTTAAAAACTTTATCGATTTATTAACATTAAAAAGGTAATTTACATTTGTTATGATAAGCACCTTGCATCTAATTCAATCAATATAAAATTTATTGATTACAATTATGACGAAATATTTGCATCATTAATTACCACTCACGCCAGCAATTAATTTCCAAGCTCTTTGTGATCGATTTAGCCTATTTTACAGCCTACTATGTCAGTCACGTAAATAGATTCAACTGCTGAAATTCCGAAGAATGAAATATGTTAAGAGCTGTTAATCATTTTATAAGCGTTCATTTTGGATGAATTATGTCGTATAATTCGCGAGTTCCTAATTAATTAGTGATGGAACGCGCAATGTCGCTATTGAGTCAGAGCGAAGGAATCGAAAACGCGATTTCTGTTTGGGTGGATCCCTTAACTTTCGTCTCTGCGAACGATGTCGGTATGTCGGCGGTCGCCGATCGCTATCTATTTATGGATCTATTGCGATTCGCGATTCAAGCGATCAGTAGAATTTCTTCCGAGATAAGGGAGGGTAATTCATTAAACGTTGGAAGTTGGAGTCAAATTCCTTTATAATATCGTTTCCGCTAACAAAATAGTTCTCTAAAGTCTAAGGTATTTCGAATATGTTGACGAATAACAACGCCTCTCTCCATTTTAAATCTAAAAACATCGACTGCAAACCACCGCACAAAATTTGGTTAATCTTTTGATAATTTTCATTCTTATTCATACATGATACACATCGAAAAATGGTTTATTTGCAACCTTTGGTCTGGTGAGTGCGCAGATTGAATGAACTCTAATTAACCCATCGCCTTTATAATAGTATTATTGAACGTTGTGTAAGGGCAGATGGGAGCGGTCCAATTTTTAGCTTGATCACTATTGTATCCTCTTTTTGGGATTGCCTGATCTCCACTCCCAACGACGAATGCAAAGATATCAGAATTCCCCAACTTGATCGTCACAATTCTCCAGTATCTTACGGGTAAATACTGTTCCTTTCTGACTTGACACTCCCCTCTTATCTTTTTTTTTATATAAACCGTGACGTGCTTATATATAATAAATTGGTTCACTGAGTTAATGTATTATCAAGCACGGCAGAAGAAATAACCTTGATTGTCCGATCAAAACGACATGTTTTGTCCTAGGGATATGGCCTGCGACGCGAATGACGCACAATAACTAACAATTGGTATCACCAACTCGCTTTGTCCTAGTTCAAAGCATCCGAGTTAAATCCGATTTACAACTCATAGCATAATACTAGTTTTGCCAAAATTACCGTAACTCAATCAACTCAATATGATTGTCCTTACAATCCTTCATGAATACGGATGTATTCATGAATACGCCATTGTTTAGTTGGATTTTGTATTCGATGATAAATGGGTCGATTTCCATCATTTGCGTCGAAATTGCAAGGATGAACTTTGATATCGACAAAATGTTGTGCAATCAAAGGCCTCAACGATATGTTGCACGTTGCAGGGTCGTTTTCGTAGTGGTTGATAAGCCTCGCACTTCGCAGATTAATCAAATACGCAGCACAGCATCCACCAGGTTTTAAAACTCTCTGACATTCTTTTTCAAATTTCTTCGTATCAAGAAAATGAATGGATGTCGCACACGTGATCAGATCAAAGCTATTGTCTTCTACTGGAAATTTGTGGCTGTGGATAACTCAAAAGTGATGTTTTCGGACATATTCAATATCTTCGCTTGACTAATTTTGGCTTCACTGATATCGACACCCAAAATTGATGGAAAATACGGAGAAAATATTTGTGTTGATAATGTTCCACACCCACATCCGACATCAAGCATTCGCTCATATCTCCCATCTCTAGTATTGGGGGGTCTTTTTTCTTGGAGAAACTGCATAATTTTTTTTGGTTCCCTTGAACAATATGGAAATCTATATTTTGCATAAATCTTGGCTATGTTCTCTTCTTCATATACTCGAATGAGCCCAGCATGAGACGAACTCAATGTATCGTTCCCGTGGTTCATTGCCATTGGTTTTGATTATTTTAAAAAGGAACTCAAGAGTTCCCTTTTTAATAAAATTGCTGTCGTCGAGGGACACTAGATATATAGGGTTACCATATTTTTGTGACTTCAAATCGGGACGCTTCAAAAGACAACGATTTTGTAACTCCACATTTTCCGATTTCACTACATAGGCCTACATTCCTACATTCAAAGCTGTCCCGGCTGTCTTTATTGATCATATTGTTATCGAAGTTTCATGCGCATATTCTCTTTCCAAATATCGGGTTCAGTTCGAAAAATAGGAAGGAATAGACGTTAACGATACCGGTACAAATAATTCGAATTTAGACTAATTAGTATTGGTTTTACATGCGATACTTCTGCCATCAATGGGAATCAGCGGGAAACGAACGCATTCACCTTCAGTAAGCAGGCTAGCGCTGCGCTACACAGAAACAACAGTAACGAGAACATGTTTGTGTATCATGCTGGAAAAGCGGGACTTTTGACTGACTTATCGGGACGGCGGGACAAAACGCTGAAAAGCGGGATTGTCCCGCCTAAAGCGGGACGTATGGTAAGCCTATAGGCTATAGATATAGTAAAACTTCAGAAAACAAGTAAACCGCAACTCCTAAAAATTTCTGTCTGTTCAGTTCTAGTCAGTGTATCAATCTCTGCTCAAACAGAATACTCAACCTAAAAACTTTTTCGATTTTTCAAATCGATATACGATGCAATTCAAACTGTGTTTACTAAACGAGGCATAATGTTGTACGCAATGATGTAATGCGCATGATATTGAGGTCATTTGGTAAATGTGACGGTGCCTAAAACATTATTTCACTCATCGATGTTGATAGTTGGCTGTCCAATTAATGAACTCTGATGAGTCCGACATTTAAATTGTTCACGAATGATGAGTTGAGAAAGAGAACAATGCACAAGACAACAATCAAGAGTATTGTGAGAAAGTTTGAGATGATGGATATGAAAAATAAAATAAAACTTCATTGCATTTATTTGCAAGTTCATTTTATTCACCACTTATTTTATCATAAACGTTATTAAATGGTTTTGCTTCAATCAACGATTATCAATCCAACTATTCCCATCCATATCGTTATAAATAGACTAAAATAAGCTATAAAACCGGTAATTTTATGTGTTTAAGCCTTATGGGACCTAAAAACAATGCGTATGACTACGTCGAGTAGCAGGGTCACACAAGTCAAGTTTTAAGCAACTGACATAGGCTGGAATTGATTATGAGCAAGAAATGTACATTCAGATCTTTTTTGGACACGTAGTGGACATAACGATCGTTTCAATATTATGTTGTTGTTGTTGTTGTTGTTGTTCTTTGACACGTTTTTAAAAAGTCGCTTTTCTCTTCGAATACTGGACCAATTGCTTTGAAATTTTCAGTGGTTAAAGATAAAAATTTTCTCCAGAAGGCTATTACTTTTTTTCTCGCTATGACGTCATCAAAATTATGTGACTCTACGTGTCCATATATTTGAGCATCGCTCTCTTGTTTTTTAATATCTTGTTGTTGTTGTTGTTCATGTTCATTTCCTAGTAAGTGTTTTTCTTTTTATGACGAAATCGGTTTTCACATCAACTACGAATAAATTTATTTATTTAACAAATTTTCAGTTGTTACAGATTGTATTTTTCTCTAGAAAACTATTACTTTTATTTATTTGAAAAAAATCTGTTTCATGAGATTTGTTTTTCTGTGTGCGATGACGCCATCAAACTAAAAAATTTGGGCCCCTTGTGGCGGTAGTCTACTGTGACAGATTACTTCTTTGTGTCTATGTATTTGAGCATCGAACAAGCGAGAAATAAACAATTGTTCAACAGGTCCAACTCTTATTATCCGTCGTTCTCACTGTCTGTCTTTCTGCCTGCCGAGCCGCACAGCGCTCAAATTAACTGACAGTTCTGGTAAAATTTTCTCGGTACAATGGCGTCTCGCTATTACCCGTCGGTAAACTGAAATTACGCGGGCATCAAGCAATGGCGGAGGAGATCGATATTGGGCGCCTACTGGCTTGTTTATGATTAAAAAGGTTGTTGAGTCATCATGATTGCGAAGTGGTGCGCCCATAGTTGCTATTAGGTTACCACCCTCTATCAATCAAGCCAATACAAATATATGTCTTAAACTGAGTGAACAGCGCTGTCTTCATAGTCTACATGGTGGCGGAATAGCAAGACCAGGTGACATCGTTTTTGTTTCATCATTGGCTTTTGGTTTGTAAAACCTTAATTTTCTTTATTTTTTTTCTGTTATTTGAGGCCCATGCAGGTTTATTCGTTTGACATTTATCTTGATAGCAAATTTGACTGTGAATAAAATAAAAATGTATATAAAAAGAGGATATTATCACGTTTTTCCTAATACCAAATCGCTCAACTGTTAAAATTCAAACGATATGGTTTGCCAACAGTTTGAATGTATCTTCAAACATGCAGTTTATCAAATATTCAAACAAAAATTTAAAAATTTATATACAAGACATGTATATTTTCTATATTATCAGATGTATACTTACTAAAATTTTTACAAAATAAACAGTAATTAAGTCTAGATAGTAATTCGATAACTCACGTTTTTGCAATATATGTTATCGTTATTGTCAATCCACAAGTATTTTTCAATTAATAGCCCAAGGCTACGTTCATGTTTGTTTTCTACAAATTTGAGCCTTCGCATAAATTAGCGCTTTGCAATGGCAGCATCATTAGCTTCAGACAATAGTTCAATGTTCCAGAAGTATGTGTACCAATATTGAGGTAACTAATTTTGTTCGCCTACGTTATCTCAAGTTGTGTAAAGGGACTAAAACCTATGAGCAGGGCGTATATTCACTTGCTTACACAGACAGTCCCCGAACTCGTAATAGAACTAAAATAAGAAAAATGGAATGGAATTATGGCATAGCCCTAACCTGGTACACATACTACGGTAGTACCTCAGATTGTATACATAGACGACCTACACTATGGCAAAAATATAAATAGTCAAATTCTGATGGTTTTTACTACTAGCGGAAATCATTGAGTAGGTATAGGCTAAGTTAAAATACAAACGTTTCCCATATGGGCGACAGCGTTAAGTTTACTTTTTTTTGAAAGTTTACGTAGTGTAGTAATACATGCTTATACAACAAAAGCTTTCTAGTAGTTACAACCACAAAATTTTGGGTATTGATCTTATGACATGCATTGTTCGCATCGCACTATCTAGCTGTCAGGCCTTTTATAACGTCCTTAGCATGAATAATCAATTAAACTCAGGTATAGGCTTTTCAACGCAAAGGGATTGGAATTACTCGCACCTACTAGATTAAACTAATTCAAAAACTTGTTTGTGCGATTACCAGTCCAGCTTGGACATCATAAAATTTCGGCTAATTAAATGACGCATCAACGCAATAGAAAGATAAAACTATAATCAATAAGAGGTTAATTCCGTGGAATAATCTCCACTGTGTTTGAGCGAAAGAGTGTTAAATAACAGGGAGATGGTGAGCGCTTGTAGTCCCGGCTATAATTCACAGCAAAATTTCCGTTTTCACTTGATAACCCTAATCCTACTTTCTTCCCATGTTACAGGATTTGCTGGACATGCAGTATTTATTCAAAAAAAAAAAGTGATCAACATTTACATGAAGAATGCACAAAATTTTCTTTCGCTTTTTTCATGTCGTGGATATCTCATGCGGTTAGACGTTTGACACGAAGCCCCATTCGAACATTATGTTTTTCTTTCGGCATTCACATCCGCAAGGAGTCTGACATTTGAAAAAAAGATATACTTGTAAGAACTTTCATTTACGATATAAATATCACAATATTTCTTATCATCAGATTACTTTTTTTTGATGAATTTATTGTAAAGTCTTTGATAATTCTTAATCACCATTTCAATCAAGTAAACCGTTTCGTCACCTCTAGTATTGTGTTAAATTGAGTCACGTGGGACCCGATAATTTCACCCAGAATTTTGTTATTGTCCCAAATATTGCGCTTTTCAATTTTTAAACGCTTAAAACTAATACTCCTAATTGAGCAACGATAATTTAGAATTAGATATTAAATCAGACCGCCATATTGACGGCAATGCATATGCTCTGCTACGGCCTTAGAGGTGTACCTTTGTGAATTGCGATGGAACTTGATTTGTGATTTTGATTTTAAAATTTTTGCATCAAAAGATAATGGATATTAGTGGAAGTAAAATGACGGCACTGCAGTACTGTTTTGTGTTCTTTTTTGGGTAAGATAGGTTTGGATTTTTATATTTATTCGAAGGTAGGGCGCAATGACAACACGGTGTAATCATACGGCGCCAGTTATTTGTTTTAGTATAGGATATAGGATGGGATATACATATTTATCCCGGGGGAGAGGGAAGCCGATAAGACGGCTTATCCATATGGCGAACCACGGCCTCTCGTCCGGTAACCATTTCAAGTCGAGTATGGGATTAGTCATAATGTTTGTTTTCGGAAGCATGGACTTGGTGGTGGAGGAAGCCGTAACCGACCAGCGGTTACGTGAACCACCCAACGACGTCGAGGCGTCCAGCAATCCTCTCGCACATAACCATCCCTGCATGGGATTCGAACCTGCGAAACCACGCAGAGTAATTAGAGGTGCGGTGGCGAGCGTATTCCCAACGCTTAGCCCATTGAGCCACACCGCCGCGCCGATTTAGATTCATAGGCTTGGTGGCGGAGGAAGCCACAAACGACCAGCGATTACGTGAACTACCTCATGACTTGCAGTCTTGCAATCTTCACACACATAACAATTTGTGCAGTTCTCTCTCGTTTACACAATTTAATTTAATATTAAAATCTACGTTCAAACATTCTGTCAAATTGTTGTAAAAGATATATATTTGTTATCTCATTTGAAGTCATCACACAATATATGTGAAGTACATTACACAGCTTACCAACCTTGATAGTAACATTGCCTTTGTAACAATCACCGTCCTTTTCGTAAATCGTGTATATGTCATTCATGCACCAAATGGTTTGACAGAGGCAGGGTCTCGGACCAATGCTTTTTGCATCGCCAGGCTCCGGGGCTGGATACATGTGTCGCTCCTTAGTTTCTTCTTCCGGCTCCGGATACATTTCACGATTATCATGCTGGTTTTCACAAGCTTTCTGGTGAAACCTGAACGTAAAAATCACATCAGTGTGTGATGAATTTAACAATGAATTATTGCTCTTTGAACATTAATTTTATAGTTTTCGGCAGATTAGCCTACACTAAATATAATAAACGGTATAGAGTAAACAATGTTACAAAATATTCCCAATAGAAGAGGGATGGACTTGCTTTTTCTATACTGTTATTACGATAGCTTTCGTTTTTTTTTATATGCTGCCAAGATTTATTCATGGAATTTTTTTAGCTGTAGGTTCTCATGCATTTTGTTGAATTGGGATATTTTCATTGGTAAATCGTAATTAATTGTCATTCATGTCTGAGTGGGCTTGCGATTCGCTGAGTATACTTGTGGATTGGCGGTTGGTGCATCGAGCATAGATAGCATTGAAACACACTTGTCACTGCACTTCTGGTTACCCTACGGGATCAGCAGGTTCGATTCCCGTTGAAAATTCTGTACAAAACGATTGCTGGACTCCTCGCCCTCATAGAGTGATTCAATCGGCGGTCGGAAATCAGGTCCATGCATCCAAAACAAATAACTAGTGACCTAATCCCATGCCCGACATGGACTGTAACATGGTCTTATCGGCATTCCACTCCTCAAGGAAAGAAATGAAAATCCTACTACTAGAATGTAATTTTAGAACTTGGGTATTTGATGCATCCATTGAATGTATTGTTTCTATTAACCTTGTATGTTTTCCATTGAATTAATATCATTTAATGATAATTTAGCTTGTAGGTATTTCAAATTTGAATAAAATTAATAACAATATGGTATTGCACTAAATAAAATCAGATTCGGAATTATTCGAATCAAAACATTCTGATTCGGAAACAAAATATCCTAAACTTACATCGCTACTTAATACTATTGCTTACTTTTAAAAATATGAAATTTTTATTTTCATAACGATATCATGTACTTACGTGCACTCTACGCCAGTGTGTCTGTAAGGCCGGCGTAGCCTGACGTGGGATCTGCATTTGGATGAACCGTAAACAGATTTCTGTGTGCATTTTTGGTCTTCACAAGCGTTTGGAGATCCTGATGTATCGCCTTTACTTGCGAAGCATCTGTCCTCAGGGCCCGAGAAAAGCCTACAAAAGAACGTGGTGTATAAACGCCATAATAGTAGTTATCAATACACAAAACAAAATGGCGGTGCAATAATCAATTTGTTCGTTGATTTGTGGAAACAACGCACACAATACAGGAACGAATTTTTCCGTTTTTTAACGTTGATTTGTCTTTGTCTTGTCAAGATACGTTCAGCTACCTTTCATATACAATCCCAATACAATTATTCAGATGAAATTGATTAAATATCCTCTTCATAAGTTAATGAACTTTGTAGTCAGTAGAATATAAAATTCTAATAAGAGTGCGCCAGTTTAAAGCAATACGTTCCATATAAGTGATTCAAATTAAAGGTTGTTTAAAAATAAATGATTAAATTTTCATTACTTGAGTCTGCCACAAGAATTGTGTTTTCCGGCAACATATCCATCCTCTTCCGGAAAAGTAAACTTACTGATTTCTTCTTCGTTCACCTGAAAAAATATGATTGAAATTTTAACAAAGCAATTTAAAATTTTATAGTAAATATGTTAAGGTATTTATTTATAAATGGAAAGTTGAAGCTGAATCATTTTGGAAACCAATAAGTGTAAAATTGGAGCTAGTCAAAAATGGAAACAAGACAAAATCGACCAATTGGAGAACGGGGCACGACATTTTTGAGACACATGAAAATGTCTATAGATTTTCAAACAGAAAATTAGTAGAAAACTAGAATTTTTTGGTATCGATTCGTGCACGATGAAACTCTGTAATTATTTCAAACTTTGTTATTTCAACTTATACCTTTTTGTCAAACATTGCCTTGAATTCCATCGAATTGAACTCTTTTTGAGCGAATCCATATACGAACTGACAAAACAAAAGAGATAGCAACAATATCTTCATCTCGATTGTGATTCGAAATTCTTTCCTTTCTTGAACAAAAATCGCAAATGTATGGACAATTCACTTCTCCGTGTTGAAGCTTCATAAGGATGTAGATCATTGGCTTCTCATTTATATAGTATAAGTATACAGACGTGCCATTTTATCGTTAGCCAATCAGAAGAGCAAACAAGTATTGCGGTTCGAAATTCTAGTTCTTGTTTTTGCACATTCGAGTATTTCGTGGAATGTCTTGTACTGACTACCAAACCACTATAATCGTTGATACGATTAAATATATGCAGAAATGTAGATTTTAATTCACTAAATACACAGGATAACCGGAAAAATGATAAAAAGATAAAATGTTTACAGCTATAGACGGGTACAACTATACAATTACCGAAAACCTTTCTGGGCATTGTCAGAAATCATGACTCACTTTCCAAAGATTGCGTGCAACATCAACGAAGTAACCCGAAGTACTCGAAGAGTGACAATAGGTCGAGGTAATTCTCGATAACTGTTTATACTTTATTCCATTAATTCCGATGCCCGAGCAACTGCTGTGGCACGGTTAACCAAAACAACACCTCGGAATCTATTTTGCGTGATGAAAACTTCAAGACCTTTCAAAAAATTTCATGCCAAGGTCTCGGTTCAGGCTTCGCCACTCTCATCAGGTTTCGATTCTCATATATGCACCCCTGCACAGATCCACACTTTAAATGCTTTATAACATTTTCTTAACCTTCCGTTCATCGATACGCTTTACAAAATATAAATCTCTCATTTACCCCCAAAATTGCGTGCTGTGATTGGACAAAATAAGTTGTGTAAAATTCGAAAGTAAATTTGGTAGTTAGTGTAGTTGTAGTTAAAGCTTGGGGTGAAAATGTGACTTCTTGAAAAGTTTTTCAAAGTATTATCACCAGGCGATAAATTTTTCTAGGGCGGTTATGGCGAGAATATCCGTATACCTAATGTACCTTTCGAAAAGTCGAAATGTACCACTGGAGGTACATGTACCCTAGTTTGAGAACCCTTGCTTCAAAAAGTCAATCTAGTAACGATTTAAACCATTTAGTATTCGCGGAATAAGAATTTACGATTATGCGTTTTGATCGTCTCGACGATAATTCTGACTCATATCCGTCGAACCATCTATATCAGATTTGCATGAAATCTGACAAAAATAATTTGGTCAAATATTTTTATTGCCGACATGGACTAGTAGAAGGAGAAGAAGACTGCAATCAAGCCATCTTATCGGCTTTGCTGTCACAAAGAATAAGTATAAGAATGTGATGTAAGCTAGTTAAAATATTATATATTTTTCATTCTTCATTGACTTATTGCGCTTTCATGCGCCATTGAAAGTCATTCTTCAGTGAAAAGTCGCATTGTCTAATTCAAATTTTGATAAATGTGATTTATTGCTACTAATGACTTTTCTGTGAGACTTCGTGCCTCACAAGTTCAAAACCAGATGTCGACTCTTTTAAGTTTTATTTAAAGTATTTAGTAAAAATAACTTTTTTTAGGCATTCTTGTGTCAGAATGCACGAGATATACTTTGATCTTGATTGTATTTTGACAGATGTGATAAACAATCGTTATCCATTTATACGGTCAATACGCAGTAAAACTTCAAATCATCTAAAAGTGAGAAATGTTGGAAAATTCTTGTTATAGCCCAAGGGAAAATCACCGCAAAAAAACATTTGTATTCAGTTCTGAATACTTGTTTTTAAGTAGAAATTCGCATTTTACTCTGAACTCTGTCTGACCCAGAATTTGTGAAATATTCGTCTGTTTATACATTTCAAATCAGTTCCTTCGCACGAGAAAGAAAAAAATCTCAAAATGGTATAATTATATCTTAACTTTACAAATACAAAATAGAGAATTCATAATTTAGAAAATCAAACAGCCTATGAAGAGATATAAAAAATTATAAGAAATCAAACCTTGTTAGAATTGTTTTATATTAAACAATAAATATATATTAATTAAATGTTATGAAAAGATTATTTAAAATGATTTTTGAAGCTTCATTGAATACTCGATGAAGAGTTGGATCAATTATAGTAATTCAGTTCAATTACAATCATCTTTACAATTACTCTCTTGAATTTTTCGATTAAATTACAATTACAATTACTCCGGGCAAAAAATATCAAATTACAATTACATTTACAACAAAGCAATGCTCATATATATGAACACATTACACAGAGCGAAGCAGTCCTTGGACGCTACCGCTACCCTCAAAACAATTCCGAGTTTCACGTAGCAAGAATCAAACCAGACAGCCAGTGTTCCCATGGATAAAATATTACAGCGAAATCTTGGACGAAATATCAGATTTCATACGAAATTTAGAAATAAAAAAAATAATAGCCTTCTGAAAAAAAATCCCATCTTCAACCACTGAGCATTTGGTCCAGTAATCGAAGAGAAAATCGACTTTTCAATATCTATGTCAAAGAACAAGAACAACAACACAAAATACCAAAAGTTTTGGTCAAAACGATAATTGTGTTCAATAACATTTTGATTCGTATTTACAGTTTCACTTGCTCAAAAACTTGCGCTTGATTGCGGATTGCGCTTGATAAAAATTAGGCTGCGAAAAGTTTCTGACCCCAATAAATTTCGTCTTGCCGTATAAAAGTTACCCGCAATTCTAAAAACTATTCCTGACGGGGCTGATGTTGCTGTTAGTCCCAAATAAAATTTGGCTAAAGAAGCAAGCCTGGGTAATTCTTCAGGTTTCCAGTACATTAATGAGTTTTCGTCAAAATGCAAACTAACGAATATCATTCGAAATCGCAAAATGAAGTAGTGTTTAAAACCACGACTGAAAATCTGTCTGAGTGTCTTAACGGATGCGAAAAGGTATATTGTTACGTCACTTTTTTGCATCTTGCTGATTGGCTAATGTTACGAAATAAAAATTACATTACAATTACATGAAAAACTGTAATTAATTACATCAATTACAATTTCAAATTACAATTGATCCAACTCTGCTCGGGTGTTCCTTTTGTCTGACCAGAGTTGAGATTCCATTATTAAATTCACTGATTGCTATGAAATAGAGTAAGCAACATTTGGTTTGGACATCCACAACTGTTTGGGACCTTCTTGATTATATTCAAATTAGATTGTTAGGCATGATAAGTAACTTGATTGCAGACTATTTCGCTTTGATAAAAAGTTGCTTCTCGGTTTTCATAGCGGCGGACTACGTCAGTTTATATCCACCCCAAATCTGATGGAATTTTTAAAAACATACAAGTAACTTTACGGCAAACTTCAGCTTTGAGCAAGAATTATCCGTAAACTTTTGAGAATATTACAATTCTGATTAGCACGCAAAAATAGTTGATTCGACAATATATAAAAGTTCATTTCCACGCGACAGACAAGACTCAGTCACGGCGCTCTAGCTCAGGGGTGGCCAACCATTCAAAGACCATGGACCACATTTCTTACTTTTTACCGCGAAGTGCCACAGTATACACAAGAACACACATAAACATCAGATATACATTTATTCAGCTCTGCTATAATGCTAGTTTTTTATAAATGTCACAAACTAACATGATTATAACAGAAATTTACAAACCATTTATTGGGAATAACAATAACTATAAATGGAATACGATACGAGTAGGACTGGAATCGCCGCCATCTTGTTTTTTTTTCTTTCCGCCAATGGTCGAGGTAGATTTCTCAATTTTTTTTATTGAAGTCATATTTTTTCTCAACACAATTGTGACATATGACTCTTTTCTGTAGTGAGTTATTGATGACAACGTGTTTTTTATTGTATGTGAACGCTCAGTAATCTGCCTGAGTGATGTATTCTATGTTTTCAGTAATTTAGGTGTCTGGGGGACCTAATATATTAAGGAAGTTACATACAATTTTATATCTCCTAAGCATTCGAGATTCGATTCAATTCGGAAATCATCAGGTATTCGAAAATGCCCAGCCCCAGTTATTGGACACATTATCGTTTTGACCAAAGCTTTCGGTATTTTGTGTTGTTGTTCTTGTTTTTTGACATATTTATTGAAAAGTCGCTTTTCCCTTCGATTACTGGACCACATGCTCTGAAATTTTCAGTGGTTGAAGATGGGATTTTTTTCTAGAAGGATGTTGCTTCTTTTATTTCTAAATTTCATATTAAATCTGACATTTCGTTCAAGATTTCACTGTATTATTTTATCCATAGGAACACTGGCTGTCTGGTTTGACTCTTGCTACGCGAAACTCGGAATTGTTTTGAGGGTAGCGGTAGCGTCAAGGGCAAGGACTGCTTCGCTTAGTGTAATGTATCTATATATTTGAGCATTGCTTTGTTGTAATTGTAATGTAATTGTAATTTGATATTTTTTGCCGGAGTAGTTGTAATTGTAATGTAATTGAAAAATTTAAGAGAGTAATTGTAATGGTGATTGTAATTGAACTGAATTACTGTAATTGATTCAACTCTTTATCGAGTATTCAATGAAGCTTCAAAAATCATTTTCGAATATCTTTTCTTAACATTTAATTAATATATATTAATTGTTTAATATATAACAATTCTAACAAGATTTGATTTCTTATTCTGAAGTTTTTATATCTCTTTATAGGCTGTTTGTTTTTCTAACTTATGAATTCTTCATTTAGTATTCGTAAAGTTAAGATATAATTATACCATTTTGAGATTTTTTTCTTTCTCGTGCGAAGGAACGAATTTAAAACGTATAAACAGACGAGTATTTCACAAATTCTGGGTCAGAGTTCAGAGTAAAATGCGAATGTCTACTTAAAAACAAGTATCCAGAACTGAATACAAATGTTTTTTTGCGGTGATTTTCCCTTGGGCTATAACAAGAATTTCCCAACATGTCTCACTTTTAGGTGCTTTGAAGTTTTAACGCGTGAGATTTAACGCGTTTGATCTTGATTGTGTTTTGACAGATGTGTTAAACAATCGTTATCCATACATATGCTCAATAATATCGAATATATCGAATATTTTAACTA